ATTATTTTTAAGAAGAGGCGGAAAAAGAAAGGAAAAACGGGAAAGTCCTTCGCAGGCGGGCAGCGCTCCGCGGAGGCGGGCGGCTCCTGTCACGCTTGCGCCAAGGGTGCGCGCTAAGTGCGCGCACACGTGCACGCGAATTTGGGGGGGTTGGAAGAGGCGATGGGAGGGCCGCGTTTCTCTCCAAGTTGCTCTGGCTGAACTGTGAGGAGCGGGGGGGGGGGGTTCAGAGGTGGCCCCCCCCGCTCCGCGGGCGCGCACAACACGGACACACTTGTTCTCGCCAACGTGCGGGGGGAGCGGCGCGGGCGGGCGGGGAGCTCTGCGGGGTTTTTTTGTTTTGCTTAGTTGTTTTTTTGGGTCTATTTTTTGGGTGTGGGGGGGCAGGCGCTGCCGCCGTCCGCCCGTCCGTTGGTCCGCGCGCGCGCGCGCACCCGCCGCGGGAGGCAAACGAGCGTTGCGGAAAGTCGGTTGGGGCGGCGGCGGCGCCGCGCGGCCGCGCGCGAACCCGCCTTCCCCTCCGCCCTCCCCACCACCCCTTCTTATTTTTTTTTTTTAATTTTAATTTTTATTTTCCTCCCTGCTCGCCGGAGCGGACGCCCAGGAGAGGAGCGTGAGAGAAAGAAAGAAAAAGAGGAAAAAACCCCAAAGTTGACGCGCGGGGCCGGGCGCTGGAGGCGCGGGCTGGGGGTAGGAGCCGCGGAGCGGGAGCGGGCGGGGGGGCGGGCGAGGGAACCGAAATTTTCCCCCCTTCACCCCTTCCTCCTCCTCGGCCTCAGGGGAGCGGGAAGCGGCGGCGGGGGGGGGATGTTTCTGCCAGGCGATGCCCGGCGAGCGGCCGAGGAGCGAATCCCCGCCGCAGCCTAGGAAAAGAGTAATAATAGTTAAGGGAAAAAAAAAAAAAAAAAAGCCTTCTTCCCCTCGCGGGAATTAGAAGATTGAAAATATATGCACTAAATAAAAGGCGGGGGGGAGGCATCCCGAGCCCCCTTCCTTTCTGGGAAGGTGGGGGGAAATGATGAGAACCCCCCCCACGCGCAGCCCGCGTGTGCGCGCAGCCCGCGTGTGCGCGCAGCGGCGCGGAGCCCGTAAACAAGCAGCGTCCCTCTCGAGTTGTGCAACTTCCTCACGAGCGGCGCGGAGCGGCGCGGCCTCCCCCCGCGCGACCCGCGGCCCCGCGCCCGCAGCGCCCCGGGCGCTGAGCGCTTGGGGGACAAAGAAAAAAATRGGGGAAAAAAGGGGGAAAAAAGTGAAATTTTGAATTCCAGAGCCAACTGGAGAACCGCTTTTCAGAGCCCCCCCCGCACCGCCCCAGCGCCGCTCCGGTGAGGGCTGGGCGCGCTGCGYGCCGCGGCCGCGGAACTGCCCGCGGAGGCTCCTGCGCCCTCTCCGCTCCTGCCCTGTTTTGTTTTTCTTTTTCTTTTTTTTTTTTTTTTTTCCTTTTTCCCGAAGATACGGACCTGAGCTCGGTTTTTCTCTAGGAGAGGGAAGGGGAAAAAAAAAAAGTTTCAAGTGCAGCAGCGAAAACACGCCGCAAAACTGGCCCAGGAGGGACCTCTGCTGGTAGGCCCGGCCCGCCGCCCTCCGCGCGCGCGCGCCCCGCGCGGCCCCGCGCACCCGGCCCCGCGCACGCGGCCCCGCGGCGGCACCGGGACGGGAGCGCGCGGCCCGCAGCGCCCCCCGCCCCCCCCCGCTCCATCCCGCCGCGGGGACCGTGGGAGCTTGCCTTGGGAGCAGCGAGCGTGATCCTGAGGCAACGCTTCCCACTTCCTGGAAGTCAGGCCCCTCAATATGCACTCGCTGCCGCCTCCACTTGTATTTACCACAGCTTTCCATTTTTTTCCCCTTTTTCCTCTTTTTTTCCCCCCTTTTTTTTTCATAATTGACGGTACTTAACGGTATATGAGGGGTGAGCCATGTTATTAACTAACACCCAACTTACATCTTTGACTCAATGTTTATTTTCTCTGTCTCCCTTGGAGAGTGAGGCTGATGGCTCCTGCTTTTGGTTGTGCTCTGGGAATGGGAGCGCTTAAAACAGAGTGGCCAGCGTGCGTTATAAAAACCTACGGTGCGAAAATTTCAGTTCCTGCTTCTCCAGGAGGCTGTCCATCCTCAAAATTGTTGCTGGATTTTCTTCATGCGGATTTTAAAAGCCGTTTAGGAAAGTGATTCTTTTCACCGGGGGAATTATCTCCTTCCCAGCAGCTTATATGATTAACATCTGTCGGAGAAGCCTCCTGGACTAGCGGTTGGAAGCAGTAAGGCACTCTGTGCGGATCCTGTCGCTGCCAGGTAATGGGTTTTCCGTAACGTGACCGTCAGCAGCGCTGGCCGCACGCTGCCTCGTGCTCGCGTGAAGGCAGCTGGCAGATAAGCAGTAGGAACGGTTCTCCAACTCAGGAGCTTTGGCTGCGATTTGGGTGGTTGTTAATTGTGCTTCAGTTCGATTTCTCGCAATGTTTTTCATGTAACTTCAGTTTATTGGATTGGTCTGGAGYGCTGCTCTTCACAGTTCTCGTGACTTCTGATCACGTGTTGAACCTCGTCCTGGGACTCGCTCAGTGTTACTGAGCATCCCCCCGTGTGTGGGAGAGCACCGAGGGGCTCCTRGCCTTCACGGTGTTGGCTCCATTTGCGCTTCGTCTTTCCCAATAGTGCTCATAAGCAGGATGGTGGGATATAAGTGACGGGAGTCAGGAACTGTGGTGATGATGCCGTGTGGAGTTTCCTGAGGATGAGTGACTGTGTGTGTAGCCCTGGCTGGAAGAGTAGGGTTGCTCATCACGAYGGGAATGCGAACTCTTGATGAGATGGAAAGAGGGAAAAGTCTTGCAGTGCCGTAACCTGCTGGTATCCCTAGCCATAGGAACCTGAATTAGCGATTTGAAGGCAGGGGAGCRCATGGAAGCTGGTGAGACCAGGCAGAAGAGGAAGGTATCGGACGTAGTATTTAGGTGTGCGATGAGTTAACCCCGGAGCTAACTTCTCCTTGAAAAGACAACTCCAGATAGGTGAGGTGAAAATCAGTGTCAAGATTGGTGCAGCATAGATCTTCTCAGAGAGGTGTCTGCGCAGGGGAGAGCTTGGGGCACAAATGAAAAAAGGGAGAAGTTCTTTGTAGCTTCCTGTGGCTCAGAGCACTGAGAGAAGCAACAACATGGGAGTTGAGACTTGTTCTACTCAGGTCTCACTGTCATTAAGGTTTATGTTCATTTATGCATGTGGCAATAACAGATACTCAAGTCTTTAAAGTTTCAGAGGAAATATTTTTTTCTGAGACGCAGGTTAACTCTAACAAGATAAAAGTTGCGAGTGATCAACTTTGGATGGCTTTGGAGTGGGGCAGACACTGTTAYGAGCGCGTTCCGTGGATATTTGAAAGTGACGCAGGAGGTGAAGGCTGCGGTGACTTTGTCCCCGCGTTGCCAGCGGTGCTGCAGTGGTACCAGTGCTGGCTGTGCGGCCGAGACCGGGTTCAGGTTCAGGTGCAGTGTTACTCCTGCGGCACTGCTGCATGTCCCTGTCAGCAGAGGCGTTTGGGAGYGCGCGCGGCCGGGTTCCTTCTGTGAGAAGAAGCTTGGGAGCTGCTCTCCTGCAGGGCAGGAACAGGCGTACGCACAGCCCTGGAGAATCCAGCCAAGGAGAGAGTAGCAGCGGCTGCAGCGAGAAGGGATAGTGTAAAGGGATGCCATCGACAGGGAGGCTGCTTCATTTACTGCCACGAGTGTTAAGAATGGCAAAGAATTTTGCATTTGGATCCTCAGTGGCTACACTGCCAACCTACGTATCTCGTCTTTAACATTAACTTCTTTATAATAAACTTCATGAGTAACAGCCAAAGAGTGAAATTTACGTTTCTCAGATAGTTCTCAAATGCACAGAAGAGAAAAACGGCAAATCTTTCTCCTTGTGCTGCAATTTTGCACAATGGTTTAAGTTTTCATCTGCCTTCAGTGTCATTATGAAGATACCCTAATACACAGTCTGTCTAAAATAGAAAAATAGAGCTTAAGTTGTGAAAAAAAGATAATTCTCCTTTGTGTGGCTTAGAGAGGTTTAATGATTCAGCCCTGATAGTTTTTATCTCTTCTATGGTAAAGAGAATCAAGATGAACCCGAGTATCTGAGCACTCAGCCTCTACTAGCTGGAAATGAGGAGTCATTCGCTGCTCTTAGAGGCTGCGCTGCACCCACTGATCCACAGAAGGGAATTCTGTGAGTGTTAGAACCGTCCCGCTGGCTGTGTCACTGCAGATACTAATGTGTCACTAAGCAGGCCCCTCCTTGCACCCGACCAAAGCAGTCAGCTGCGTTGTTTGGACAGAACGCCTGGCTGCGGCCTCGTGCTGTTCCGCTGCCACCACTGGCGTCTCGCAGCTCCACGCGTGTCCGGGAAGAACAGGGAGCGTGGCGGGGATCTCCGCGGACATTGCCGCCGGTGTGTGTCCCTCTGATCTCACGCCGTCTGTGTAGACCGTTTGTGGCTCTTTGCTTTTGTCTTTGCTAGCAAGAGTTTGGTAGTTGGGGAGCAGGCACAGGCAGGCACACTCTCCTGGAGTGAACCTCCTGGGCGCTCCTGTCTGAGTGGCTTCAGAAACCCTAGAAAGTAAAATACAGGCACCCAAGGATGCAGAAAGGGATACACATCCTTATTCACAGATGAGCTTATTCTGCTCATCTAGTCGTGCTGCCTAATGGCTTTACTTCTGAAATCTTCTCTCTTTGCTCCGGAGTGACCCTATATTGGATTGGGCCCACTCTGGTGAGAAGAAATGGTGTGTGCTGCTGCTGTGTGCATTTCACACATGGCATCTTACATTTTCAAAAGTTGGGTAGGTGTCAGGTGGTTTTTTTAAAGAACTGACTGAAAGAAAAAAAATCCTATTATTACCTTTTGACATACTCAGTTCCTAACCCTGTAATTATTTCAAAAAATACTTGCAGGTTTAATTGGCATATTTTCTGCTATTTCTTAGCTTTAAATCTTTAAATAGAGAATCCTCCACTAAATGAAGCTATCTAATTTTTAATGCTGTTATTCTCATTAAGCATCAGTTCTGTGAGGGATGATTCTATTTATTGTTGAGCCAGTTGTTAAAAATGAATGTTTTTCTAAAGAATATGTCTAATTTTATGTGCTTTTTGAAACGTTTATTAAATACATTAAAACATAGTTAATGTTGAAATATGAAAATGCAGCGCACAGCTTTAAAACATCCCTATGTGTATATTACAGCTTATGGGTGTGAAGACTGTCATACAGCTATGTTCCCAATAGTAGATTTTGGATAAGGCTTTGGAATACGGATGCTCCATGTTCTTACTCTGTGTCCTTACCTTGGCCTCAGCTGGCATTCTGTGGTAGACATAAGCACAGGGCTGTAGTTGTTTYGGGCACAAGTTCATTTATTATTTTCACTACATTTCTAGAACTGTGTATGATAGCAAAAGGCCTTATTATAAAAGGAGTTATACCAGTTCAGAGAGCCACAACACAGCTTTAAAGATGAAAATGAGTAGATAAAACATTCAGTAGTTTTCTTTGTTCTGTGATTTAGATGTAGATACGGTAATGATTTCCTCCTTTTTAAATTCCTCATTGCTATAATGATTTAATTGGTCTATTTCTTTCTCCTTACCATCATTAGCAGCGGGATTTAGACCTGTGAGGCCCAATCTTTCGTCTATTCAAACTCAGCAAGGCTGGAAACCAAAACTTAGTTAAATGTAGCTGCTCTGRGTAAATCCATTTCAGTGTGTAGTGCCCTGCCACCTCTTCAGCCCCTCACAGAGCTGTTGGGGAGACTTCAAAAGGGGACTGGTAGGTGAAAGTACAAATTGTACTTTCAGTGTTGGATTAATTTTGGAAGGAAAACAAGAATACCATATCAAACAAGAGAATACACCAAGARCTTTGCTGGGTGCAATTAAGTTAAAATTTGTGCAGTTTTCTTGAGAGAAATGTTCACTGTACCATTCTATTGCCAGTTTATATTTTGACTTTCACAGTTTACATCCTATATAAGTAGCCTTAGCTATARACTTCCCCCACCAATTGATTTTTTTTGCAAGTGATTCTGTTACAAAATGTTTGTATGAGAGAAGCACTCTCAGAAACTCCGGAGTGGTGCGTATCTAATGCGTCTCACTCCATGGCACAGGAGCCACAGTAAGAGGGCATTTCCCCACAGCCTTCAAAGTCCCTCCCATCTTTTATTTGTCGTTCTTTCTGCTGAATTTATTAGATTTTTTAAAAATTTATTTACTTCTAATAAGTAAACGGCAGAATGGTTGAGTGCAGTGTTCCCCTAACTGGATGGATAATTTAAGATTCCTTAGAAATGTTGGTTAATATAGAATGCCACCTTGTGTTTGCTTAGCCAGACTAATTGTGGGGAGCATATTATACCCGTGTGCTTAAACAGCATCTTTTACGTGCTTAAAATTTTGTGGATTTCTGGATAAATCCATTTTTTTTCAGCTAGTYCTTAGCAGTTTAGGCAGGTCTGGTGTTTCCAAGAGGACCTACATCTCTGCCATGATGTTGCATTTTAGTTCAGTGTAAGCCTACCTGTGTTGGTTTATTATGGCATTGAGCACTGGATTCCTAGGACCAACTAGAGCTCCTCTCTGCTACATTCTTGAGTCAAATAGAGATTGTTCAGGTTGAATTTGAAGAGGGGCTACAAGGTGTAGTGATGGATTTTGCCTGGGAGAGATTTTAGAAGGCAAGTTTTATGAGTTTGGAAGTACCTCAGTTTGCACTACATTTGTTTAGATTTATTGGCATATTACAAGTGAATTTTTGTGCATTAATGGCAGGGTTTTCAATACGTTTGCRTGGAGAAATAATAAAATCAGAGATAGCAAAGACATTCCATTTTGCCCTTCTTACTTCAAATTTGTTTTGTGAAGCATATAAAGTTTTGACCAAACCCTGTGTGTATAGGCAGATAGCTCTTTGTCCCACCTCCAACCGCCCTGTCACACCAGGTGAAGAGCAGAGCAGCAGCCTTCACCCTCCGCCGTGCTTWCTGAGCGCGGTTCTGCTTCTGTCGCGCTGGTGACTGTGGAGGAGCTGCACGTAACAGAAGGATGAAGGGAATAAAGTGTGCTGTGGGGTAGGGAGGACCTCAAAAATCTGATGCAAGTGGGGAAATGAAGTGTGTTCAGTGCAAGCACTCAGGGTAATGACTGTCAGTAATGGAGGTGTTCAAATGATGGGTATTTTTTTTTCTAATGAAAAAATAGGGTTTTTTTCAGCTTTGCAAGTGGAATTTTTAGAGATCAAACAGAAAATGGTCAGACTGGGGAASCTGCCTGCTTGTTGGAATTTGAAATACTGATACTTGCAGCTAAAGTTTGCAAGCAATGTGCAGGCTGAATATGAGGCTTGGAAAGTATTTGTTAGGAAAGTTCAGAGAGAGTGTAAATTTGGAAAGAAATGAGCTTTTGGTGGTAGTTCACAGATTGGAATCAATGTTATTTTGCTACAGATGATTTCAGCTATTAGGCATAGTGCAGCAGTCCTCAGCAAGGAAAATTATGGAGCCAGTCTTCAGGCTGAACAAATACTAAATTTGGTGCCAGCCAAAAACTTAGAGATTACTGTAAGGGTTTGTAAGAAGTAGAAAGGAAGAGCTTGGTGATAACCACAAATGGCTGCTAAAAACAGTTCAGCACAACTGGTATCGTCTTTGTGATGGTGACAGGATTCGGGTCGCAGCCAGTAAGCAGTGGCAAGTGTCGTGTAATTCTGTTGCTTATGCCAATGATTGGAGATAAATATTCTTACATCAGAGAAGAGTGTCCAAACCTGCCGTTCCTAAYGGTTAACAAATATTTTCTGCTCTGCTTTCACTGCGGTAAAACAGAAGGACTAGTAAAGTCAAGTCTCCCAAAACAGCTGTTTCTCTTGAGTTCATACGCTTGCCTACATGTAAAGACATTTTACAAGAAGTAGCCAATATTTGGTGAARTTGCATGGTGATAGACGAGGAATATTTGTGTGTCCCGAGTCAGGGACAAAGCAAGACTTTCAAACTGAGTTTGAAATTTYAATTCTAATTGCAGTGAAGCATGTTGTCAGATGCTAAGGAAAGCTTGTTACTTTAATCCGTTTTTAAGGTGTTTACTATAGGCATATATTCATCTTGCATTCCTCAGAACATCAGGTCGTCTTACGTGTGCCTAGGACGTGTTTGCCCAATGTCAATCTATTTGCACTTTAGTGGTTTTCATTTCTCTCCCATTTAGCCTCATTAATAAGTAGTGTGTACATTTGATGCTGTTTTCTAAGTTGTTCAAAAGATTTGCTGTTGTTTTTATTACATTAGTTTCTACTACCAGCATTTTGCTTAGTTGTGTAAATTGTCAATCAATGTCAATTTGATACTAGTCTTTTATTTTCAGGTAAAGGCTTTTTTTTTTTTTTTTTCTTTTTATCTTTTTTTAGTACATGCATCATGAATGAATCTGCCTCTAGTGGGAATGGACAAGAGTTTGATGTATTTAGTGCTATGGACTGGAAAGATGGGATAGGTACTTTGCCAGGAAGTGACCTAAAGGTAAGATAAGTAATTTTTTTAATAAGAGAAATACATTCTTTTTGCATTTGAAGTTTTTATTTCACAATTTGGCATGTCGTTGTCTGCTTTTATGAATAAAACACACAGCTCAGAGTTCAGGGATTGTAGATGTTAGCTTTTAGCTCTGGAGTTTCTTGATTCAGTTCCTAGTACTGGCAAAGACAATGTCATCCCTGTGGGAAGGTGTAAATTAGCACTGCCTCACTGTAGAGACAGAAGTAATCAAAGGCCCCAAATTCACAACGGCTCAGAAGTTGTGTGTGAAAAATCATTAATCTGAAAGTACAATACTTTCAGTAAGAATCTTTTACAGTCACTTATGCTTCCGGTATTAAATTCATAGTTCTTTTTTTCTCTTCTAAAATATATTCTTTTGTACCTTTGTTGTGTGAATGCCTTGAAATATGAGGAATGTTAGAGCTTCTGATGTTGGTGTATTTTAGAAATTGAAATAATACTGGGATAATACTTAGGTTTTCCAAACTGGCTATCTCATCACTGAAGCAAATTCCAGCATTTTTTATTTTCAAATATTTTATGTCTTATTTCAGTATTATATCTTAATAATATATATTATTAAATATATGAAAGTGGTATGTATACTAATGTATTAAAATATTTATTTATTTGATACTTTTTTACAGTATTCTCAGAAGATATACAGCTGTTTGAATTAAAATCACAGCTTTGATGTTAGAGTTTTTTTGCACTTATTTCTTCTTGGGTGAAATCAGTATTTTTACATAATTCCATTTATACTAACATTGATGAGGTCTTCTTATAGTTTAATTTTTAAATAAAATCTCACAAAATCACTTCAACAAGAATATGTTTTTAAAGAAACTTTTATATACTTTAGTGTCCAATAGAATTTATGTTGTTGAAGTAAAGAATCAAAAAAATGATTCAAGATAGACTCAGATTTATCTTGAGATGTGTTTCAAGTGTCTTTTTCAGAATCACAGAATTACAGAATGCAATCACGGACTTTTGTTTTTTTTKGAACAATATGCTGGGCAGCCCATGCATGCATGCTGGCCTTTGCTGTTTGTTTCGCTTACTGCACCTTCACATGCACCKTGCTTGTGCTGTGGGGAGGTTGTGCCTGGAGATAATCAGACCCCAGGATACCCTTTGGGGCAGCCTCCTGTGCGATACTGATCTCGGAACAAGCCCAAATCTGCGCTCCTAAAGTTCCGTGTGGTTCTGGTACTTGTCCTGCTCGCTTTTCTCAGCATTTGAAACTTCACTGCTTTGCGGTTCCTGCTGTGAAGGCTGGCATCACACTTCACATCCCCAATAATTTCTTCTCTGTCTTTTAATAAGTTAGACTTTTAAAATTCCTTTTTGTTTTAATAAGCTGTATTGTGTGAAAGACAAACATAGTATTGAAGACAGAATCTTTCTTTGGTCCAGTCATTAGAAAGGAGGCAGTCAGAGGTGACATGGTAACGTGTACAGAATAATGAAAGATACAGAGAGAGTCCAGGAAACTTTCTGTTCTTTTTTTTTTTTTTTTTTTTTTTTTTTCAATAAAGCAAGATTAAAAGGAATGCTGAAAGAAATTGAAAGTGAATCATTCTGAAACTTATTAAAGAAAGAATATTTTCCGGCAATGCAGAATTAACCTACTGATCCAGGGAATATTAGGTAGCAGTGAGTGAAAGACTGGGCACGTCTATAGATCACAGAATTGTTAAGGTTGGAAGGGGTCTCTGGAGATGATCTGATCTGCTGCCCCTGCTCGGAGCTCTGGCAACACGGTCAGCTAGAGCAGGGGGCCAGGGCTGTGTTCAGTCGAGTTTTGAGTGTCTCCACGGATGGAGGCTCCACAGCTCTCGTGGCAAACTGCTGCAGTCCTCAACCACCCTCGCAGTGCAAAACTTTTTGCTTAATTATTTCAAATGGCATTTCCTGTGTTTCAGTTTTTCCCCTTTGCCTCTTGCCCTGTCACTGGGCAACACTGAGAAGCGTCTAGCATATTTCTTGGGTGCTGCTTTCAGCRTACAGTGTGCCAGATAGATATGGATTAGTTATGAAAAATGCCAGAACTTCAAATTATGCAGAGGAGAGGGAGAACTAGAAATTGTACAGAACAGTGTGCCCAGGACTGAAAGAGAAAATGTTAGTATTGTGTATTAGGAGTTCTTGCAAGATATTTAAACAAAACAGAAAGCTTGAATTCCAGTAGAGTTTAAAATAGTTCACAAATTACAGAATGCTGTTATGTGGTAGACTAAGTAATAAATACTCATCTGAAATACATCAGTGCTTACCAGCTACTTCTGCATGGTGTGAATATTAAATGTGAAATGCTCTTTTTTTTTTTTTAAATGCATGTGCTGAATTCAGGCAGACACACGATCAGTTCAACATTTAAATGTGTTCATTAAATTGGAAAAGCTGCACGAGTTTACGATCACTTCCTACCACTTCCTACTGACAGAAGGTTATGAAAAACTTCTGCACAAGCTTATTTTCTAGCCTTGTGTTTTGAAAGTGAACTGTCACGTACTGCATGGATGGAATTTTGCTCATCGTTCCCATTTTGCAAATTATGATTAATCTGAGAAAAAGATAAAATTAAATATGATTCTAAATTCAAGTAGGGCAGCTAATATAATAAGACAGACAAATGTAAGAGTAGAACATGAACTGTAGAATAGTGGCCAGTTCAGTAGAGCGGTGCCAGGTATTTCCATTCGAGTCAAGAAGGTGGCCGTGATTCAGGGCGCTGTGTTGCRGCCACCCAAAACAGTAAAGTGCCTCTTTTCCCTGCTCTCCTGGAATTCCGCTCAGGTTAGCTGGAGCTAACTAACATCTGAAAAGAGCTTATTTTTTTCTCACGGAGTAGAAATGTTGGTGGAGTTTCAGGTGCAAACTGAGCACAGCACTGGCTCGGCGCAAAGCCTGTGCCGCTGTCACGCAGCGGCACGTGCCACATGTGTGGTCTGGGCAGCCTTTCCTCTGCGGAGGGAGAGGCCCTCCGAGTTTCCCCAGGAAACATCCTCCACCAGCAAGCACTTAGGTGGGTACCTGGTGCCCAGGAAGGCGGCAGGAGGGAAGCTTGATTCCCCTCGGGAAGTGGGGAAGGGGAATGCAGGGAAACAARGCAGAAAAGATACTGTGACCACAGGCAAGCTCCAGCAGATGCACCTACTGGCTCAGTGTTTTTTTCACAGGGAGCACTAATGTCCTTCCGTTGCAAGCTGATCTTCATTGCCACTGATTTTTGATTAAAACCTTGCATTGTAATATAGTATGATTTTAACTTTTTATTTAAAGAAGAAAATGCTAAGACTACAGAGTCAAATTAAGGAATGACAGGTTTAAGTTTGCTTTTTGTCCTTAATTTGGCGTCCTCATGTGTGCAAATGATACAGTCTTTACGTATGCGATCACATACTATTTTAACACAGAAGAAAAAGTCCTGACGTGTGATTATTTAGTAAATAGTGGCTGTCTATGGCCTGATTTACTGCGGATGGTGGAAGCCTTGTCATGATCCAGGCAGTGGTTTTCAGGAAGAAACAAAACTGTTTTGTGGTTAATGCAGGTAAATCCCACAAAAGCTTAGTTCTGCACTGCCTTCTACCACAGTCTTCCTGTGTGGYGGTGAATAAGTCATTTAAACCAGAATGTTGGCAAGTAGCCATTCCCCTGTATTTGTCGGTTGTGTGGGCTCACCCTGATTAGTGTCCAGTACCTAGAAATAATCTGGCCGAAATGATGCAGCCAGAGATGCTGTGTGGGTGACAGTCTGGATCAAGGACCATGGCCTTGGCCCCTGGGAGCCAGTGGCTTCCGACTGCCGCCAGCTTCCCTGTCCCCTTCTGTACGTGTCTTTGCTTCCAGTCAGAYGGGAGTAGCAGGGCAGACGGCGTTTGCAGTGGAGGGACAGGTATGGAGAAGTCCCCCGGTATTAAACTGYTTCTGGAGCCCTCTGAGGAGGGCAAGATTGAAAGAGAAGGGGGCTGTCTAAGGATAAAGTACCTACAAGTTAATCTAGAGCAGATTTGAGATTATCAGTGGTTTGTTGGGCCAATACCAGTACCTCTTGCTGAGGGRATGTTTGTGGACAATACCTAAGATTTTAGTGAAGAAGTGATGAGAGATTCTTCCTTTTTCTACGTATTTTGGAAAGCTGTGATTTGATAACAGCACATTCAGCCTGATGGTTCCTATTCAGGTAACAAAACCCTTTCCTTTTGGTACAAAAGACTTCAGGATATTGAAGTATCTTAAAATCAGTTGAAGATTAAGTACCTGACTTTCTTGTTGAGGGCATCTTGACAGACATGAATGATTCTGGTGGCAGGGGACCTGGGCTGCCCATTGATCTTGCWGCGCAATTTAATCTCTGTTGATTATGATACAGACAGCCCTAAATAGCCTTGGATCCCAATCAAGTTGTTTTTGCTGTACTCGTCGGAGTGGGAGTGTGCCTTCTGGATCCTTTCTTATAGTTAAAGAAAGAGAATAACTAGGTACAGAGACTCATTTTCTTAACCTTATTTATACATGAAAGAATCAAAGTTTGATGACCAGAAAAGCTTTGGAGTTTGCATGCTTGCAGAGTGCTTTGAAATAAACTGAGAGGAGAATTTTCAGAACAATTAAGGGCTAGAAAAAGACATTTTTGTTTTCTTTCGTAAAAGGCTGAGAACAGTGTTTTTGTTACAGAATTTTTTTGCATTGCCTTGTAACAGAAATTGTTAAGAATGCCTAAAGCTCTTTAAGATATATGTTTTGTTTTGTTTTTTTCAAATAAACAGAAAATAAACTTCTGATTAGTATTGGATAGCGTAGAGTAAAAGATAAGACAGGCTTTACTGGTTGAAGAGAGAGTATAAAAATACCCATCAGCTGCCTCATTTTCTGAATACTCTCCAGCTCATGCCTGAGGCAGGGGTTCTGTGGAAAGAAATAGTATCTGATCTGATGTAAAGCCTGTATCACACACACAAAAATCAGAGTGGTTGAATGAACAAGTTACGGCATTTTCACACTTACTTGACTTAAATAATGTTTTAAAAATAGTTTGGCATGTAGCAGGACATGGTTGGCCGTTCAGTATCTGCAGCTGATTTGTTTGCATTAATGAGAGAAGTAACTGTAAGGTGTCTAAATGGGCTTTAACTAGTATGAACAGCCCCTCTAAAATCATTAGAGTTTGTTGTTAAAATCAAGAATGATGATATTTGTTTGCTAGCCAGAGATCTGAGCTTAGTTTTTGAATTGCATTCCTGGATTCCTTTGGTCCATTTGGACCTTATGGGTCCTTTGGCAGATTGCTGTGTAAGTTTGAGTTGATTTGAACTAACACAYCTGCACAGAGAACATACCTCTGCTTTGGATRTTGGTAGCAGTGCTGGTTTGCCWGAGCTGGGCTCCACTCATACTGCTSTGTGGTCCRGGTAAGTTTTACTCCCAAAGGTATTGCCAGAGCTCAAATAAGGGTTGTATTTATTGCTATAGACTCTTCGTCCTAATCTTGACCAGTAGATGGTACTGTTGGCTGTATTTTTTATTTTGTTTTAAAGCTGTGCATTAAGATGCTTTTATCCTCTTTTCTTTTCTTTTTGCATTTTAACTATGTTTCCTTTTTTTTCTTTTATTTTCTACTTTGTCCCCTAAGTATTGTTCTTACCTAGTGGAAATCCATATTTCTTCTGCTTTGATCTCTGTGGATATTGATGAGATCTTGTACACTCATAAAGGGGCAGGACTGCTCCTAAACTGAAATAGTCTGCTCTTTGCTCATGTGGATTAGACACTTGCAGCATCACCTGTATTTTTTCCTTATGGATGTGAGTTTCTAAGAATTAATCTGCAATATGGTATCATCTCATTGTTTACAGATTTATTTTTATCTCACATTGAATCGCAAATGCACTGAATATTTTTAGGAACTGTTGAGCAATGCAACTGATCTTCTTTTAACATTTAAGTTCCCTAAATAAAGCTAGAGAGTGCTTCCCAAGCTGCATAGTAAAGCAAAGAACTCCTCACTTCAGATATATACCCGGAGAGCAAGCATTAGGTGAAAAAAAAAAGCTATTTAATCTGCAGAACAATGTCAGGTTAAGAACAAGTGGGCATGAAGTGACTATGAATAAATGTAAATGGGCAGTTAAAAGTTTTGAGAAAGATCCAGAAATGGGCTTTGACTAGAAGTACTGGTAAAAAGTATGTGACTACTGCTGAGTGGCAGCTGCAACCTGACCTAGTTCATGTGCTACAGGTGCCTGCAGGAAACAAAGGTTTGCTCTCAATGATTTTTCAACCCTATGTAAATTTTAATTCATTTTTTATTATCAGGAATAGTTCACTGATGGTAGTTCTAATACTTAAAGAAGAATTCATCATGGAGAAAGGTTTAGAGTGTTTGATCTATATGATTTGGTTTTCCCCAGTTTGTGCTTGATTTGTTAGTTGCTGAGGTTAAATTAACACTCATAAAGCTGAAGTCCAAGTGTGTCAGGGCATCATTTCTGGGGCATGTGAAATTTTTGTGCTAAACTAAAAGAACTCCAGTAATGTGAAAAATGTGTATTTGTGCCATTGTGGCTCACTGTTACTTAACTTTGACAGTGAAATTTTCTGTGTAAATGTTATTTCTGTATTTGTTTATCTTAGTGTAAGTTGGCCCAGGAAGGCTGTTGAGATGCTTTCTCTTCTTCCTTGCCTTTTTAGGCTTTAGGGCCTTTGACTGCACTGGTTGGGATAGAGCATCATCTTCACGATGGTCACTTCAATTATGTAAACAGGTGTTTGGCAGGAATCAAGTGAACTAAATTCATACTCAACAGTCATTAAAGTTTATTCCCTGTTAAACATGAAAGAAATGTAAATTAAGCTTCTTCATGAGATTGTTTAAAAGTTCTTGGAAATGGTCTGACTTCATGTCTAGCAACAGGTGTTTTACAGTTTTGCTTTAATGAGGAAAGGTCGGGCCAAAGATAACATTGAAAATCTCTTCGTTCATCCAATGTGTATTTATATATGTATCTATATACTTAAAGAATTTCCTGACAAACATATTTTTATATCTTTCAAAGCTTCTGGTAGGGCTTTAGGCTTTGCTAAATGGCACCTTCTCCCTGTCTGTGCTGCCTTCTTGAAACTCCCAGCCTGTCAGCCACCTGGAGGAGTGTACGGAGGTTAGAGGAAGAGTTGGTCCTGTTAGATCTTGGCTTGGATTGACACAGTAGTGGAAACCTTGTGTGAGCTTTTTGCTTCTTTTTTTAACTTCTCAGTCAAACAGTTTTATATACACCCTGATTTTTTTTTCATTGACACATAAAGCAGTATTCATCTAACAGCTTTTTCTGTCATGCCTTCCATAGTAGATGTTGGTTGACACATTGTTCCGGAGGCTCTTACTCAATATTGCCTTCATGCAGCTTGTAGCTCTCCACTTTTATTTATTCCATTTTAATCAGTTCACTTATGTTTGAAATTTTTGGTCTCTTTGCCTCCCCAACAAAACCACAGTATGATACTTCAGACCCCTTCAGACCGCTACCGTTTATTTACGATGTGCAGCAGTGCTGGAGGGTGGAGAAACAGCGAGCAGGACGAGGCCCATCTGCTGCAGAGCTGAGCAGGAGCTGGAGGCCCCGGTGCCCGCGGAGGGAGGGCTGTAAGCGACGGCCGGAGTCAGGGAGTGCAGGCACAGCAGCCGGCGGGAAGGGCTGGGACACCCCTCTGCCTGCTTAGGCAGCATCATGTGAAGGTGTCAGCTGTTAAAGAGCTGTTTCCTTGACGGTTAGGCCATCTCCACTGTGAAAAACCTCAGGTAGAGCAGAACCAGAAGCCGCTGAGAAGCAGCCGGAAGCACCGAGCTCTTCAGTCACCCCTCGTTCCTGGTCCGGTACGTGGGAGTCAGCTCGCCGCAGTCGCGTGGCCGGGTTGCTCGAGGGGCAGCTCAGGCCACCAGCGGGGCTGGCTGGGGCGACGTCGCTCTGTATTGCAGGTGGCCCTAGTGAAGAGTCAACGGGTGTTTAGCGAAAGAGTTTAGCACTGATCAGATCATTCAGAAATATCTGAGATGCTGGCTGGACTGTTCAAAATACGCTGGTGTGTGCTGGTTGTGGCAGACACTGTGTGAAGGTGYGTGGTTGTTAAGCCCTGTGCACACCTCCGTGTTCGTGTGTTGCCAGATGCAGCGCAAGGTTTTAGTGTGTACTCACAGTCTCCTCCTGAAGCAGCTGTCAGGGAGTAAGATCTCTTAAAAAGAGCACAGCCTTCATCTCTAGCACCCACCTATTTGAGAAGCAGCAGACAAAGCAAAGATTGCAAAAAGTAGTTGAGCAAAAAGAGGAGCCAGGCTTCAAAACAGCCTACTGTAAGGCAGGATTCTCTTCTGAATGATAACTCCTTTTCTTTGCGTGGAGCAGTGTTAGTATCTGTCTGCAAACCTGATTCTCAGCACATGTTGCCTTTCAAAGCTGAGCTTGTCATCTTTTGGTCTGGATGGCTAGATAGACAACTTGTCCACATTTGCAGGTCTGTTGTGAGCGTAATAGGTTATAAATAAAAATCTTGGCTTCAGAAGTCATACAGCTGTGTGAGGTCCTCCTTTGTCTCTCAACTATGAGGATTTCTTAGGACCTGGTGGCTTAGGACTTTCTCAGTGCTGAGATTGGATGTAAGTAGTGAAGCTCACTATGGTATACGTTGGGGGTGGTATATTAAATGTACCTAGGACAGTAGTCCAAAGTGAGCGGAAATGATCCATTCTGGAGTTTCCTGAGGCACAGAGATGATGAAAATAATGTCAGGCAATTGTTSCCCATCTCATTTTCCTGATCTAAAATTACCTGATTAGAGAAGCAGAGATATTATTCATGCTGCTGCCCCCTAAGAATATTCTGGCAGAGAGGCTTTGAAAGTCTCTCTGACGTAAATTTTGCTGTTGATCCCTTTTGGTCATAGCACCTCCCTACCAGAGAATTGTTCTCTGTGATAAAACTCTTTAAGACAGATTTATTTTCAAGTGGGAGTGTCGTGGACAAAACACTGCCTTTACTTCAACCCGTCTAACCAGCTGGGCCTATAAAAATAGTGCCCGTGAAGCTGAAGTTTATTTTCATCTGGTAGCACTGTAATTATTACAGCATTTGGAGGATTTTGCTGCTGGCAGCAGGCTGGGTATAACTCACAGTGATCCTGTGTAAGCACAGCATGTGGGATATTGTTGAGCCTTGCTTCTGGCTGGCAGTAATGCCACGTTCAGCGTGTAATTAAACAGTTCATAAACTGCCTCGAGATGTTTGTTTATGTGCACTTTGCAGCAGAGGAGTGCTGTGCTTTTGGAGGATGCTGAAATTTCTGTGTTGTGTGAAACACTTTCAGTTCCCTTTTCTTGGACAAAAATACTCAGGGAGTGCGTTATTTGCAGGCAACGAAAAGCCTACTGTTAGTTGATTTTCCCAGAAATTTGTTATTGATTTTTCTATTCTTGTGCTAAAGGTGGGTATTGATCTGTGTGTCTGTGTGTATGCGTCTATATCAATACCTATTAAAAACAGTATTTTTAGGTAACAAAATGAGCTTGCATTTTGCTTTACAGAAACAGGAGGTATTTCCTGTTCCTTGGAGATGAGCAGAAGCACCAAGCAATTGGACAGTACAGTGAAGATACCATGTAGAAACTACATGCATTTACAGAAGAAAGCACTTATGAAAGTGCTTTCTTACCACCTAAGAAAGCACTGAGAATTTGTTAATGTACCTTATGCCATTTGTTTTATCAGTTTAGAGTGAATGAATTTGGAGCCCTAGAAGTGATTACAGATGAAACCGAGATAGAAAGTGTGAAGAAAGCAACAGCTACCACAACTTGGATGGTGCCAACTGCTCAAGAAGGTCAGTAAGGAGTCCTGGCATTTTCTGTGGTAAACTGTTCTTTGTTTAATATATCAATTTCTCTTTAAAGATTGCTCCCCATATTTTAAAAATGTATTTGCTTAATATACCCAGGGATSTTAACTTGTTCTTTGGGGTGCAAGTATCAGAATAAATGCATTTTAAGTTTAAAAGGGAATATACTTCCAATATTACTTCCACTGTTAAATGGCTGAAGTTAAGTTATAGTAATTTTTTTCTAAGACTAAATTTCTCCAAGTTTAATATTTTCCTGTTATGTTTCATCTATTTTGAAAAGTAGCCAATTTCTTACTCTGCTTAAATTTTTCCTATTTTTTGAAACATTGTTTTGTTGAGCTGATTTTTCAGACTGCCCACAGACKTTGCTAACTACCTACAGTTAATGCCCAAGGCACTGTGAATTGTAGACAGCCTTCACATAAAATAGTATGTGAAAAACTACATGAAATATTATTTGAAAGCAAACAATAGTTTGTTTCTCAACTGCTATCATCAGTGTCAACGTAGTTCTGTGCTGTTTCCTTGCTCATGACAACTGTGCTTTTTTACAGCATGTAATGATCACACGCATTTATCTCGAATGGTAAAATTCCAATAGTTACGTAGCATCTGTCTACAGTGCAACATGCTACATGAGATGCTGTGTTCCCAGGAYTGATAATGCCGATGTAACAAAACATCTCTTTTCTTCAGAGAAAGTTGGTTTACGTGGTGATTAATTCTGAAAAATGTTTTTGACAGTGTCTCCAGCAATGATGGAGTAGCGTGCAAGAGAATAAAGCAGCTGTTTTTGTGCCCATGCACAGCTACCTAGTAGCTACCAATCTTATTTTTAAACAGGCACTCTAAAACTTTTCTGAAAAACAAGCTCTCAGATTTTCAGTTTAATAACTATAAGTAATTTTAAACAAAAAAGCAAAATCAAATGAAGTTTTTGTTTGCCAGTGCCCCACCRCTAAGCCTTAATTTTCATGTTATTTTTATGAATGAGTAAAAGGTTTCTGCCAGGAGGAAGGTAGTATGAACTCATCTGTGGGGTCTAAGACTTTAGACTCCCTTTTCTGTAGGTCTCCAGGTCACTTTTTTCCGAGATGCAAGATCAAAATCTGAGACAAGAATGTGGGCAATGAAACAGTAGAGAATGTAAACCCTGAATGCGGTAGCCTCTTCCCCCAAAATATGCCACTGAATTAGTATTTTTTTAGTATCTTTTGTATAAACTAGTTACATTACTGTATTACACTGCCCTTGATAGATTTATGGCTTCCCAGAGATAAAAATATTGCTAGAAATTTCACYGGCGGGAAGAAATAGTTATTTTGAACCACTCATGACACTGGTCTGTAAAATTTAACACACAAACGATAGATTCTCTAATGGAAATATTCTGCAAACAGAAAAGCTTATTTGACTCCATTAGAAGGACAGATCAGTGCTCAAGCAAAAGAAATAGTTTGTGACTTGACATTTGCCTTTCTGGGGGGGAATGAAATTGGATTTAAAAGTCTGCAGAAGTCTAGAGGACTTTATGGTGCTTCGTACTTCCCTGTGAGGGAAAGAAGCAGAATTTTTTCCTCAGTTACACACTCCTTGTGGAGAATTAAGGGTTGGGATGAATAAGTAATTTAATCCGGTACTTGGAAATCTATTTGCTACTAATGAGTGATTTTTTTTTAATAGTAGACTTTAGTTTCATTGAACGTGAGCTACTGARGTAAAAAACAATAGAATGTTATCAAGGATTTACTTCCAGAAATAAGTTCACCTATTAAAAGACAAGGCCTGCAAAGCCTTCCTTGCTCATGACGCTAATACAGGTCAAATATCAAGCATGTCAGCAAGTCACGAGGTGTTGAAGTCCATGACTTCCTTCTGTGATGAGCTGTTAATGTCCTCTCTGTTCCCAGGATGATAGAAGCATGAAATCAGTAGCTACTTTTCTACAGAACAGAGATATGAATGTGGCTTATTTGTGGAAAACTGACCCTGTACAGACACTGATTCTCAATCTTCATTCTGACGAGAATGGCATGAGTTCAGCTCTCTGGTTGTTTGGCAAGGCCTACTAGGGATGGTTGGAATTGTATCACCTTTTCCTAAGTGAAGTTACTTTTTTCATTGTTCAGCCTTTTCAGAAAAGACAGGGATCCCCACAAAGTTGAAGGAAGCTGCAAAAGTGGATGGACTTGTTTTCTGTGAAAACTGTTATCGCTATGGTACCATAGAAGAATTTGTTCCTGAAGGGAAATTTTGCAGCCAGAATTGTGCCCAGCAAGTAAAAATCAAGTAGGTGCAATTATAAAGCATAGACACAAAGAATTTGGCATAAATGCAGCATGAGATAAAAGTGGTGGGATGAAACAGTAATGGTGGGGCAAAGGGAGATACTAAGCAGCCACCTTTTCCTAAGTTTCTGATGTTCTTTCACTGTTTTTGGAGTGAATGTGTTGCAGGATATGGAACCTTTGTGGGGTTTTGTGCTAACGCTGGCGTYGAGGGCGGTCTGTTTTGCACAGCCAGCGCTGTGCGCTACTGTCACATGCAAGCAGTGAAACACTTAGTCTATGGGATGCATGAATCAGTGTCAGACTCCCACCCTGTTTCATAATCATTGGAATTAAGATAATCAGTAATGAGATGGTTGGTGTGGTAAGTTAATTATAATTAAGTGTAAAAGCTGTATCAGAGCTGACAGGGAGTGGAAACAYGAACACGCTGTAGTTTCTCAGTTCCTTTCCTTACAGCTAGTGCAGCTCATCTCGCCACCAGTGCAGAGCTGTGTTAGTGTGCACATTCTGTGCTGTACACTGCATTATGACAGTTTGGAAAAACTATGGCTTTGTGCATTTGTCTTTTTTTTACTTAATTGCTTTGAAGCTGTCTGTTGTGGTTGCTTGTTTAGCAATTTACAGTTASACACCAGCTTACTCCAATTGGATTTATCAAGCTCAATCACTGCCTCTTCTTTCCTTACTTTAAACTACCTCAGTTTGCTTCTCCCTGTGGTTTGATGGTACAAGTGAAAGACGCAGGGCTTAAAACATGCAGAACTTGCCCAGCCCAGGCTGACAGCTTCCCCCGTGCAGTTCTTGTTGTATGGCTTCCAGACCGATCTTTTTGACAGATGTCACTCTCAGTAGTATTTCTAAGACTATATTTTGAATGATACCCTGTGATCTCCAGACACTTGACTTCAGATTTACTTGGTTTTTACTTGTCTGCGGAGGTAAGAAGTGAAATGATACTGGCTTTATGTCGTTGTGTTGTTCTTGTAGTAGAGAACCAAAGGAGGAAAAGCCTGACGTGGAATGCAATGGTGACGATGATTCCAAAGGCATTAGGAAGAGAAAAACAAAATTACCTTTCAAAGAAGAGACAAAGGATAATGGAGAGAAGAAGGAGAAGTCTGATGAAACTGTTAGTATGCATCATAAACCCATTCCTACAGATATGTTTAGTGGGAATTTTGCCTTCTGTTACCGTGTCGGTGGCATTCACACATCCCTCTACAAAGCTATGTGGAGTAACTGCATTTAACAAAGCCATAATAAACAGCTGATACACTTGCCAGTTTAATTATCCCTTTTTTACTAAATAATAATTATTGAAAGTAACAGCTGCTTCAAGCCTCTTCTCTGTCTTTTTTTTTTTTAAATAAGAGAGAGCAAAGGAATRTAATGGAAAGATGATACTAACCTAAACTTGTGAACTGAACACAGAAATATAAGAATACATATTTGCTTAAAATTGTTTCTTTGTCAGGCTGCACATTAATAAATGATTATAGGACAAGAATTGATTTGAAAAGGTAATAATTTTATCTTTGAAAAGATAAAGAGAGCATAAATCTGRTTTTCTTAATATAAATTGCTTTAAAGTAAACAGCCAAAGATCCCTGTTAGTTTTCATCCCTTAAGTTGAAAGAAGTTTCCTGGATTCAGGAGAAGATGTAACTAAATTGCTTTTTGGTCTTCCAGCAAGCAGTGTTTATCACATTTGCCATAGGTAATTACAGAAATACCAAAACACATAAAATCAAACAAAGCATAAGGAAGTATCCAGGGGTTAACGACAGCTGATTTTGCTCAGTCTTCCTCGTGCAGTGAATGATAGGTGAACCTGGCTGATAGTGTCTGAAAAACATGTGTTTGCTCTGAAAGCATCAAAGCTACTGGGAGAGGCACAGGAAGAAGGAGAGAGCACTGTGAGTAGAGAGTTGTCCCAGGCAAAAGACACTCCAGTCTATTAAGAAGGGACATTATTGTTGTCCGTATAGCCAGCGGGACAGCCTTTGGGCCCTTACACTTCCTCCCTCCCAAAGGAATTGCTGTTCTGTTCATTAATGCTAACAGAACTGTTAATGAACAACAAAGGAGACAGGTAAGAAAGATCAGTGGCTTTTTGTTTAGCAAAGCAGTTGTGCATTACAAAAAAAAAAAAAAAAAATCCCTGCAAGAGGCCTGTAAGAGATTTCCTTTTAAATCATTTTGGAAGCAGGAATACCTCACAGATGCTGCCAGCTACCTCCACTTCACCTGGGCCTGCTGAAGACCTCAGGCCTTGAATGCTCCTGCTCAGACAAGCCTAGCTGGCTGCATGCCAGGCGTGGAGAATCCGTGTGGGTCCTTTTCACCGTGTGGGGAGTGATTTCCTACCACTGATAGCTCTGTTCACCACTGGACATCTACRGGTTTATTGGAGATACTGGAGGGCTTTGTCAGTAGCTGTATGAATGAAGGCAAAGTTAAACGGTGGGCATCTCTATTTTAACCGTATTTGGACTTTTGGTTTAAGTTCATTTTGGTACTTCTCTTTCAATTTAGGAGGACAAACAAGAAGGAAGAATCATGAGAGTCTCACAGCGAGCCAGAAGGAAAAGAAAAGGGGAAATAACAGTTTTGAAGCAAAGTAAGTTGTTCCGAAACAAAATCTCAGCTATCACTTACATATGTGTGTGGCCCTTTAACTGTGAATTACCAGTGTTATTCCATTGAATTTGTATCCTCTATTGATCACATTTTAGTCAATTCTGTAAAAATATTCAACTGGTACTATTTATAGCCATTATTAGTGGTTTGAACAACTGAAAAAGCCAACAAAATACTTTTGGCAAAAAAATAACTTGGAGATTGATTCCTTTTACCAAAAAAAAAGAGCCAATTTATATACTCCTGGCAGTRCAGAGAAGCCGATGGTAAGTGCAGATGTAAAGGATCACAGAATCACAGAATATTCAAGGTTGGAAGGGACCTCTAGAGATCATCTAGTCCAACCTTCCTGCTCAAGCAGGCACACCYAGAGCATGTGGCACAGGSTGGCATCCAGGCGGGTTTTGAAGACCTCCAGAGGAGGAGACTCCAGGATGCAGGGTTTAGGCTTCTTTATCCCTCCAAAGAGCTTGATWTTAAAGAGAAACAGACCCATTGAGTTACCAGCTTTTGAAAGACAKGTATTAAGCAGAAATGAAAGTTTACTTTTGTTTCCTTAGGGATGAATTTTGTATCTACAGAATGTGCTGGAAACAGATACTTTCACGGAACTGTTTAGGAATAATTACTCTAATCAGTCCAAAGGGAAATATGCTGCATGAAGCAKCTTAATAAAACATATTTTAAAAGAGTGCTGTTCTTTCAAGCCATTGGCATGATAGGTTCTTTCAGGAAGGTTCAGAGAAGTAGCAGCTGTTGCTCCTCAGAGATGCACCAAGAATAACGTGCATGTGGCCCTCTGAGGTCGTTCCCGGGTGGAGCCTGGCGGTCCTTTCCGCTGCCCTCCTGCTGCTCCTGGTGCCCTGAGCAGCTCCAGGTGCCTGGCGGGCCGGAGAAATCCCGCCTCGGGGGCACTGCTCCGAATTGCTCCCGACCTCTAAATTAGGGGTTATTTCTAGTTTGATTCCAGAGCTGAGACCGTGTGAATGAAGCATGAGATCCAAGCAGGGAAGTGCTGGGAATTGCAGCTCTCCAGGGACAYAGTATCCGCACAGATTTCTATTTCATTCATTTATTTGGGAAAGTGTCATTTCAGCAGAACAGATTTGATGCGAACGACTGATTTATACACCAGATCAAACACATCAGTACATATTGCTGTGCAGAGCAATACATCTTTTAAAGAGTATAGCTCAAAACTGGGTAAATCACAAACAAAATTAATGTTTCAATAGTGTTAAACAGTCCCTGTGATTTTTTAGGTTTACTATCTTTGGTTAAATTAGCAGCTTCTCCCGGGAGGCTCTGGCACCTCTGTCGGTATGGTRCATGTTTAGGGCAGAAGTTCTTCAGTAGCCAGGCTGCTGCACTGTGGCCTAAGGGGTTTATTCCTCTTGTCTGAGTATGCACAGAGGAGACATTTGATGTGAGTGCCAGCAAAGCAGAGCTGAGCTGTAGGAAAGCTAATTAGATGCAAGAAGCCTGTATGGGCTTTCAGTAGCACTAGTCCCTTATTTGCAAATGTAAAAACTATTACTCACCAGTGTCTCCTTAAGAGGCACTGTAGAGTCTGATACTTTGCAAACAATTCTGTAATCTGCGTTACAATATTTAAATAATGGAAAAAGAAAGCATTGGTGACTGTTTGGAGCTTTGGAGAAATCACTGTTAAATGTCTATCTTTCCATCCAAAAACAACAAAGTATGAAGTGCTGGGTTTGGTTCGGAGCATTCTGAATCCTGTCGAAGAACAGAGCATTGCAGCTGTGGTTAAAGAACCTCCTAAACCCGTCAAAACTACTGTCTTACTGGAAACACTTCCCTCAATCGGATTTTTTTTCCTTTCTCTCTCTGAGGAAACATCTTAAAATACTGAATTGCTTCATGTGATCTGTTCTTCTTTCACACTTGTTTCCAAATCATAAATGTAAGATCTTAATTTTGGGTTTTTTTTTTCAAATTAGAGATGGCGCAGAGAGCCCATAAAGTCTCATAAGTTGTTCTAGTCACCTAAAAGAACCTTTTTTTTAGTAGGCAAGGCATGAACAGATAGAAACCATCCTATACAAACTGTTTTTCTGGAATAAATCCTGAGAAATACTAAGAATGCGTTTAAWGAATTGTAAGTTTGAGATAGGTATGTTACAAACTTTAAAATGTTTACCTTGGTTACTGGAGAAATGAATAATCACAGAACTCATTTGACATTGCATCCTTCCTTACAGCYGTGCCCTCTAAAGGGAAGCCCGCGTGGTGCTGGGCGTCTTACCTGGAGGAAGAGAAGGCTGTTGCGGTGCCAACCAAGCTTTTTAAAGAGGTACGTGAGTCACCAGGGGAGATAATGTGATTTCTAGGGAAACTAATTTAAAAAAAAATGTAGGAGATTTTCCCTCTCTTGAGGAAAGGCCATCTGATTAAAATATATTACCATCAAGATATGAAGAATATGTATGAAATAAATTTTATTTCTTAGCTTTTTAATGACCCSTGTGGCTGCACATGAACATTGTAAATTGAGACTCCAGAAAGCAGCTGCTTTTACAAAACCCAGTTCTAGCCTTTCCTTCTAATCTGTGCAGCTAGACATTTTTGGGACACAGGACATACCTACCCTCAGTTCACATGCCATCTTTTTCTCTTTAAATATGTTTAGAAAGGCGATACCAAGGTCAGCTTTGGGCTTGTTGCTTTGATTTTATTTCCTGTCTTTGCTGCTTTTTTTGATGTTACTTTTTGCTTTGCTGCATCAGATCCAAATTTGGCCTGCTCGCATTTTACCTGTCTCTGACTGGATGTCAGATCATGAGCTCTCGCTTGTCCTTTTTCTGCCGTGGCAGTCTTTGCCATTTGCCATTTTAGTGCAATCTCTTTTGCTTTTTCTCTTGCTTTGAAGAGAGCTCTAAACACAAATGCGCAAAGCTTCCATGTTGTCTTCTCTTGCAAAACCTGGCAAAACACGAGGATGTCCCAGCTGCTCTATGTCTGCTCTGTATTGTTAACAGGTTTTGTTCTTGATAGATCTGCCTTTACATAGCGTCTCTTTCTTGCATCCATCCAATTTTATTTACTTTATACTAAGCTATTAAAACCTTCATGCAGGGTTCAGTTTTTCAGTATAGATATATGTGTGATACTGGCCTCTGCTTGGTGCTTCTGCACATTACTGAGATACAAAAGGAATTGAAAATAAAGCACCAAGACTGCAAAGTCTAGAGGACCCCCACAAAAACAAAGCAATAAAACAAAATAACTGAGAGAGAACAGCGTTAATTACTATAGACTGTCTGCAGTATATATTGGCCAAAAATTTAACAAGGAACGGTTCCTGCTAAGTAGTGCCTTTGCCCGGCATGCATGTTTAAGAACTGTTCCTGCATCCTAGGTCCAGCCTGTTCTGGGGTAGGATCCTGGAGGTGTGGGTGCACATGCAGTGGTGAAAACACCTGTTAAGCTGGTTTCAGCTGGGCTAGTTCTYCATTTCTTTTCTCTGGTCTGCGTATTCCTGCCTTTGTGCCATGCCCTGCATTTTTTTTTTTTTCCTCCCTTGGGTTTATTTACTGTTAGATAAGTTACAGCTGTGAAGCTACCACAGAGAGAGCTGCCTTTCCTTGGAAAGGAGGAGCTCTGTCTCAGTGTCTCTCTTTCTGCTGACTAGGGAGGTAGTGCAGATGATTAGGGAGCACGTCAAACTTTTAGGTAGCAAGAGTTAGGTAAAATACATCCTCTCTTGGAGTTTCTCTGTATGTGTTTTGAAGCAGCATTTGGGGTATTCAGGGCTAAGCTTTCTTATATTTATTTTTTTCCCAAATTTTGGTGTGAGTGGCTTGTATATTGTTGTAACTGTAATTATAAGCTCAATTTATATTTTGGGAGCTATTTCATATGGTCTTAACAGTTATAAAGTTTTCTTTTACCATTTTTTAAAGTTATTTATTTCACAATTTTTAGTTCTTTCAGAAAAATYAATAGTCAATAATTATTGTCATTTACATTATAGAAGCAGTTTGTCCTTTCTGTGTATACTCCCAAAATACTGAAACTGTTCTTTTTCATTCCAGTATCAGTCTTTCCCATACAACAAAAATGGATTCAAAGTGGGAATGAAACTGGAAGGGGTGGATCCCGAGCACCAGTCCATATACTGCATCCTCACAGTGGCTGAGGTGAGTGCCGGCGTGCGAAGCTGAGGGCAGATGGGGTAGGAGATGGCACAAGAAATTGAGTGGAGGAGCAGCTGAAGGTGATGTGTGTTCCGTAACAGGCAGAGGGAAATTCCCCCTAGGAAGCTCCCTGCCTTGGAAATGTTCGGAGATGACGTCTGGTACTCCACAGCAGTGACTGTGCACATACATGGAGCAACAGAAAACAGCGTTTTGCTGCTTGGGTCATGTGTATTTGTCTGCAATCCTGTAGTTTTGATTAGATTTATATTTAAAATAGGACTAAGTAGAAAGAATGTAACTATGACAACTGATAGTTTATGTRGTCTTGTTACATTAAGGAGTGCTGTGTTCATTAACCCAAATACCTAGCAGTTTTTATGTTGCTCATGTCTTAAAATTTTTTCAGAGGCATTGCCTCAGAAACGGTCTGCATTAGCAAGTTCTGCAAGTCAATATGCAAGGAAATCTCAGTTTGCCTTTGTGCTGCAGTTATGAAGTACTTTCTTCACGAGCAATTTCTTTGCTTTTAATGATTGAGAACTTAGTTGCATTTTGTATGTCCTCTAAACACACCTCACATTAATTTTTACTTGGCTTTACTGAGGATACTTTTTTGGTTTTGTTAGTTTTATATTACACATCAAATGGGGAAAAAGGAACAGGTAGCTACTCTGCTCTATATCATTTTTATTCTAGACAGCTGTTATTTCACAATTTATATTTTAATAGAAGTTTTTATCTTCCCACTTCTGAATATTTTCATCCCCTTTCTGTGGATTTCTTTTTTGTTTATTTGCTTGTGGACGATATATAATATGTTCTGTGTACTTTGTGCTTGCCACTAAGTGACATCTCCTGTTTTATGGCAGGATGACCTAAAATACACCATAATTCTGAGGCAGTAAACTGAGAGTTATGTCAGAGTATCAGTTAAATATGAGATATGGTGATCTTTTGATGTCAAGAGGTTTTTACTGCTGAAAAATGGCATTTACTCCTTGGGAAAATGTGGATAACATGTATAGTAGGGATTATATCTTTTGTTTTCCATTTGGTATTTAACTTGGCATTTCATGGAAAAAAATAAATCTGGGGAGTTACCTCCATTCTCCACTGGCATTTAATCTTAAATAACATTATCTCTCATTATCTCTTTGGCGAGCTTGTTGAACACAGTCTGTTTTGGAGTTCTAGCCATGCTCCCTTGCATATTGATGTATCAGTATAGCTTAAAAGTCTCATCATCTCAGCCTTCGCTAGGATTGTATCCAATCTATCCATGCTCTTGCCTAGAGTTTCTGTTTTATTCTGATGTCACATTAAGGAGTTGTCAAGTTTTCGAACACTAATGGCAATATCCAAGTCTTGTTTTTGCTTTTCACCAGAAGAGGAGGCTCTCAGACTGAAAGTTGCTTAACATTTAATCCTTCTCTTTTTATCACGTGTATTTATGCATCCAGTGTCCGCAGGAGCAAGAGTAAAGGCTGACAGAATGAAGCACACTGTTARTGTCTGTAATACCTAGCAGAAACTGTGACATGTATGGAGAACATCTTTAAAAAAATTTTTTTTTTTTTTTTTGTACATTCTACTTTTAGGTTTGTGGCTACAGAATACGACTTCATTTTGATGGATACCCAGATTGTTATGATTTCTGGGTGAATGCTGATTCTTCAGATATTCATCCTGTTGGATGGTGTGAGAAAACAGGTCACAAACTTCATCCACCTAAAGGTACTTTTAATCTGAGGTGTGCTTGGTTTCTACAGCTCTGAAATGGAGATTGTGTATGTAATGCTGTGATTTTTTACTTTTCTGGAAAACACTTTTTTTCTCAATTGAATCAAAGCACTAGAACGCTCCATGTTATACTCCAAAGTCTTGCTAAAATCTGGAAGTTTAAATCCTTCCTTTTCTATTCAGCAGAAATCCACAGAACACAAAAATTAATCAAAAGAATCATTCATAAGGCATTATAAAAGAAAAGTTAAAAAACAAACCTAGACCCCAAACAAATCCTTCTTCGCAGTAAAACAGGAATGTGCTGGTGAAGTGTTTGCTCACACTGGGATCTCACAGGCAGCTGGGAATCCCCTTAGCAGAAGGTTTTAGGATTATTTTCATYATTACATGCTAACCAACATTAACGTGTAGTAACCAAGTGACTAATAAAAACTGAGCTCTTGCCGCAAAGAGTAAGCTTGGAATAGAAACAAAAAGAGGAACTCACAGATAAGAAGGGATAATAAAGATTACAAGCCTGAAACTGTAGTCAGTTCATAATTTATGTGATATAAGTGTTGAAATAATGCATAATTCATTTGCTTAATCATTATACTTCAGACTAGGTAACTACTTTATTTTGGCAGATAGACAGAAAGCAGTTGTGTGAAACTGGCATTTCAAAAAGGATAAATGGGCAGCCTTTTTGGGTGGGAATGGTGTATACAGGGATGAAGGGCTCAAATCAGGAGAGTGAGAAATAAATGAATGTGGTATTTTGACTTACACAATAAGAGTAAGGAAATACTAATTTAAAAGGCTGCAAGAAACAAATATACAGAGAAGCAGAGGCAGATTTATGGAGAATTTCAAAACTGGATATAAATGCTTGGTGGTGGAAAACGAGAGGAAAGCCCTTCAAAGTAGCGGAGGGCCTGTGGGCTGGGGGGAGGCGGTTGTTTTTGCAGCTGAGCCTCGCAGGAACACAAGGGAGCACCCGCTGCTCTGGGGAGCCCTCCGCGCGCTGCCTGCAGGGCTGCAGTGCTCTGGGCAACTGCTGCAGTATGTGGCTCTTTATTGGAACATACTTCTGAGTAGGTCCTTGTGTAGAAGTAGTAATTTCTTGAACATAAATCAGAATTTCTCAGCAGGTTACCTTCTCCTGAAGAAGCAGCTTGTATATAGTGAACGAGCAGTCCCCAGTTTATATAGAATTACTGATGTTGTTGCAGTGTGCTCAGGAAATTTGGTGCCTGTGGTGTGGGTTTGGCATCTTTTCTGTCTTCAATGGCCGTTTTAAAAAGCTTAGTGTTTCGTTAACCWTAAATTACTGCTGCTGATAGAAAGTTAAAATCTTCCTCCCAGTCAGTTTGAAAATTTTCTTGTAGCCTGGTTTTAAATTGGTGAGATAAGTGCTCTTCAGTTTYATTTTTTCTCCACCCTGGATCAGTGCGTAGAGTTTTTCTTAGGGAAGTCTTGGAGGTTATCAGAGGTGTAGGGGAGGGCAGAGTTATCAGGATATGTGAAGGTAATCACCGGAATCCTGCTTGTGGTTAGTGCCCATCAGTGCAAGCCCACGACTCCGTGACATTTGAGCCCTTACGAACAGCAAGGTCTCTCCCTGGTAGTTTTCTCCAGATCCAACCAAGCGCTCTCTGCACAGCCTGGCTCCTTCCCCTCGGTGTCAGCCTGTTCCATCCCTTCCCCAGTGTGCCAGGACTACTGGAACCCATGTGGGGACATATGGGTTGTTCCCCACAGTCCCAGGGAAGCCTTCACCGACGTGGAGAAATAAGAGTCACCGCTGTACACTCCTGCATTGGGAGGAGCCTACAGGGAATTGTTCTTTCACCAGCTAAAGACATTTCTTCCAGCTCTCCAGCAGTAGGCCTTTCACTACTTAGATTTAACTGACGTTTTCAGAGTTAGGCTATTCTGAGCAGCAGGAGAAGGCAGTCTTAGGTTGCTGGGGTTCTTTTTGGTGGAGAGGAGAGGGGGTTGTATGGGCTTTTGAGGAAAAAAATGGATTTTTCATAGCTGTTTTGTGCCCATATAATTTTTTCCATGTCTAGTGGATCAATATATAGGTGATCTGACAGTTCACATTTTTCTGTGGTATTAACGTTTTAATTGTACTTTCTGTATAGCACCCAGTGCAGACCATATGGGAACTAAAAGCCGTTCCAGTGACAGCAGTGTTGTATGAAAGGCCACCTCCCGGCAGAAGTTAGAGGTTTGCACAGTGGCTGCTCATGTCGTAGGCACAGCCCAAAGCGGTGCTGTGCGGCCTGTGACCAGGGAGCCACTTGGGACGCGGTTGCTCTCTGCGCACGCAGCCTGTGCGCGCTCGGGGTCCTGGTGTACAGAGTCACGGACTCACAGGATGGTTGAGGTTGGAAGGGACCTCTAGAGATCATCTAGTCCAACCCCCTGCTCCAGCAGGGACACCCAGAGCACRGGGCACAGGGCGGCATCCAGGCGGGTTTGGAAGATCTCCGGAGAAGGAGACTCCACATCCTCCCTGGGCAGCCTGTGCCAGGGCTCTGGCACCYTCACAGCGAAGAAGAGTTACAAGAGAAGCTGTGCGCAGGATACCCTGCAGAGGGATTTGGGGCACAGTAATAGGCTCCACTCCCTCTTTTCTGAAAGGGGGAAACTTTCTGAACAYGGTGCCTGATGAATCTAGGTTCATCTAGGGAATCTTGTTTGCTAGGTATGGAGGTTTGGAGGGAAGGTAAAACCCAGAGGTAAAATGTCCTGTAAAACCACTGGTTTATCCTAGGGCCTGGAGGGGAAGGAGAAGGGAAGTGAGAGAACAAGATCGTTTTTAGAGTGTTTTCTACTACAGCCTCCTTTATAGCGGCGGAAGGGCCGCCCAGCCGAGCTGCAGCGCGGGAGCCTCCGCTGGGCGCCGCGTCTCCCCGTCGCCCCTAGGGATGCTCCGTGATGTCCAGCCAGCCTGGGCAGAGGCCGCAGGAATGGCACATTCCCATAAGGACCAGCGCGGCTGGCCTGCAGCAACTCTGTAGAGAGACAAGAGGCACGGGAGGGCCCAGAAAGGGAATTTCTTACAACTCAGGGATTAATTTGTATTGGCTAATATTTAGAATGAAAATCGAGAAAAGCAAATGTAGAAAGAGTAAAGGGTTCTTTACTTACAGTGCCTAGGACATAAGATTCTTGGAAAGTTAATTATGGCTGTTGTCAGTGGCCTATTTGAATAGCACTTCAAATATTCGGGAGGTAACATAATTCAGTACTTAAGGAAATTGCCAAAATTGGTAGAATTTTTGATCTCATTTTACTGAATTGTAACAGAGGAACTAAAATAGATGTTCCTATAATTAATATTTAAGGAGAGAATAAGGAAGAAAACTACATGCTTGCAATGGTAAGCATTGCTTTAATGAGCAGAAATATAAGTGATTTGATATGGGTTTTTTTGTGTAATTTATTATATTATGAACTACTGGTTTTGTTCTTGAAGAACCTAGGAGTAAACAAACATAAATTCAGATTTCTTTTTCAAGTGTTGCATGAATTCATAGAATATAAAATAGAGAAAGTCCATATAGAGAATAGCTCACAGTGCAAGTATGTCATGGTACAAGAGTATATTTTGCATACAGAAGTCTGAGTCAKGGATAGTGTAAGCAACTATTTTGATACCACCTGGAAAGCCTGGTTTAATGCACGTGACCCTGCACTGGTGATAGCCTGAGGATGCAGCAGGGTGAAACCCATAGGAAGAGGGAGTCTGATGGGCATAGTTGGAAAAGTTTGGGGCCTGTAGACGCTTTGTGGGTTGTGAAGCAGAAGCAAGAGGCTGCCGAGCTGCTCACAAACCATTGCTTTGAGTTTGTTCCATGTTTTTCTGTCGTTCAGACTGTTGGAGAGAGGATAGTTGGAGGGGAGAGGGATGGCAGGGTGTGATTTTCTTGGGAAAGAGGCAGTTGTAGCTTTTGAGGCTGAGAAATTTGCTGGGAGGGAGGGAGGTTATAACGTGAAACCGATACCTTACTGAGGCTGATTTTTGATATCTGGTAGAATTACGGGTTTTGGTGTTTTTCTTGAAGTTATTTTGCTCCTTGAGGACCTTCAGGTCCCTTGAAGGTCAGGATTGTGAGATCGGTATCAAGGATAGAACCACAGAACGCTTAAGGTTGGAAGGGACCTCAGAGGTCATCGAGTCCAACCCCCCTGCTCACGCAGGGTCACCTAGAGCACGTGGCACAGGGCTGCATCCAAGCGGCTTTTAAAGATCTCCAAAGAAGSAGACTCCACAACCTCTCTGGGCAGCCTGTTCCAGGGCTTTGTCACCCTCACAGTGAAGAAATGCTTCCTTAAGTTCCTGTGGAACTTCCGATGCTTCAGTTTGAAGCCATTTCCTCTAGTCCTATCCCTGCCCACCACTGAAAAGAGGCTGCCCCCCTCCTCCTCACTGCCTCCCTTGAGGTATTTATACACGCTGATCAGGTCCCCCCTCAGCCTTCGTAGAATAATTTGGGTAAAATAAGGTATATTTTTGGTAAAATAATTTGATAAGATAAGGACAAATTTGGTAATGTTTCCCAGCTTGTTTTGAAGTTAATATTGAAGCTGAGCTGAAATCTCCTGCGGTCCTGCCTCGTGCTTTTTTCGTATGACTATTATTCTTCCTTCTATATGAAGATTAGGAACAGTCTAAATTTAGTCCTAGACAACATAAAAGACTAATAATCTATAGCTCAGGAAAGCATAGTGCTTTATAAAATAAAATGGGTATTTTGGTAAGGAAGTTCAACCAAGCCTAAATAAAGAATGTGATTCCTTTTTATAACATCAAATGGCTAAATAAAAGTAGAAAAGTTTCATCAAGTTTCTTTTGAACTCTGTAAGCTGCTCTACAGTGTGTCATGCTTCAGTTCCTAACAATACAAAACAGTGCTCCCTGGAACACTACTCATTGCATTTAGTTTCTGTAACTTCCTATTGGGGTGAAATTAGTAATTAAAGTACATTTTCTTTCCGTAGCTTATCTGAAATTATAATACTAATTGACAATGCAGGATGCTTTTCAGTTTTGAAATTGTAAGAAATAGCTCAGAATAAGATGGAAAATAATTTTATTAACTATGATCAACACACTGACATGAACCTTGTGTCTCATGTCTGTTTAATTGTTTGTTGTTTGTGGCCCTCATTTAGGATACAAGGAAGAGGAATTCAGCTGGCCAGCTTATCTAAAGGCATGCAAGGCTCAAGCTGCTCCTAAATCTCTATTTGAAAACCAGAATGTGGTAAGTACTCACCTGCTTCAGGTAATGTGGAAAGTTGCAAGTGGGTTCACATTTCTGACACTGAACTTAGAGCAGATTTCAGTGATTTCAGACTTGAAACCATGCAAACATTTTTGTCTTAAACTAAATGCAGTAAATTTGTTAATAATCTTTGCATCGATTTACCTCTGAAATTCTGATCCATTATTAYGCTTATTTGCTTATATTRGATTATTTGCTAAGCTGTGTAAACATCTAATCTGACATATCCAGAAATAGTATATTAAATGAATTTCCCATCACTTTCCAATTTTAGCGGCATGTCCAGGACTTTTTTATTTCATAAACTATGAGTCTGTCTGTGTTTGAGCATCTCGCCTGTCAGCTAATTAGGCTGCTGCCATTCTGTTGGGGCCACTAATTGGGAAATTTAGAAATGACATGAATATATTGACTGTGGACACCAGGGAGATTTCTGATTTTATAGTATTCATCCTTAATTAAATGTCTTTCTCTGCGTAGACAGTGATTCCGTCGGGATTTCGAGTGGGAATGAAGCTTGAAGCTGTAGACAAGAAGAACCCCACGTTCATTTGTGTTGCTACGGTAACAGACATGGTGGACAATCGTTTCCTGGTTCATTTTGACAACTGGGATGAGAGCTACGACTACTGGTAGGATGGTTTGGCTTTGTACTGTGGGGAGCCCTGCCAGAAGCCTGTTAGCTTTGAAGCCGAGTTTTAAGTCATACGTGACACACTGTGCGCACAGTCCCCCTGTCACCCTTTGCTAGCTGGATAAGCACAGGTTGGTACACACGAGAGTGTGTCTTGGTGGCAGCCTGGAGGAGTCCAGTAYGTCCACTAGGCTTCACGAAACAGATTTCCAGAGGTTGCCATAAACGTTTTCTTTGCATATGCTTCTGTATCTGGGGTTGTGGAGTAATTTCTCACTGTAATTACACAGTATCTTTGAGACTGACATCTTTAGTGAAGAATATGTAGCGTAACAATTATCGTGTTTATAATTAGACTTGCATTTAAGAAAAGCTGCAGAGTTTTTTCACGCTCAGGATCCATTCTCTTGGTTCATCTTGTGATTTAGGCTGAACCTCAGCTGTCTTCTATAAGGCGTTAGGACAGCAAGAAAACTTGGTGTTAATCTTTTGTGTTCCGTGTTCCTCAGTACCCCCTGGCACCCTGAGCCGTGTTGGAGATGGCCTTTCCACATGTTGTGTGCCTGTGGGAAAAGCCAATGAGTGGAACAGGGCACTTTGGGAGCATAAAAATCCTAAAGGACAGTCAGCCTTTGAGATCAGAGTGCGAGTCTACTTTTGCACTGGCACCATGTCTAACTTTCTTTGAAGAGTAAGTTACCCAGAATAGCTAAAATTGAAGTCTGCCTTTTGAGTCTCATCATGGTACATTAATTGCATAGCTCTGCCTGTAAAAATACACGGTGGAGAAAGCCTTCTTCATGTGTATTGGAATTCTCAGGTACTCTGGTAAAGATCGTGGTGCCGACCTGTCATGTAATGTCAAAACTTTGTGAGCCCATCTCTGGAGATAACAATTGCAAGGGCCTCGTGGCAGGTAAGCTGTAGGTAAAAGAGATCATTGAAGCTGTGGTGAGCAGGCATTTCCGTGAGGTTGAGAGTTGAGTCGCAAGGTGGTAGGTCATACAAAAGAAAGAGTAGAAGGATTAGTGATTATTTCTGAGATGAAATTCTTAATGCAGAGCTGGTCTCCTCTACAGATCAGCAAGATACTGTTAAAAGATATTCTGAATTTCCTGATACTTAAATACTCAAATAGCAGTTATCCTTTTAATTAATATGAGAATAGCATTTATGCCAGGCTTTTAAATCAAATGAACGCGCTGTGATAGGGCCTGTGTTTGGTTTGTTAGAGGCACCGTAGCTCTGCAGTGCCCTGTGCGTGGCAGCCGTGTGCTGAGTTTCAGCTCTGCTTATGGGCCCACAGCAGCAGCAATGCAGCTCACCGGGCCTTCAGGAGAGGGAAAGCAGTCTCTGCAGACTTACTCTGGCTTTAAATTTGTACTCTCACATTATACTAAAGCAAAATTTCTGAATTTTGTATGTCAAATAAGTAAAATAACACCTTTCTGAAAGATAAGGAAAAATGAACCTGAAAAATTTGGGGCCCTTTTGAAAAATCATTGGAGCTCTGCTTATATTGAAGCCAAGCTGGAGCGTTGTTCTCTGTGAGCTCTAAAAATACCTTTTCAGAAGGAATAAGAAGCTGCTGCTAGAAATACTGTGTGTGAAAATTAAACTCTGAGCCATGTGGCCTCCCTGTCTATATTGTCCTAATTGCAAATAGGATTGAATAGAGGAGGAAGGAAGGAAAGCAGGAGAAAAGAATAGCAAACAGAAATAGCAGCGAGAGCCTGAAAATACCTTGGGGATGTGAGTTTTACACCTACCAAATGCCATCTGTAGCTAAAGCTGGAAAATTCTGCTGGGGTTGCTCAGGGCGGTCACCTTCCCTTTCCTCTGCACCTCTGACTGTCACTCTCCAGTTAGGAGGAATTCAGTAGGGAAAAATGCTGTATTTGGGGTATGTAGTTGCTTGCTTTCAAACACATACGTTTCCTTCTCTATGCACCTTTTGTGGTTTAGACAAGTTGGGTAAAGGGAGCTTTTTTGCTGAATATAAAAATTCTTTCCTGCTTGTGAATAACTACAAGACAGTGAACTAATTTTCCTGAACTTAAAGCAGCAGGAATAAATTGCTATCACCTAAGCTTTTTTAAGCCTCATGCTTTCAGCCTGAAGATATATTTCCTGACTTGCCTCAGCATTAGAAAATACATTAATGGTTGAAAATAAGTACCCTAGCTAGAATTAGTCATTACTAGAGCTCTTTAACACATGGTGATGATAGTTTCAGTGTATTAAAAATCCCATTAAATTGTCCATTGGCGGGGGCTTTTAGAGGGAAGAGAGGTGAACAAAATTGACAAATTTAAGACATCTGTTTGAGAAGGAGGATTTGGAGCTGTACTCAGTAAGCCTCTGGTCCCTTCCCTCTGCCCCTTGCTTTTTGATGGAACCAGTAATGCTTTTCTGAGAACCATCCTCTCTGAGTGCTGTGCTTAAAATTGGGCTAAACCTGGGAATCAGCAATAACATTTGAGAATATGTCTTTAGGTTGGTTTTAGAATGAGCCACTAATATGCTGAGATAGACAAAGATTAATACTGCAAATTCTGTGGGTATTTCAGTGCTGTGAATTAACTGTAAGTCCAAGCTCGCTGTCAGTTCTACGTTCTTGTAAATCTGTTTTATTAACCTGCAGGCCTGTGTAAGACAGGCTTTCCCGGAGCTCCCTGATTTTCCTGTGGCAAAACTCAAGCACTCTTAGGTGAACTCACCAAGCCAGAAAGCTGTGTCCACGGGTGCCCCACTCAGYGTTCTCTGCTGCCTGCTTTCTGAAGCTCCTTGTGAAGACAAGTCAGCTGCTGGTTGGCAGACTCCTCTCTTGCTCTTTGAGCCTGGGAACAGACTGCATGGTGGTGTAGGGGTAAATAAGAGGTCGCCTCCCCTTCCCACTGTCATCTCCGACTTTGCCAATAGCAGAGTCTTTACGAGTTGTGCACTGCATGTTTCTTTTTGGAGATAATTAACTTTGCTCCACTCTCTCTTGGAGAAGGGATGGTCTTTTTGAAGGACACCACTATGCYGAAAAAGAAGATAAAACAGTCTAGAGGAAGCATGAATCATAGCACATGCTAGGTTATGGACCAGTGTGTGCCTCTGAACCTCCCAGATTGCTTGCGGACAGCTGGGCACCTGCCATACCACCAGCCTCCAGACAGAAAGGACGGCGAAGGGGTTGGTAGAGCAGCTGAGGACACATCCCGTGGTGTCCAGCACCTTGGTGTTGAGCAAGTCCTGACTTGACCCAGGGTATTAGCAGCGTAGCGGTGCTGGCGTGTCCTCACTCAGGCACGAGGTGGGGCTGTGGGACGGTTTCTGTAGCGCTCTCCTTTTTGCTTTTTCATTTGTGCACAGCCAGACAGGTGTATAGCCACTCACAGCCATAAGTAGCATTCCAGAGGGCTGTGTAATGCATATGTGCTTTTGATAGATCCCATTTTTGTTACTGATTATATTTACATGTAATAAAGTGATAATCAAGAAAACTAWTTTTTTTTCCTCAAGATGGAGAAGTTAGAGATTATTTTAAAACATAAAATGCACATAACACATTTGACTTGGAAAAAGATCCTGGATACTTAATCAAAATCCTGTTTACATCTTCAGATGGAGATGGAGTTGAGGAAACRTTTTTCTAAAAGAATTGAATTTTCCTTCTTTTAACAACTAGCATTATCATCTGTCTCTCCTGATAATCTGAATTAAATTAAGGAGTTAGGTATATGAAACAGGGATTTTTGGGGGGGGGGGGAAATTAATAGGACACCTGAAACTGAGCAGCAGCAGGACGACCACTTGTGCTTTGCTGTGTGACAGTATCGGGTGGAGACGCTGTCGGGCTGCGAGCTGAGCGCGTGCGACTGCCCCTGGGCTGCTGTCCGGGAGGGCCCCGGCCCCGGGGACCCGCGCGTGCCGCTGGCTCCGGCTTATTCAGCGTGGGAAGAGCTGCCACAGGGGAGCTTCCTGCTCGCCTTGGCTTCACAGCCATCCTTTCTGCTTTGATACCCTTCGGAGGTGTTGTTAAACTGCCGTTAATTTAGCTGAGCTGTGTGATACAGYTCTGAGTCCAACTGGCCCTTGGCTGTTTTTTGCTCCATTTAAGCTTCTGTGATTAGCCTCAGTCTCCAGTATGGATAATAGATGTCTTGTTGTGTCTGAGTGCTCTCACATGACAGAGTGGCTTGTGAACAACCTTTCTCAGCATGTAAGGATCTTCAAAATTTATTATTCACTATATTTTCTGAAGTGTGTGTCCTGGTCATTCTCTGTTTTGCCTTGGAGTAAGGAAAATTCAGAGCTATGGGGCAATGCAAGCTGGTTGTGAAAGTTGAGATCAGGCTTTTAACATTWCCGTTTACAAGTCTTAGGCTTAGTCTAACAGGTTATAGTTGTTCCTCAAAACTAGATATAACTTTCTGGGAAGGAACACAAACTAAAGATGACAGCTGGAGTTTAAATTTGGCATGATTTATACTGGTCTCTRTTTTTTACTGTCACTTTTACTGCTAAGTAGACTGTTGGGAGCTCAAAGGCTTATACAAATCAGTATGTAAAGATTGTCTCACCTGGCCTTGCTGGAAYGGGGCCTCTTTCTTGCCTTTTCACATGAGGACTCCATGCTTGCMGAGGTTTCTGCCCAGCTGTGATGACTGTTTTTCTTTTAAAGYTCATCTGAATGTAAGAGGGTTTTTGCAGATGATATTTTGCAGAGCTGGTGCGTGTAGCATTCATGCTACATGTTGCATATGTAGCTYGGTACTGTCATGTCTGAGCAGCTTTTGCTGTGACAGACTTCATCACCTGCTGCTTTGTGACACTTTTCTTCAAGAACACAAGTGTGGGCAGTGGCATTTACTGTTGAGAATTTTTGAAAAATACATGTTCAAATTCTGTGCTTCAAAAAACAAGAAGAAATGCATTCAAGAGGTTGGTCCTGTCGTGCGTTTCTCAACTTTAACCATCTCCCATGTTGTTCTGGAAGCCTAATGCTGGATAACRCGCTGGCCTGGACACACGGCTTGTGTTGCCAAATGTAACTTGCGAGTCTTTTGAAAGTAATTTGTCCGCACCAAAACATCTCAGAACGAAAGAGGAGACCCTTACAGTTAGGCAGAACTTGTAAAAGTCTAATTTTGCAATGCCTACAGGAGAGAGATGCCTGCACAGTCTACTGCCTGCCTTGCTCTTTAGCTCCTGGTCACAGTCACTGTAAAGAGAAAGGAAAAGCCAAGAGGGAGCACGAAGCATTTGCCTTTTCTCTCATAGGTTTGGGGCATAGTTTTCCTAGGCGTTGGATGGCTGAGTTTTAATAATACAGAGTTAGCACCAAAATCATCTTGGGCCCTTTATTAATGTTAATTTCGGGAGTTTAGAAAGCACCTGGAGTGCTACTGTGTAAATGAAAGATAGATACAAGATAGCTGTATATATTGTAGTAGAACAAAAGGGGGGATATCCCTATTGWGAGCTGGATCCTTTGCTTTTGTCAGAGCTCTTAGAGAGTCTGTCAAACTGAACAGCAATCCATCCCTTGGGCCTTCTGACCAGAAGCCCTAGCACAGCTGCTGCCTATAAAGGCACCAGACAAGGGGCTAGATTGGCTGCTGTTTGTCAGCAGTTAGTCTGGCTCCTTCCAGCTGCAAGGCTGAAAGCCTCTGGGCCTGAGGCACCAGCTCCTACCTCTGTTGGCTGAATACATCGCTCCCGAGCTTCAGATGTTTCATAAAAATGATTTGCATGTGTCTTGAAGGGTCAGTATTATTTTAGGGATTCTGTGTATGAAGTGCTTCTCTGTTTTTCCTTTATGTAGCACAGACTCAAAACTTAACCCAGGATTCATTCTGTGATCTTTGATGTGCTGTGCTTCATTTTTGCAGTTCTTACAAACATCTTTATGTTTGAGGTTTGATTTGAGAACTAAGATATCAGAGTTTCTGCTAATTTACTTTCACCTTGCTCCTTTTCTCTTATGCGCAGTTCTTTGCACACTCTTAGATTTTTACAGATTGTCAACCTCTTTTTTTTTTTTTTTTTTTTTTTAGTATAAAATAACACTGCTAATTAAGGGAGCTAGTGGCATAGGACCCCCCAGCAAGCATGTCATTTAAGTGTGCATGGGTATGACAGTGATTTAAGTGTGCATGGGTATGCCAGTGATTGCTGCTGCACAGGTGTTCTATGTTAGCAACTCCGGGGCAGGAGAAGAGGGCAGAAAATACAGATGCATCTTCAGTCTCGTGGTTTTGACACTGGCTTCAGAGCAGGATTAAGTAGCAAGTGGGTGGCGGTGAGTTTTTCAGTAATTTGTCCAATGCACTGTTTTTATAGGACAGTTTATGCTGCTGGATCACTGGTTAGTTCAGGACTTTTGCAAGTTTGGGACCTAAATTGTGMTTTTATTCCTTTCCATGGACCAGATGGGTGTTTCTCTCTCATTTGTACTTTGAGGTGCTGCTCGGGTTGTGTTAATGCATCTAAAACACCATTCAAACCTCTGATCTGGTTTTGAATTTTTGCTTGTTACTGAATGTTTTGCATGAGTTTCTAATCGGCCTCTAGGTCTTTAAACTGTCAAAATTTGGGTTTTGGCATTGCAAAACTCYAGCTCCTTTTGATCACATCATTGTTTTTTATAGCCAGTTGACACATTTCTACTAAGAATCTCTATGTTTGATTTTTTGCAGGTCCAGCAGTAGAGCTTCTCACTGCAAATCTATTACCAACTTAATAGACTCGATTTATTGATCTTTCAGTGAAATTGTGAATAAGCTCTGTGCTTGTTCAGGTGGTAACGAGTCTGTGCTGAATGGGTTGAAGTGTTTAGAGTGCATTTACAGTTTATGTTTAAGATGGGCATGTCATGSGTTATGTGCGGTTTGTAAAATCTTTCTGTATTTTTTGTTTTGTTTCTTTTTTAAGAAAAGCAGGATGTCCTTAAGTGCATTTTCAGTCCCTTTTTTCTTCTTCCACYAGGTGTGAGGCAGCTAGCCCACATATTCATCCTGTTGGATGGTGTAAAGAGCATAAAAGAACCCTTATCACCCCTCCAGGTTAGTACCATATTGCACATCTGACAGAATTAATGAAACTGTAGCCAGTTAGCAGCACTGACTAAACCTTAATAGTGAGCTTTGTTACCCCCTTTGTTTTTTTTCTTTCTATAATTAAGATTTGGTATTTGGAGACTACTGAATTGCTCTTAAGATTTAATACAGTAAAATAAGAGGTACAGTAAACATTAGATTTAAGTGTGCATGGGTATGTTGCTTTAGTAAAGAGACATCTATTGATAAAAGATACCTCTTGAAATCTGAAAAATGTCTGTATTTTGGGCTGCTTATATCCACATGTTCTGGGACTTATATCATGAAATGTTGATAGAAGTAATTCCAGGCGTGTGAAACTGTTTTATAAGAAAAACACTTTCCTGTGAACCAGCTATGCAAGATAATGGGTAAATGGGAAAAATGGGTAAATGAGAAAAATGATTGAGGAACAAATTTACAAAGGTTCCCAGGAARGGAAGGAGTCAAAAAGAGGGAGAGCTTATCCAGAAGAAAGAGATGGTGCTAGTTGTAAGAATGCCACCATTTGCTTAGGTGGGTTTTTTTTGTATGTTGCATATAACTGCATTRACTGATTGCCTTCCATGGCAAGGGTAAAGGGAAACAGATATTTGGAAGTAGAACAGAGCAGAGCGCTATGAAAACCCATCCTGCCTGGCTTGGTAACCGTTGGCCTTTATTGCCTACAACTTTCAGAGCCAAATAAATTGCTTTTAAAAGAGCCACAGAGCCAAGTGACACCTAGTGAGAAAGCTTGGGGTGTTGTTCAGCGCATCACACTCCTTTAATATCTGTTTGTCCTTCACATCAGAACTTCTGTGTGCTGAATTTTACAGTATTTTGCTCCCCCCAAGCAGGATATAGTTTCCAAAAGGTTTGAGGTAATACAGCAGACCCGGGTGCTGAAGCTTTTGTGGGGGCCTTCTTCTCTTCCTGAATTAACTTTCAGGCAGTTGAGTTTCCCTGCTGAATCCCTGCAGGATGACTCAAATACTCCTGTCATGGTGGGCAGGAACAAGCGATTGGGAAACACAAAAGTTTCTCTTAGAAGTGCAGACTTGTGTTATCTTAGAATATGTCTGAAAATATAAATAGACAGGTTTTTTGTTTTAATTTTCTTGTTGTTTTCCATATCTAGTTGATCTAATCTAGTTGTGTAAGCGCAGTTGGAACCTGGAAAACAGGCACACACATAAGTAGAGAATTCTGATACAGTGGGGATGCAAAATTAAAGCATAAAGCATTTTGAAAGGAGAAAAAAACAGATTAAAATGGTGTTATGAGAAAAAGAAAAAAGGCATTGCCTGATGAAAGTTTTATGGGACTGAAGTTCCTATCACCAGCCTTGGCCAGTGTTTTCATGCTGACAGCAGTTAAGGCTTTCATTTGCGTCCCACAGAGCCCTGCTTGATGCAGGGACCCGTGTGTGTTACGAACCAAAGACTCGGATAGGGTCGTAAAAAGCCTGTCTTGACCAAATAAACTTCCTGGGCAAGGAGGGACATTTCACTAAGAAACAATAATACACTTAAAAGGGACTTGCACTTGGCTTTCTGCCWAGTCCTGAAGTAGAGATACAAGCAGCCCCTTTGGCTGGCATCTTAGGAACATCCCTCACTGTGCGTGAGGAGGCAGGTGAGGCGAGCTGCCCAGGTGGGGTTTGCCCAGCGGCAGGGGTGCCTGGATGCGGTGATTTGGGGTAGTTGCCCTGTGGTGGGTGAGGAGATGCCCGGAGAAGCAGGACTGGCCCGTGGGGGCAGCCCCCGGTGAGGCCGCCAGCATCCGYGTCCGCATCCGCGCCGCTCGGGGCAGCTGCCCTGCGTGAGGAGCAGCACGTGTGAGCTCTGGGTGCCTCGCTGCTCCATGGAAAATAGATCGGTTTGGTCTGATAGTGTAAAACACTGCTCTGGCTGGGTGAGCGAGCAGGGCACCAGCAAAACATTTATAGGGRAATTTAAAGGGAAGCTGTTTGTGAAGTCTGGTGCTGGTCGGCAGATACCAGCTTGCTTTCTTCCCATCCCTACTAGTTCATTATTTCCAGCATCTTATTTGAGAAAATTCTTTTTGATTTTTTTTTTTCCCTCAAGTGCCAGTAGGAAGTTTTCATTTGGAGAGCTTCAGCTTTATTTAAAAGCACATGTGGGCCTGCGGGTTGGCCGAGGCGCGCGAGGGCCGTGCTGAAAGCCCTGGCGTGTGAGAGGGGCAAAATGAACTCYGCTGTGCAGCCGCTGCCCCGCTACCCGTGCCACAGCTGCACGTGCCYCTGGAGAGCCACACGTACCTGAAACCGATGAAAGAGTTGTTCAATCTCACACAGAGTTCAGCAGCTTAATGATGAAAGTGAAGATACAAGGTGAAGGCTGTAAGCTCTGGAATTGCTGCAGGAACTGTTGTTTGCGGCCTCCTTGACAAGGAATATTTAAATGGACTGAAACAAATTTASCAGAAGTGTGTGTGCCCAGCGATTTTGGGAAGTCATGAAACATCTTGAGGCCRTTGACTTAGGCAGCACATGTGCAGTTGATCTGTCAGCAAGCTGTTACAGCCTGTTGTTCAGCAAAATCCCTTTTGATAGCTATAACAATTGTTTTCATTCAATTCTAGATTATAAATCAAATTGTTAAACTTCCAGTGTGGATGAGGGGTGAAGGACGAGCACTGTCCGCTCTTCAGAAGCGAGGCTGTCTTTGTGCTTCTTGCATGAAATGTTTATACACATGACAGTGGCGTATTCCTTTTCTGAGAAGAGCAGTGTTTTCTTTGATGCTGCATATAAATTATTGTAAATCTCCAGACTAAAAGAATTCATTTAAATATTGGCAGATAACTTTGCATCAYGGTAAAGCAAACTTATCATTGGTCAAGTTGTGTTTGCCACTGAATTACTATCTATGGAAGAGAAGATTGTGGTTGTAACACTTGAGTGAGGTTTCTGAAGGAAGTGGACGAATTTTGCAAGTCCCAATTACTTACATTGGCAAATCCAAAGCAGTAATGTTGAGGTTTTGCATGAGGYGATTGTTGTACCTTTTTTAAGTTAATGTGGTAGATGTACCAGAGAGCATTTAAGATGTACCAGAGAGCTGTTTAAGACAGCATGTCTGATAACAGTATTATAAAAGTGTCAGTTGACAGTTTTTATATATTGCTTTCTATTATTTATACCACCTTGTTTAATTTTGTTAACATTTCTTCTGTGCCAGATTACCCACATGCCAAACACTTTTCCTGGGAGAAATATCTGGAAGAAACCAGTTCCTTACCTGCACCTGCAAGAGCTTTTAAAGTGGTGAGGGAATGCTTTCATTTTTCTGGGGGTGTTAAAGTGCAAGGAGTTAATTAGTTTAATAAGCGAACACAAACACAGTTTTCTTACAGTTTCAAATGTATTCAGTTAAGTGCTTCCGTAATAAGTTTATTTTTATGCAAGTCTGCAGTTTACAGATAGAAATCAGATAATTATTATTATTWTAAATTACTATTATTACTTTAATTCTTGCAGATGGAATTAAATACTATGAAATATTACTATTTAATGTAATTGCTGTGGGAAATTATTGCCTCATTATTAGAAATAATGAGGTAATTGATGAGTCATGATAACTTATCTTAAATATAGGTGTTTGTCTGCTCTTTAAGCAGTGGCTGAAGTGTGGTGGGAACGGAACACGGGTGTAGGTGCTCGGGCTGGGTGTCTGTGCAGCCCGTGGGGCCGGGCAGGCGCCTGGTAGTGTCTCTGAGCAGGCGCTGCTGCCCGGGGCAGCTGCCCGGCCCAGGAGCCATCCTCCTGCCCCTGCCCTGCCTGCTGCTTTCGTGCAGGGCCCCCTCCAACACGGAGCTCTTAGGATCTCAGCCAGGAAGGTGGGTCAAGCACTAACGCAGAAAGCATCCCTGCTGGAAGCCATGCCAGAGAGCACTAGTGCTGGCTTTGGGGGTGAAGTATCCCTGAGACAGCCACAGGATCCTAGGCTTCATTGTGAGAGACATGGGGAGTTCTCAGATGGCAGCTGAGGAGGAACACCAGGGTATAGTTCTGGAACACCAGGTTACAGTTTTTAGGGTTTCAAGGCTTAGAAGGTTTATTAGAAATCCAAATCAGAAAGAAGACTTATTACACATATGATCTTTGGAAATTAAATGAAATTTAGCTTTYGTTTTTATAGCTGTATAGCATAGATAAAATGTGATTATCCTAACATAGCCGTCTTTTTTGTTGCCAAAACAGTATTAATTCCTTATTGTTCCAAATGGATATTGAGACTATGTGACAGCTCTGTAAAATGCTGTTTTATTGTGAATTGGTTATGTTTCCAGTAAGAGACTGAAAACAATATATAATCCAGAATGAGACAGCACCCACTAAGAACACTAATACATTTACCATTAATGACTTCATATATAGGTTTCAGGCTGCTGGTATCTAATGCTACAGCATTGAGTTCTGCATTGAAACTGTTGGCAAAAAAAAAAGGGCAAAACTAAATTTTTTTCCCCAGAAAAACCTTTCTACAGGATTGAGGGGGAAAAAAAAAATCTAATTAAATAATTTAAAATAAAGACCTTACCTTGCTTATCTGCATGAAAGGCTTGAAGCTGAAATTCCAATCTAATTAATTTATGCCACAGTCATTAATCTGGAGAAATAATTATCTTTTTATGTTTTGATTTGTTGGGAAAGGAGGACAAATTTCTGAAAGTGAAGGGAGGAAATTTGATATGGAATTTATATGCAATACATAAGGGGGGAAGGGGAAGGTTTTCTTTTGCTTCACTTTTTTTTTTTTTTTTTTTGGTTCTTCTCTTCCAGAAACCTTCTCACGGCTTTCAGAAAAGTATGAAACTTGAAGTGGTTGACAAGAGAAATCCAGTGTTTATCAGAGTAGCAACTATTGTAGATACCGATGACCACAGAATAAAGGTAAGTTTTTCTGCCTTTTTAAAGGCAGCGYGATGGCGTGAGCACTCAATGAGTAGTCCTGCAGTAGCAAACTTAAGTTTTCAGAACCTCTCAGTGAGTCAGGTATGTTGAGAAATTGCTTTGAGAATAAATAGTTGAAATAAAACAACTGTCTGATTGAAAAAAGTGGTGATTTAGCACCAATTGTCAGAGGGCTCCTGTGACGCCCATAAAATTTAGGGTCTGGATTAATGGAAGAGAATCTGTCTCTGTAGCTTCCACTACAAAAAGGGAGATACAAAAACATTTTTTGTGCCTTGTCAGTGACTTCTGCAATTCTGAGGTTTATATTAATTCTGAACTTTAGATGGGGTAATATCAGACAATGTATTTTTAAGAAATTGCAGTTTTCCAGAAGACATACACTTGAATAATTATTTTATTTTACAAATATTCTTTGAAGTCAACTCTTTGAAGCCGTTAACTAGAACAGAGTGCAGGTTTCTCGTGAAATGGATACAAAGGATGCTCATGCTTGCAGTTTGTGGAGGTTTATTAGTGTAGCTATTAGTACATTTCAGGCAGCAAATGCAGCTGACATTTCATTCTGAATCTGAGTTAACCAGTGGCAGGGAGTCATATGAAGGAATAGCTTCACCCCTACGCTTTTTTTACTTAAACATTGTTGAATATGTCAAGAAAAGACTCCAGTCTGGTTTGTTAAAATGACATGATTTGTAGCTTCTTGGGTAGTAGGTATAGTGTGTGGTGGAAGAGCTCTGTTGGTGTGTATGTGTTTGCTTACATTCATATGTGCCCAGTTGGAGCATCTTAGCTGTTYACAAGCACAGAGAGGGAGGAAAAGCTGCAGATTTTCAGCTTTGACTTGAAAAACAAAAAGTGTAGCATAACTGGTTGCTTCCTGTGAAGTTAGTTCGTTTTCTCTTCAGCTGCAAATCCTTTACTAAGATTGTTCCTAAYGTGTTGGGGTTCTTTTGTTAAACTCTTTGTTTTGATTAAATGGTTAAACTTATTTGTTTATTAGTTTTGTTAAAAAGTTTGTTTATTAGTTTGGYTAAACTAATCTATATGTGTTTTCTGTGTAACATCTATGGTTTTGATCAAGCAACTTATCTGAAGGAGTTGGCCTTAGAGTCTAATTTATAGTGATAACTCGGGGAAAATTAATTTAGAAAATTTTTCTGAGCTAAAATGCATTATTCTCTCTCTCTCCCTCTCTCTCTCTCTTTGAATTTTAGGTTCATTTTGATGGCTGGGATAGTATTTATGATTACTGGACTGATGTAGATAGCCCTGATATCCATCCTGCAGGCTGGTGTGCAAAAACGGGACACCCTCTTCAGCCCCCACTTAGTAAGACAAATCATACTATAACATAATGAAGTTACAAGGTGTATGTACTTTGTTTAATTTTCTTCTTCCCTAAGAGTGTTGTCCAAGGAAAAGTAGCAATTAGTGTGTATGGAAGACAGTGTAAACGTGACACTTAGCACTTGAGCTGTATAATTTGAAGTTAATGATTTTTTTAGTAGATGGCTTCATTGCCCCAGCTGTAGTTGAAATAAAATATCTGTTCATGTAGGAGCCTGAGGTAGGTACCGATAAGGATCTGTTGTGTGAAATGCTGACCTTGCTGAAGCCAATGAGGAAAATGCTGTGGGATTTCAGTGGACCTGGAGTGTCGCGAGGAGCATCTGGTGCGTGGCTGCATGCCTGCCCAGCGCGGCAGAGGCCGGGCCGCCCTCCAGCTGCAGCTCGTCCTGCTCATGGTGCTGAAGGCTCCAGAGCAGCCAAGTCTCTTCCTCGGATGAGCAGAGAGGAGTTGATGCTGCCAGTATTGAAGATAAATCTGCCAGGAGCCTGGTACCAACACTGGCATTACCTGCTTGCTGGCTCCAGGGATTTGTTTCCCACCTTGAAGTGGGAGATCTGTCATAAATGACACTGGAGGTTGCAGGGAGGAGAAACAWTGACCTTTCATGGTCAAGATATCCCTGCCAGGACTGCTGTGCTTCTAATGCCAGTGAAATCATTCTGGCTATACTGGTAACAGGTCTTTTTAATTGAGTGCTGCTTTGGGGGKTATTTTACGAGTAGTTGACTTGAGGGTCTGAGATGTGATTTGCACARGTGCTGGGCATTCAGAGCTGTCACTGTGGTCAGAAGGAGCTGGGTGCTTGGAAAATACAAAATACTGAGTGAGGCTACATATTCTGAAAAACAAATATAAGCTGGATAAGGCGCACATGCGAAGGGGGAATTACAGAGGCTGAACTGAGCTGCAGTGACCCTCAGGTCAGCAAAGTGCCCAGCAGAGCATGTTTTCCCTCCAAGGGGARTGTTTGAAGCATGTTTACCCTGGTGATGTCACCGGAATAGTGCCAGAGTAAGGCCAAAACCAGATTAAGGTGGTGCTGTGTCTGTGATCTGTGACTGAGGGAAAAATGCCATGTTTTATACTCACATGCCAGATGTAAGTATGAAATCAATAGCTTCGTTTGCTGGAGGTATTAAAAAGCCAGGGATGTCCATCTCRCAGAGAGTGTCAGCTCCTCTAGGTGAGGGCGTAGGAACCGCTTCTGGTCTCCTGTGTCTGGGAATGTACCTGGGAACACAGGTGGAAATGACGTTTTGATATGARTTCAGCTAGGAGAAAATGGTTGAGAACATGATAGGAGGGAGAGTGACCATTTTCTAAATAGCAAAAGAWTTTTTATTGCAGGAATCATATGAAAATTGGACGAATACTGAATATCATACTCTCCGACAGTACAACTTTCTGTTATTTCTGTAGAATATAGGATACTAGATAGACTATAAAATACTATAAAAGTACTGTTTAAAAGGAAGGTAAAGGTCATTGTATGTCTTCTGAAAGTGTTTCAGAAAGAAAAAAGGAAATATTTCTTTTTTTTTCTCTTCCCCTCAGTTATTAAGTCTTTTTAATGATGTGGTCTGGATCCCTGTCTTTAATACTGAAAGCTTTCTGTTGTGAGCTGTGCACAACACTAGCAGTATTTATCTGCAGCATTCATAATAATATTTTTTGCCACTATTTATGTATTCATCTTATTTTAAGATGTGAAGAAGTGATTGTGTTGAGATACCAGCTTTTTGCTAACAATTAGGGAATTAAAGAGGCAGGTATTAGTGTTGTTTTTAATATCATTTCTTTGTGACATCAATAGCAGCTTTGGCGCGTGGAGATGGATCTTTTCAACCTTTTTTTTTTTGAAAAACTCAAAAATGCAGAAGGTCAATACCAACTAAAAACCGGTCTTGTCTATACTCTATTGCAAAATAAGCTGGTTCCAGCTACAGATCAGTTAATATGAGAGAAATTGTAAGTAGTGCAGTTCCTCTAAGACCTATGTTCTTTCTGTACAGGGAGCTTTCCTGTAGAGGTTTGCTCACACAGGAAAGTTGTATTTCTGCAGGGATTAGATGCTTCCATCATGTCTTTGCAAAGTGCGTTTTAAAGTACTCTTAAAGTAGGCTTCGTTTGTTATTTTCTTTCTTGTGTTTAATATGAGACATTCTGGTATATTTGTACACTTCTGTAATTTTAAAAATTTGGTATAGTTTTAAATACGTGTAATTTCCTCTGACATGCAGGTCCCTTGGAATTAGTGGAAGCTTTGGAGCACGGAGGATGTCCCCCATCAGGATGCAAAGGAATTGGGCACATTAAAAGAGCGAGACATATCAGCCACCACAGGTACAGCCGGGAAGCTCTGCCTTTGCTCTCTCACGGCGAGTGATTTGTGCCCGGCTTCGACTGGGGTTTGCCAGAAGCCAGGTGCCCCCGGCTCCTCTCAGCTCGACCGCGCAGCAGTGCAGGTGGACACGGGTGGCGGGGCGCCCAGCAGGACGTGTCCAACACCATCTCTTGGTGCAGTTAGCAGATTCAGCTGCTCCGTATTGTGTTCCTCTAGGGATTGCGCGGCTTGCTGTTTATATTGGAAAATGATCCAGACAAGTATGTGTAATGCAGTAACTTTGTACCTTTTGGGATGGTGAAGGCACTCCTTTTATCACAGCTTGGACATTTTTATTGTGTTCTGCTGGTGATGGTGGGAATTTGAATTGAAACTTTTTTATTTATGTTTTTAAGCACGTTATTAAGCAGGTAGAACTGCAACYTTTTTACGTGGGTGGGTGGCAGAATTACTTCCTGTTGGCCAGAACTAAGCCGTAAGTTTTCCTGGCMTGTCAGCCTCGGTCAGTACTCACCCTGCCGGAGGCGGCTCTGCGCGCTCAGCGGTGTGCACGTGTCGTGTGCGGARGGCTTTTCGCAGAGCCAGCAGTTCCGCGCGGTGCGCAGCTCCGGGCACGGCGCGGTGCTGGTGAAGGGCTCCGCACGCCAGAACAAGCCTTGTCCTGGGAGGGAACGTGGCTCAGCTGCAACAGCACCCGCTGTCGTGTGGCCTCTGCTCTCAGTTTCTCCTTTTCAGCACGGCACAGTTTGCTACCTTACCATCTTTCCCTCTGTTCTCACCTATTTCCKTCTGGCTTTTTCCAGCTGTGGTCTATTTTCTTTTGAATGTTTCATTCATTTTACCTGTCTTTCCTTTGCGAAGTTTTGTTGTACTCAAGTATCAATCAGCAGGGTAACTGCTGAAGCAGTGAAGTTAGTACTTGGAGTAACCTGCTGCATTCATGGTGTTAGTCCACTGGAAATGTAAAGTAAAACAGACTTGYCAACAAGCTTCCTTTTGGTTAGTTAGCTGAAATCCATTTTATATCACACTCTGGTAGTCTTGTAGGATTAATTAATGCATCTGATCTGTAAGGCAGTAGCTTCCAGTTCAGGACATGCTGTCTTGATTGCCTGTAATCATGTGAACATATCCCATTCTTAGCCCGAGGCYACAACTTAACTTACAATTTCTTTTGACCTGTTATGTATGTCATAAAAGCTTTTCATTCATGTTCTTATCTATAAATAAATTTGAYACGAAAGACTTTTAGCGCTTTCCCATGAAAGGATGAGGAAGAGAGAGATGTCTGGTCAGTTCAGGTATCCTCTACTTTAATATTATAACTTCTGATCTGAATATTGAGAAGAGAGACTCACTGCAGTTGTGTCTGTGTGTGTCTTAGCAGTCCTGCTAGTTGACTATACATTGATGTGTAATTCTGGGGATAAAAATATAACCAGAGGGGTTTTACTGATCAGAAGTCCCAGGCATTTACTGTWTCATAGCAAATCTATTAGCGCTGTAAATCTTATTTGCTAGCTGCATTGGTTTGTCCTCTGTGCTCATGGTGTATTTTTTCTTGAACAYTGTAAGGAAGCTAATGAGATTTGTTATTTACTTGGAGTCTGCAGGTTTGAGAGCCTAGGTTATCCAGAATTTTCTGAAGTTTTACTATGATTTTTCTTCCAAACAAAGACTTTGGGAAATTGCTGTAATTACCCATGTCGGGTTGCAGTCTGTTGGCTCACTTATTTTGACAGCCTTGCAATGTATTTAACTATACCTCTCTTTCTGAGGGCTTTATTTTTTATTTTTTATCCTCCCCGATAAGATTCCCTGTCTGTCTCGAGTCTAAAGGCCTGGATGCCAGCAGGATGGCAATTTGCAATGCTCAGCAGTTCTGAGGTAATTTTGCAAGCCTGTTCCTCAGGAACCAGCTGAAAGCCTGCAGTGATTAATGATTTAATGGGGTTCAAGCCTTTACTTTTTGCACAAGCTCCTGCTAATAATGSCCTGCTGTCCCCACCTGCCCTAGGATCTTGTGCTGGGCAGTTGAAGGGGTGTGAGCGGCGCGTGGGTAGTGGCTTGTGAGTTCCTATGTGCTCTGCTTTGCTGAAGCAAAAGTGGCAGCCGCAATCGGGGGGGTTCTTTTTGYTGCCCTGGGTAATAGTAACATCAAAGGGCTCTTGCCCAAGACATGAAGATAGGGTAATTTGAGTGGTTAATTACAAAGAAAGACTCATAGGAATCCAGTGCTCTAAAGGATCATTAATATTGTAGCTGCTRTTGGATGATCTTGACTGTTATTCAGTATCACTTTTTTTTTCTTCCCCCCAAAGAATACYAAAGAAAAAGTCATAAAGTCAGTATATAAACAAGTTCCAGTTTATAGTGAAGTAAAGGACTGAATTTTGAGGCTTTTTCTTGTTTTGTAATTTAAAGCATATTAATGATAATGGTAAGCAGAAAACTTCAGCTTGGAGCTGAAATTGTCTTGTCAGCTTTCATTGTAGTGCAGGGCTTTTTTAATAATGCACACCTGAAATTAAATTTGACATTATTTCAGCATTTTCTTGAGATTCTTCTCTGTGAATGTAGAAATCCAAAAGGAGCTTACATGCTTTGCCTGTAGCAGTAGCAGAAGTGCTATTAAACAATGTATTCCTGAGCTGCAGATAACTTTGTTCGCTCCCMATAGCACTAGCTTGTCAAAGCAGTTCCCGAAATCCTGTTGGCATCAGCCCCTCGCATCCTTCCTCTGAACAGGAGACTGTGTCTTCCAGCTGCTAGCTCCGTTGAAAGGGAAGAGAGACRTGGCTGTGATAGAGGCAGCGCTCTGAAGCACGGGCACTGCAGAGCACTTTCACAGTCTCCCTCTTCCCTACGCATCAGTTCGTGTTCTTCTGTTCTTCTCTAATGTCTCACAGACACTGGCTTAAGGCCAGTAAAACCAGTAGGTAARAAAAAAGTGTATAAACAGATTTAAAAATGTGCAATTCTGATTGACAGAAGTTGGGAGGTGCTCTAGGTTACATTTTTTTCTGTACATAATGCTGTTCCACATCCTTAAAACTATTTTATAAAAAGAAATACTGTATTCCAAGCATTGTACTTTAGAGTCCAGAYACCCTTGGGCTGTATCTTCTGCTGCTGTGTGGACTTCTGCTGGGAGTGTTTTTGTGCCAGAAGACCTCGGTGCCCAAGGAGGTGAGGGCAGGTGCTGGGGCTGCCGCCCAGACCCTCAGCCAGAGGCAGCCGGCCCGAGCGGCTGCGTCCCCAAGGGGAGGCTCTGCCCTGCCTAGGGTGCCCTCACACGGGCAGCCCCCGAGCACAAGCAGGCTGGGGCTCTGCCTGTCGTTTTCTTTGTAATTCCAGTTCAACTAATCTGTGTGTGTGTGTGTATTTTTAAATGTTGATATTACAGTGTTAAGCTGAATTTAAAGCATTACCTGCTCTTTGAATCCTGCCTAGATAACCCCAGCAAGGACAGCCTGACTTGCCTCACGCAGCCTCGAGGCATTTTTTGCTGTTATGCTAGTGCTGAGGTCCAGCTAATTTGCTACCAACTTATTACTACTTATGTTGATACGACCAACATTAGGTACTGTTAACAGGTCCAGCCTCATGATATGAAGTGATTCACACTCACTGTGATTTCTAAGCTTTGTATCAAAGGCCTAGTTTTTATGCAGTGTTTTGTAAAATGAGCACACTGAAAATTGTGTTTTCTATTTTTTTTGTAAATTGGAGGTGGCAAGGCACATTGCTGGCAAGGTAGGTTGCTGTTGATTTCAGTTTTGCTTGAAAATGAAATGTGATGACCAGCGAAGCAGATGGAATATTGGAGGGGAYTGAGGAAAGGCAGGTAGCTGTATCCTTGAGAGGAGAATAAGGAAAATCCCAGTTGGTGTTTGCTTATATTTCACCATAAAATATAGTCATGTACATGCCTGGGAAAGCATAATTTTAAATTGCAACTACTTTCATTGCTGATTAGCCACAAATAGAGCATCCTGTTTACTGCAACTTCTCCTATGTCTTAGATGGGGTTTTGAAAACTTAGCATGTTGGTGTTTGCTCTGACGGGGTATCTAACAGACCTTTCAGACTTTGGGGCGTATCTTGAAAGGAGGAGCGTTTCAGCTGACCTGGCAGCTGAGCACTGACTCCATAGTGCTCTCTCCAAGACTGAGACTGATCTGCTGCCCTTCTGTCTCCTGGCTTGGGAGAAAGAGCAGGTTTTCTGACTTTGAGAGGTGCAATTTCCACACTTACCAGAACAATATCCCATTTGCAGAGCAGAAGCATTCAGTGCGGTAAGAAGAGCCTTGTCGCTTCGTGGTGGCCGTTGCTTAATGGAAACACCTCCCCGTGCAGGACAGGCAACCCCAGGGGTTTTGATGATGATGGGGGTTGCAAGGGAGATGGGTGTCAAGGTTTTTGGGTTACAGAATGCGAGTTTCTGCTGTGCCTGCCTGGAAGTGAGCCTGCCGGGAGCGGGCGCTGAGCAGAGGTGTCTGTGCGTGCCGTTGCAGTGCCCTGAGCTGCCCCTACTCGGAGCTGAACGTGAACAGGGAGAGGATCCTGCCCGACCGCCTCAGCGGGGAGCTGCCTGCGCCCAGCGCCGGGCCCCGCGCCAGGAAGGCCGAAGCCAGGGAGAGGTGCAGCTCGCCCCTCAGCAGGTAACCGCGGGCCCGTGATAGCCGCGCTGCCAACGCGGCCGCTCTTTGGTTCAGCGGCATCGATGGGCCCCGYTCCTGCACTGCTGCTCACCGGCAGGAAGGGCTCGATCGGTGCTCAGAGAAAGCTTGCTGACCTGATGAAGGTTGATACTGCTCTTGTTAACGTGTGGTTGAACACCAGGTCACCTTGGTTTCTTCTCACTGTGTGGACTGCAAGGTGGTAAATTGCAATTTCAAATAGATTTCTTGCTGGTTGCTTTCACTTAAGAAAATGATTTGCTTGTGGTGTTTGCTGGGGCAGCCTCGTTGAGGTGAGTATGTGTGAGTGTTGCTCCTCAAAGAACAGCCCCTGTAGCTGTTGTCCCTGCTGTGGGAGCAGGGAACCGAAGYGCTGGGAATGAGCTCTGCAAGAGCAGACTGCCCTGAGGAGCCCGAGTGYGGGAGAGGGATGGGATGCCAAGGAACTTTTCAGAGCTGGCTTTCTACCAGAAGCTGTAGAGACCAACTTGGTTCTTGTTTGGGGCTAAAGGGGGACACACAGAGTATTTAAGAAGAAACAGATGAGAAAAGAAACCTTCCATTGCCTTCAAAGTCTCCACTAATGTTTGCCGTAATGTGAGTGCTTATATTGGAAATATTGCCCAGTTTCCGGTGCAATGACCATGTGTTTTCAATATTGTTAATATTGTCGTATTTAAATTACATTCTTGGAGAGAATGTCAGCTGTATGCTTTAAAAACAAAATACCTGACTATTCAAAAGCACCCCCTGTTTTGGKTTTTTTTTTGACCTTGTAGATRTAGAATTGTAGAAATCTACAGTGAATTGACTACTCGCTGACAATTAGCCTGAATATACTCCAGAGCACTGCTCAGACCCGTTTCAGCAGTGTCCTTTGCGACAGGGACAGTGTCACTTACTGTATTCCCCATTGTCCAGATGGAGAGGTTGCCTAACATTGTTAAAGGGTCCGAGCTGCTCTCGTGAGAAGGGGTGGAAGGCAAATGTGACTACACTGTTCTTGTGTGTATGGTAGAAACATTTGAACTAGATAGTTTATTATCAAAAGTAATATTAGGCAAATTCCTCTGGAATTGTCTCAGACCTTTAGCTGTGGCTGCCGGCGAAACGGGAGTCCCGTATCGCGCTTTCTGCGGATCCCGGGTATACAGTTTTGTTTGTAGCAAGCAAGGTATTCCAACCTAACCTAAAAACAAAAATGTCACAGCTTTTACAGCTTTAATTAGACTAAAAAATCTTTACCCAAAGAGAAAAATCAGTGGAACAACCACTTAGCTGTTGTCAGCTTCAAGTGTTCTGCCCATTTGTTTTAAACAGTGATAGAAAGTGCCCTAGTCCTGGGCAGGGAGATGTGAACTCTCCTGTTCATAATCRATTATCTGGGAAGTCCTCGTCAGCAGTGATTAAGCAGGAAGATCCAGAAGGTAAATCTCCTTGCAGGAAGCCCCTGTTGTGGCATGTGAAGGAAAAGAAGCCACCTGGCTGTTCCTTCTAAGGATGGGTTGTTTGGAGACTCTCAACGTAAAATGCAACTTGCCGCCAACACCGTGCGGTRCTGCATTGGTGGAACCCTTGGGAGCAGTGAGGGAAGACACCACGATCTGCAGCTGTCTTTGTATTAGAAATAGGGAGGGAGAGAAACTGTGTTGTGGTGTAAGCAAGAAGTAAGAAATGCAAATCGGAGAGAAAAAGGAAAARTACTCCGAGATAGAGAAAGTTCTGGAAGTTCAGACCTGTGGAATTTCCCTGCCTCTCTTTACAAATCWGTCAGTGCATACGTGCAGGTATGTGCATAACTTCAAACATGAGAAGTAATTCCGTAACTCTCAGGTTTGGGAATATGTTTTTAATAGAAGAAGGGCATGGGATACCTTCCAGGCCAGAACTGGAAGGTTGTGTATGTGATACAGAAACTATACCACAGCCTGTGTATGTATGCACTTTTATTTTTTTATTTATATATATATATATATATAAAAATATATATATAAAAAAGCAGATATACTCCAGTGTTTTCAAGGGCCTATGTGAAGGAATAGGATTGCCTACATTTTTAACTAATTGCAGTGTCAGTGCATTGTTTTACTGGTTGTTTTCTTGAAATGAAAGTAAGACACCCTAGAAAAAGAAGTGTATTCCATTATATATTTACTTAACAATGCCATCCTATGTTCATAATATATATAAAAAAATATATGAATGTAAGTATAAAATATATTACATTCATATATTTGCGTATGAATAATAAGTGCCTTGAGAAACTTTGGAGAGTTAATACATTTTTATGGTAAATACCTCACAGTAAAGTTCAGAGAACTGAAACTTGCTGCTTAATTAAGAAGCAATTAAATCTCCTGAAACTTTGATGTAGTCAACAATTCCTTTCTTTGGTGAGAAAAACTATCCCTAAAAACATTTCAAAAGCAGTAATTGTAGCAGTAATTGAAAAATCTGTTCTTTCCCTTCAGTTTCAGTGGAAAAAAAAAGTGAATTATTTTTTATAGAGAGGGTGTATGTTTATACGCTCGCTATAAATAATGAGTTGAATAAGGCGTGGTAATACTATGTCACACAAATAGCATTTTCTCCGTGAGACGCAGGTGCCACAAGTACCCTTTGTGCCTGGAGCTGCGGCAGCATCGCACGGAGCGGGGCATGGATGYGGCTCCCTGTCCTCCTGCCTGCCCCACGGCTCCAAACTACGTGCGAAATAGTTTCCATATCACAAATACTTAAGTGCATATTCACACAGATTCAAGTGAATTCAAACAGGAGGGGAAAAAAAGACAATGACGAAGGTAGTTCTTAAATGACCTGTGTTAAATGACAATTGTTTTTCATCATTTTAATCATAGTTGTGGTAAACTTACTTGTTTTAGAAACAAACACYGATTTTACAGAATCTCCCTTAATTAAAGAGCACTTCCTTTGCTCTTTCCTGTKTGGGAGGGTGCTGCTGCTAGAGCCCTGCGGTGGCCGCTTGGTTGTTCCCCGTGTTCGAACGTTCCCCATGGAGCAGCGAGGAGCTCCCGGCAGCGCCCGGTGCCCGGCRGCTCCGCGGCCGCGTTTCGAGCTCCAGCCTTCGCGGTGGGGCACGCGGCGGCTCCGTGCCGGCTGCGGGTTCCCATCCCCTGCGGCACCCTCACCCACTGCCTTTGTGTAAAATACATATTTACAGTTATGAAGTGTGTTGGTCTGACTTATGTTTAATTTATGCTASTTTTGAACCTTCATTATAAAATGCGTGTCAAGAGATGTATTGCCATCTGTGCAAGTTAGCAGTTGGGCCCTCTTATTTATTTGTTTTTCGGATGATACATCCGCCTTTGTGTGGGAATCCTGGAGCGTTAGTAACAGTCTCACATAATTAGCAAGAGACTTTATCCTGCTCAGTGGGTTTTATGATATAATAAAAAAAAATGAACATCTTGTTTTCCTCAGTGGACTGCAACAAGCAAGAGACTCCATAAATACCCAAGCGTGTGAAGAGGAGGAGACGGAAAATAAGCTGCTCGTTCCAAATGAAATTAAAGGTAACTTGGCAGTACTTCATTTGTCTGATACTAAAGTCTACAGAACTGAAGGAGTATGATTTTTTTTTTATTTCTTTGTGGAAACTGCATTACAACTTTCCACATTCACTATTTGCCTTCAGACTCCTTTTGATGAGAAGCATTTTTCCTCCTTTCTTTCTTTATCTTGTGATCGACAAAGGATTTGCTAAGAACTTTTTACAGCTGTGAAGATCTGTGCAAACTGAATGCTGATAGAAAAGTTCCATCCCAAGRTTGTTTTTCCTCTAACTTTAAAAACAGATGATGTCAGAAGTCAGAGATGTACAGCTATGAAATTAATTTATTGCTTCAAAAAGCTTCACAGAAAGAAAAAGCTGCAGAGTGTCACTTAACTCCACACATGACTGCAGTGTATAAGGGATCTTGCTGCCCCCAGGCCCCGTGTGTTGTGCAGCCTGGTGCTCCCCTGCAGTCCCTGCACAGCCTGGGCCACTTGTTCTTCGTGAGTTAGGCCTGAAACCTCGTTAGCCCCCACTGAGAGAGATGTCTGCAACTTSTACTGCATGAGAAAACCTGCATGAGACGGTTCCCTGGAGGGCCACCAGGGCAATTGGAGGGCTGGAAAGAAATTATTTTGAAGKAGGAGTGAAAATTTGTCTTGTGTGGTGTGATGAAGAGGAAGCGTGGGAGGATGTGCCCCAGTCGCCTGATAACTCGGAGGTTTTTCCAGAGCAGGCGCTCGAGGGGGCAGGGGGCAGGACGTGGGGCAGTGGGCACAGGCTGCTCAGTGGAAACCCTGCCTGGGTGGGGGAATGCAGCCCGTGACCCGAGGAGCAGTGGGAATAGGTGGCCTGAGCGGTGTCGCGCGTGTCCTGCTGCAGGCATTYGGGACTTGTCCGGACGAGGCAGCTTGCCAGAGTGTCCGCTTATCCGGATAGCCCTGCGCAAGTGAGTGCAGCACCCTGCTCGGACAGCAGGTCCGGCTGGAGGATCCGCAGGGCTCCCTTGAGCCCGGGCCTCCCTCTGGCTCTGCGGCTCCATCCGAGTGCGTTGCAGTTGTGTCCAAACCCAGGCTGTTCACTGACCTCTCATAGTTGGAGGCAAACTCGTGGTTTTCATTTTTGTCCTCGATATTTAAAAAGAGCACAGAACAAATCAGAGCAGCAGCATTGTACTTCTGAGTCATTATTTTCCATGTGTAAGACTCGGAATGTCAGATGAGTTAGTCACTGGAGTGAATCAGAGTGCATTGTTTCAGTGCAGCTATTGATGCAGTAAAATGTCAATTCATACAGGAACGTTTAATTCGTAAACTTTTTATCCTTTTCGCAGCGCTTTGTTCTGCAGTACACAAGGTCCTTTTGTCAGGAAGCTTGAGTAAGACTTCAGTAATTGTAGGCCTTTAAGGGCCACCTTACCTTTTAAACAAATGCATCTTCCTGAAGCCCTAACCATTCCTCTGGGCTGGTTTGCCTCTGGCACTTGCCCTCCGGCTTGGCTGGAACCGCCGCAAACCGCTTCATGCAGCGAGCCAGGGCGTGCTAAGTGCGGGGGAGGAGGAGAGGCCCTTCAGGTGCTCCTCACTGAAACACAGACGTGAAACACGCCCCGCGTTTGGCCATGTCGGATATTCCGGACCGATCCCCTTGCGCTGACCGAAGTGGGTAATGTGGATTTGTGCCCCAGCTGTCGGGCTCGAGCGTGCGAGGAGCACAGCAATCGGAAGAGAGGGAACGATGAATATCGGCTTGCCCAAGTGAGAACAGAGCTGTGGAGCTAAGAGAAAGTGAGCAGCGCAAACGGGAATAGCGCAGAGCCTGAGAGAGTCGTGTTGGGAGGGAGCATCAGATACAGAGTCTGTGTGGGCTCTCTTCACTTGGGACTGATCTCCAGAGGCTTTTCCTAACGTTACTCGGCCGCGGGAGGCATTCCGGGTAGCGGGCATGTTGGCGCTGGGAACACAGACCCGCCCTGAGGGAGCGGGAGGCCTCGGCCTGGCTCTCCGGGTTGGCATCGCTCCCGACGCGCTGCTCCCCGCTTCCCAGCGGCAGGGAAGAGTTAAATGTTGCTTTCCTTGTAAAACACTCATTCAAAGCGGGAGCAGGGAATTTGCAGACGTTTACAGGGGTTTTTCCTTGGAACTACTGGAAAATGTCTTGTTACGGTTGGGGCGTAAGTGTTGTGTGGGCTGCAGCACCGCTCCACCGCAGAGCGGTGAGGCAGGGCGGCACCAGCCTCCAGCCGGCTGTGGTAGCTCAAGCCTGGAATCCATAGCTTGGTGTGCAGCTGTTAGCTGTGGGTGTGATCTGTTTTACCAAAATATTTAAAATGATACAGCGTGTGATGTGGATGCGGCTGTGCCGGCACTGAGCTGTGGTGTGTTGGAGGAGTTTTTCCGTGTGAGAACGGCTGCATTTGTCTAGAGCTGGTGCATTCACAGCCATCCTAGTGACAGAGGAAGCTTTAATGCCTTTTCTTTTTTTATTTATTTTTTTCTTTCTTTCTTCCCTCCCTCTCTGTCCTCTTCTGTCTCTCCCTCCTTTTTCTCCTTCCACCTCCCTGCAGATGCTGAAGAGCCCAGTACCCAGAAGCTTCTTCCTCAGCCCATCGTGGTGCCTTCCAAGCTACAAATCCCTGGCCTGCCCTTGCGCTGGGAGCAGCAGAGCAAGCTCCTGCCGAGCGTTGCTGGCATCCAAGCCAGTAAAGTCTCCAAGTGGAGTACGGATGAGGTGGGTTCTCCAGATCTTCCATGTGTCCCCTGCTGCCCTTGGATTTTCTTGGTTGGTCCTGAGCTTCAGATTAACCCCACAAGCAGCCGCAGCAACGGCGCGCGGGCACGCGGAAGTTAGCCAGCCGGACCCATCCAGCCCTGGGCGCCGTGGAGAGGCACCCGGAGTTGGAGGCAGATGGGTGAATGTGTGTGCAGACACGCACCTGCACTGCTCCCTGGGACTGGAGAGAGGGCAAGAACAGAGCAAACCCGGCAGATGAGGTGCTCGGGGTAGGTAGGTCTGCACTTACGTGCAGCGTCACGTCCCAGGCCTGGTTTGGGAGCTGCCCCCTTAGCGTGTTCCCCACATGCAGTGGGTGCGCGTGCCGTAGGGGCAGGCGCGGGTGTCGTGTGAGCGGGAAGAGCGCGGCCACGACTGGCCGGGGCACCCGGCACGGTCGGTGACTGCCCAGGGGTGGGAACGCTGGCTCGCTCAGGGCTAGTCCCGAGCCTGGAACCTGAGGTCGAGGGTTAGGGCCCCGTCTGCAGCTGTGACAGCCAGAGCCCCTCYGGTGAGAGAGGGAGGGCTGCGGAATTCCCTTGGGCTCCGGTGCCGCTGGCCGGATCCCGCTGCYCCTGCCCACTGGGCAGCGCGGGGGCGGCTCCATGCTCCTGCCCTGCAGCCCGAGGCTCTTGAAACCCCCACGTGCTCGGCGTGCCCCACTTGTGTGGGTCTGAGCAAAGTGGGTGTCTCACAGCAGCTTTCACTGCCTCCTTTGGTGCAGGTGTCCGAATTCATACGGAGTTTGCCTGGATGTGAAGAACATGGCAAGGTGTTTAAAGACGAGGTGGGTGAATTTTATTAGAGAGACCCAAAATACAAAGCTTGGTGAAAATTAATGTTATCATTGAAAATACATAGAAATTAGGTATGTGCAGGAAGCGTATGTTTGAAGCCAGAACTAAATGCCTGGAAGAATAGGTTGCTTTGCATGTCATGGAGTGTGTAATTTAAAAGTAGTTAAGTGCCAAGCAATTCTCTTGTGTGTTTATCTAGCTTTGTTACTGCTGCTTAAATTTCTTAGAGCTAACGATAGAAGAGGAGGAACTTAATCACTTATTAATTCTCTTCCGTGATCTGATTTGAGGAAATGTATAAGTATGTGGCTTACGTTTTATGTGTGTTCATAACGAGGAAAAAAGAAAGGCAGAAAGCAGAGCAATGATTGTTACCCACCAGAGRTGCAGGGTTAGAGCTCGGCTTCTTCCCCGGCCACGTGTGGCTCAGGAGGCTCTTGCTGCTGCCGTAGCCAGGGAGCAGGAGATGGAATAGCTGCCGGCGGCCGGCCCGGCTCCGGGGAGCGCAGTGACACAGAATCACAGGGTGGGGGAGGCTGGAAGGGACCTCTGGAGATCACCTGGCCCAGCCCCCTGCTCCAGCAGGATACCTGGAGCATGGGGTCACTGCTCACTTGGGGTGCGCCCCACACACACACACAYGGCTTTATCGGAAAAGCTCCTTGTGCCCAGGGTGCCACTGGAAAGGGAGAGGCATTTCCAGTAGGATCAGTCCTCCTAAGCTGTTTGTGTGGTGGTGGTTTCCCACCCTGTTTCCCCAGGAGGGCAGCTTGCCCCAAAATTCCCAAGGGAGTGGCCCCAGGTGCCTTCCCATGCCCCTGGGTGGGTGGAACACGGTGCAGGAGCAGCCCAAGGCAGCCGGGAGCTGTGGGGCTGGGCGGTGAYGCAGCGGGAGCCAGGCAGCGGCTGTGGGTGCCGGGGCTTTGGGGCGGCGCCCACGCTCTGCCGTGGGGCACGGGGGGCTCGCGGGTGTCCCCGCGCGCTCGGCAGCCGCAGCAGGAKGCGTATCGCCCCGGCCCCGCGCCGCTCGGCCAGGGCAAGGCGGCAGCGCCTCCGCGCAGCCAGAGGGGTGCAGGGATGGATGGATGGATGGATCTCAAGCCCTTTCATACCGTAGGATGCAAGAGAGCGCTTCCTCTGTGGGGGATCCAGCCTCTGGAATTTAGTCCTGACCGAGTCTGGGGTCTAATCCTGACGCTAGCGAGCTGAGCCTGCCCRTGCCCATCCCTCCCAATGTGCCAGCTGGCGTGGCCTCGTCCAGGTGTTAACACACGTGCCTGGGCCRGCGTCCGGAGGCCGCCAGAAACAGGTTCAGATCTTGTAGAAAAGGTGCAGAGAAATCCGTGCTGCTCTTGGGTGTTCCTGCTGCTTTCGGCTGGGTGCCCGCAGGCGAGGCAGCAGCGCGAGCCCAGCCGGGGCCTGCCCTGTGTTTCGTGGTGCTCAGGCGCACGTCAGCACCCTGGGGTAGCCCCGGGCCGCCCGGCCCCRGGGACGTGTCCCCCACGTCCCCACGCACCGTCCTGCAGCCCCGGCTCCCGCAGCAGGAGATATCCCGGGGATACTCGGGATCTGCGCCCGGCCCCAGGCAAACAAGAGACTGTCAGGACAGGGCTTCACCCTGCGGCCTTTCGTGCTCCTCGTTGAGTTGGTCTCCCGCCAGCGCAGAGGTTTGCTTGCAATGAAACYTCCAGTAGCCCTGCTCAGTAAAATAAATAGCGCTAGTAGAAAACAACACTAGAAAAATGTTTAGGTTTCTGAAGTCTAGTCTGTGTTTAAAAGGCAATTTTAATTGCCCTGTTCCTTGTTTATGGCAAGGTACTGGATTAATTTTAATCTTTTTATTTTATGAAGGAAGGAGTAGGTTGAAGAGAGCTTCAGGTCTGTGATCGGGTGAAATGCAGAGGAGGAGTAACAGAGAGGTTGGAGAGGTTGGGCTTGTGTTAAAGTGTCTTTTTGTGTTACCTGAGCCATATCTCTGCTGCACTCTGCGTTGTGCCAATAGCTGCATTTTTTTTTTTTTCTCTCTTTTAAAGCAAATCGATGGAGAAGCGTTTCTGCTAATGACCCAGTCAGACATAGTCAAAATCATGAGCATTAAACTGGGACCAGCCCTAAAAATCTTTAACTCCATCCTGATGTTCAAAGCTGCGGAGAAGAACTCCCACAACGAGCTCTGAAGGTAACGGGACGGGGCAGAGCAGCTTCCCGCCCCRGAGCTCGCGTTTTGCTCAAAGCACAAGGACTCCCCGGAGCTGACGAGTGGGGACGCTCCAGAAGGAAGAAAAGCAGCCGGAGCCCTGCAGGGCTCTGTGCTCTCCCGGCTCCGCACGCGCCTGCAGCGCTGGGCCGGGCACAGCTCCTAGGAAGCTCCGTGTCGCAGCCCGCGGCCGCTCCTGCCCGGCCCCRGGCACCAGGAAACCCTGCGCTGGTTATTTATGCTGTATTATATGAGGGAATGTTGATATTTTCTAGGAATTCTTGACTTCTACTTCATGTACCCATTTTACTTTTCRACAGCTCTGACTTCGTTCTCAGAATAAAAAGCAATTAGCCAAAAAACGAGGCTACAGGTAGCCCCAGGAGACTGTTATGGCTAATAAGAATTTGTGCCATAGTTTAAAAACGAAACACTTAATGTTACATATGTGACACTTTATGCTACAGCATATAACTTTACGGATTATAAAGCTGTCTGATTGCTTGTAACAAAAACCTTGTTGGGGGTTGAAATTATAATGCATTTTTGATAACTGAATGTTTTTACTTTTGCACGATTTCAAAAATGTTATGTGAGTTTTTCCACCAGCATCTTTAATGTATTCTACCAAAAGATCAGCATTGAGAAGGCTGCAACTGAAAAACAAAAGTTTGACTTCACAGAAGACGCTTGTTTGTGCTGCACGAGGGAGTCCCGGTGTGTCCCGGGGGAGGCTGCCAGCGCCCCCCTGCACCTGAAGGGAACCTCACCGAGCTGGAGGTAAGAGGGGAGCGGGAGCCACCCCGGCGGCAGGGAAGCCGGGGCGCCGAAGCTCCCTGGGAACGTGTTTCCCGAAGCTGGGAATGGCAGCAGCCTCGTCCTGTGGAGCCTGAGACCCCAGCGAGCGGGGCCGGGGCGCAGCAGCGTTTCAAGGCCGGGGCCGCCCGAGCTGCTCGGACTCTGGCAGCAGCCGCCCGGGCGCCCCTCTGTCCCTGGAAGGATGCGGCAGGGAATGTGGCTGCGCTTGCTGTGGCGCCGTGAGCTGTGAACAGGATGCACTTTAACCTGGGAGAGGCCTCGCCAGCTGCGGGCCGAGGACTGTCCCGAAATGTCACCCGCGCGGGAGGAGGGARAGGTCCTGGAGCGTTCTGGACCCCCTCTTGTTCGTGGCGCTCAGCGGGGCGAGTGCTCGGCCTTAAGCTTTAGGAACGAACAGAGCATTTCTGTTACGCAGAGCTCGGAGACTTCTAACTCTTGCCGCAGTCTGCGCTAGGTTCCTCTGTGGCTGCACTTCCTTGAGGTTTCAAGAACTCGGTGTGTCCCTTCCCCATCACTTAGGTGACTCGTACCTGCCATATATGAGGTAAAACAGGGTCAGTATGAAGTAAGTTGCATTGCTCTGTTAATTTCCTTCCATAGCATTGCATAAATAATATTTTTACATTTTGTTTAAAATTTGTACATTCAAATTGCACTCTTACTGTATGACAAGACAAATAAAGGCTGAAGCCGAGCTGGGGGTGCCCTGTGTGTGTGTCCAGGCCCCGCGCCCAGGGGGCAGGAGGAGAAACGCCTGCAGCCTGGCCCCATGTGCTGTAGGCGAGCCCCTCGCTGCTGCTCTCTGCCCTCCCCAACCACCTCCAAGGCCCATGGAGCCCCTGCTCCCGCAGCCACGCGCTCACCTCGGCTCCTGGCGTTTGTCACTGCTTACAGCAAAACTTGCTCATGCAGGAAGCAAAACAAAAGGTCAAGCTCTTTTTCTCCTCGGATGTACTTCCATGCTCCTGTATTTCCTGCCCCTTCTCCATGCCCCTCCTGGGTGCCGGCTCGGCAGCCACAGGCATCTCTTCCCCCTCTCGCCCTCGCCTGGGCACTTGCACTGCCCTGGGGGACCAGGGAGGCCTGGCGGCTGCTTCTGCCCAGCAGGAGCTGGGAAAGGGGAGCCTGAAGCAGCCCTCCCGGGAGGAGCAGGAATGGAGGAGCTGCTCCCGTGGCTTCTCACACAGTGGCCACAACGCCCCGTGGCTGCTGAGGCGGCTTCCTGTGAGCGCAGCAACGCGAGGCAGAGGCTCCGGGCTCACCGCGGCCGCACCGGGAGCGGAGGCGGCGGTGGAGGAAGAGCAGCCCCAGCGCCTGCAGCAGGACCGACCCTCTCCGTGGAGGCCGGTACAGGGAGGGTGGGAAGGGAAATGAGCCTCCCAGTGCCCAGGATGKGGGGCAGCAGCCCCCAGGGCTCGGCCTTGCTGCTTCGAGAGCCCGTCTCCAACCCCTGGCTTAGTAAATTCAGGATGTTTAGAAAGTCTCCTGCAGTGGGAGAACAGCCACAGCTCCATCCTGCAAACCAGAAACCCAGATTAAAATGCAAGAAATGAAGAGTGCACTTTCAGTGATTGTAATATAGGGAAATGGTGTCAATGGGCAAATCTGTCACTTCAGACCTTTAAGTGCAGTAGTATCTTCTAAGTGAAATGCTCAAATTAATTCACAGGTGTGACTTTTTTTTATTCTGACAGTCAAGCTGTGATCTGAATTTGGAAGATGCTTCGTTTGGAAAAAATAATGCAAAACACATACAGCAAATTATAAAAATTAATTCTAATGACACAAACTGAGTTAGAAGTTCTAGTTAAGATAAACAGATCAGGCTTAATTTTTTTTTAAAGGGCTTTTTTTAAGAAAGCATGTCCTTATGAGCCCCAAGGATGTTCCAACCCCACTGCCTGTGGGAAGGTGGCTCGTGGGTCAGCRAGGGCTCTTGTGCTCCCGAGGGCAGCGCTCGGGCGCCGGTGGCTCCGTGGCTCAGGCAGGGCGCCAGGAAGGCCAGGGTGCTGCGCAGGCCCCGGGGCCAGGGGATGTCGAACACGTGAAAGGCGGCGACGAGCGCGGCCAGCGCCGGGGCGCAGGCGTCGAGCCGGGCCAGCTCCTCGCRCCCCACGCGCACGGCAAACGCGCACGCGGTCACGCTGAAGGGGTTTCTCACGGTCAGCACCGGCGTCGCCACCGTCACCTGCCATTGGAGGGGACAAAAAAAGGACAGGTCACGTGAGGCCACAGCATCACTTCGGTGAGCAGCTGGTAAACTGCAACCACAGTTCAAAGAATTAGGAAAGCTGCACTAAGGCTGCTTTGATTTTAGCCAGTATTCCCATTGTCACCCCTTTTCCAGGAAGGGAGCAGAGCCACCAAAAGCCTAAGTCCYGAGCCCAGGCAGCTCCTGTGAGGGAAAGTTTGGGATCGCTGGTGCTCAGTCTCCTACCTCCTCATTCACTGCTGCAAACAGAGCGGCATCTTCCCCAAAGACCTCTGGCAGAAGCAAACACGCAGCCGTCATCTTCATACCTGCCCAAGGCAAAGGCGCCTGTTAAGCTGCAGCTGAAACCGCTCTGTCGCCACAGCCGGAGCCTGGGGCTCGCCCGGCCCRGCCTAGGGAACAGCCGGCAGCAGCAGAGCTGCGGCTCGCGCCCTGCAGGAGCGGCCGCACCGTGCGCGTCGCGCCGCGGGGCCCAGCCTGCGGCGGGCAGCGCCGGCCGGGGCGCCCGTGCCGCGGGGCTACCGGCTGGGACCGCCTGCTCCCGCGAGCAGCCGGCGGCCTCGCTGGGGCTCCAGGGGCGCTCGCGGGCGGGTGCCCCCGGGACAGGGGCAGCGGCCGGCAGGAGCTCCTGCCGCCGCAGTGGGAGGCGCCGCTGAGGCGGCCGCCGGCGCTGAAGGCCCCAGCTCCTGGGGGCAGGACAGGAGGCAGGGGGCAACAGGGCTGCCGGGGCAGCACGGGGCTGCACTAACCCAGCGCCACAAAGGGGCAGGAGGCGCCAAGCGACCAGCGGAAACGGCGCGGAACCCGCTCCGGCCAACGCCTGCGCCTCCCCTCCAGGGCAAGGAGGTCATCAAAACTCAACGAGGTATCTAGCTTGTGACTTTACAATCAAGTATGAGCTCGTAAGAGCTTTGGGAACATACTGTATAAGGAAAAATATATTTTATATATATAAAAATATATATAATATGTAATATCTATATATTAAATATATTTTATATATAAATTTATATACAAATATCGCACACACATATCATCCACTGCTGGATGTACTTCGTTTTCTAAAGGAAAGTCTCTTTTTGAGGACTGCTTTTTTCCTAAAACAGACAAGTTTTCTCCATAAATTTTTCTGAAAATAGGAAGTAAAACTCTGCATACACATAAGTAAATAATTCTGCTCACTTAATAATTATTTTAGGGCATCAGTTAGTTAACTTTATCAAACCTGCAYTTTTACTCAGGAGAAAGAAATAGTTCCAATACCAAACTTGGTTAATTTCCCCTCTAATTTATCAGCTTTTGTCCTTAATGCTTTCCCATCAGCCTGTACTGCTCAAGCAACTGGAGCTGGGTTAGTTCCAGCAGCCGGAGCAGCCGGGCGCTACGAGGCGGAGGACAAGCAAGATTTGCACTGACCTTTCCGAACGTCTTCCTCCGCATGGAGCTTCAGGTTTTCTTGCAGCATAATGTGAATGGGATTATTCCTCACCACATGCAGAGATAATATGTTCTCTGAATAAGTCTCCAAAATCTCGACTGTTTTCTTATAAATGTCCATGTGCGTGAGAAGCTGGAACTCCCTAAAAAGCTATTAGAAAATGAAAGACTTGTTATTAATGCACTCCTCAAAAGCAAAACTGAAAACAGAAAATGAGATGCATGCTTTGAAGACGACAGGACAAGACTAGCTGAGTAATAAGATTATAAACTGGAGGAGATGATTTGTTTCTCTTCCAAATGGTGAAGGGATGCATAAGTATCAAAGTATTCTAAATATCCCACTGTGTGTGACATATTTAATACAGGATTGTTGACTCATTGGAAATGGGCCTAGCGGCAGAAATTCAGGCTACACTGAAAAGAACATTGATGGATATTTTACTACAACAAAGACACAATAAAACAGGCACCCCCAGCTGTATCACAGCAGCATCACAGAACTCAGTGCTCTGTTACCTGATAAGGACATCTCAGGAAAGGAAACAGCCTGAGAACCTCTTTTAAAGGTGCCTTGTCACGGATCATCTTCCTCCGCACCCCTACGGTCACCCGCATTCTGCTGTCCACCTGCCCCCAGTCCCTCCGGGCCTTCAGGTATTCTCGCTGCAGCCAGTTGACGTGCGCGTCCATCACCCTGCTGTCAACACACGCAGGCTCTTCCTGCCAACAAATCAAGGGCAGAAGAGAGTAAATCGACACCTCCTTCTCCTCTGATGTAGGACCCGTGTGGTTCGACAGGGACGTTTGGCACTGGCTGCGCTTCACACGGGTCACTTGAGCCAGTGCAGTCGAGTTCAGGGGAAGGGACCGGCCCGCTGCCTCCACAGCAGCTCTGTGGACTCTCCCGATGCCCTAACAGCCACATAAAGCTGCTTCCTCGAGTGCTAGTGAAGGTGCTAAGGGCACGTTACCCATCTGAGGACATCTGTGAAATTCCTATGGCTCCGTCTGGTTTCCTAATTGAAAATTTGCAGGCAGTTCTAATGAAGACTTCCTCCTTCAGCAGCATTACCTCAGTACTGCTAAGTGTTTTCTTMCTATCGACTCTCACATTTGTGCAACTGCAGTAATCCCCAAGGATGCCAGCTAGATTAAGAGACGCTTTCAAGTCTGAAGTGAAAGAAGACACTTAACAAGAAACATTATTTAAGGAATTCTGCCATTGATACTGAAGATGCAACTAGGAACTGCTCCTGAAATGATCTTTGTTGTTGCTGTCCAACAGCAACTGCTGAGAGTGGTCGCCATCCGAAGCAGGACATCAGAGGCAGCAGCAGCCGGGCACCGTTCCGATCCTGTCGGCAGCTGCAGGGACTTTGTCCCCTGCATGAGGCTGAGGAACAGCCCAGCAGCAGCTCTAGGCCGACCACCACGCCGGGCCGCGCTTGCCCTCGCGCCTCCGGGGCTGTGTCCCGGGGTATCCATCGACACTGGCAGCCAAAGGCAGAGCCTGCCGGGAGGCCCCTTCCCTTTCCCAGGGTGCTGGGACACAAAGCTACGAAACACATGGAGAGCCGCTTCCCAGCGCCCTCCAACGCCCTCCGCGCCCTGCACACGCGACACTTGCGAGTCTAACCAACCCCTCCTTCCTTATCAAAACCGAGCATCCATCACCTCCGTCCTCCCTCCGCTTCATTTAGAAATGCTGAACTAGGCACCAATAACCCCTCCCGCTGTAAAAACTAACATTTCTGCCCTATCATTTAACTATTTATACGTTGAAGGAATGCAAGGACCTTTCTTCTTATCCTGTCAGATTACAGCCTTTAAGACCCCTTTGAAAGGCGCATGCCTTTCAAATCACTTCCAAAGTTCAAGTAAACCAATATGCAGGACTTCTGTTTACAGAAACTTCATTTTTCTCCCCAAAGGCAAAGGGCTGCATTACGGTTCTTGCCAATTTAGTCAGTAAAGACAGTAGGCTTTTTTTTTTTTTTTTTTTTTTTTTTTCCTCCTATGTTCCCTAGCTCTCCCATGAATCTTGTTGAAAACTGGCACAAAATTGGCTACCCCACTTCTCTGGTATCCCGTATTACGACAAGCTGGACACCACAATTAGAAATTTGGCTAATTTACCCTTCAACATGCCTGGAAACACCCCACAAACATCATTTCCTCCTGAGAATTTGTTCCTGCTCATTTTAGAGATACATCCTGCAGCCTCTTCACTGATGCTTCAGCTGGGGACAAATTCTCTGCCTGTACACAGAAATTTCCTGCACAGAAAGGACCCCTGAACTCATCTGAAAACTCATGCAAAAACCTGTCTCGTTTTTCTGATGCAGCCTTTATTTTCTGCATGCTTCCGTACCTAAAAGAGTTACCTTGAGCACTCCTAGCCGTACCAGGCATCCTGCTTCTCATCGGTCTGAACARGTCTGTCATGAGATTCCATGGCAAGTTCTTCCTCAGAAGGCTTTGGGCCTTTCTTTTATCTTTGCATTAACTTTCCCTGGATTTAYCTGTTTTATTCCTACCGGCCTCCTCTGGGCACAGGTTCAGTTTTTCTCAATGATGCCTCTTTTTTTTTATTCTACTTGCTGTTTATTTTTGTCCATCTCTCTTGTCTTTCTAACCAAAGTCCTGTACATCTGCGTTACCTTCATCAAACAAACATTTCCTCAAGTGAGCTTACAAGGGAGTCTTCGTGGGTTCCACGAGCCCAAGCTGATAGAAGTTAAATATCTTACATTAATTCTTGAACAAGATTCCCATACAAACTCTTCCATTATTACTGAAAAATCATCATTGGGTTGACAGGTTTAACAATTTATTCTACTACCCCTTATTCTACTACCCCTGTCCCCAAAAGGGACAGCCGGGACTGGAGCCCTGCCTGGCCGCCAGCTCCCTGCATCCCGCTGGGTATTTGCTGGTGACTCTCGCTGCCTCCCTGAGSGCCCTTGGGCCGCTTCTTCCCGAGTGCGTTAACTGGCTGCGAGTCGGGGCCGCTGCCCCTCGCTGCGGCCTGACGCAGCGGCCGGCGCCGCCTCGCCCGCCTCAGCGCGCCCGCCTCGCCTCTTCGGCTGGCGAGGCCCCGCTCGCGCTCTCTCCCCTCTCGCCCCCTTTCTTTCTCTCTCTCGGGGGGCCCAAACAAGAGGCCCCCACGTGGGGAACGGCCCCGGTGCCGCTCCGTCCTCCGACAGGCGGCAGCCCAAGGCAGGGCCGGCACGGCRTCGCTGGGGTCTCTGCACGCAGCCGCTCTGCCCTCACGGGCTGCTTTAGTTAACATTACCTAGCAGCCTGGCTCCACGCGACATTTCTGTAAGTGATAACAGCAACCGACAAGCAGAAAGAGGGGAGGAACCGTCATACTTACTACCTGMTAGGAGAGTGTGATGAAAAGCCAAGCTTAGCTGTGTAAATTGCCCCTCATATATGCATAAGGGGGGCAGAAGCTGGTGTTAGGCCAGGTTTCCTTGTCAAGTTCTTCTACCTACTTGAGGCAATCACCATCCACGCTGATGTGCCTTGGCAGTTACAGCCCTTAAGCTCTTAAACACAGTTTGTTTGAACTGGTCCTCTATAGACACACATACCTACACACCCAGCCATAAAAGACACCTTAATTAGCACCGAGCACAACAACAASAATCAGTCAAGTCTCTGCTGGCACCTTCTGAGCACCAAGTTACAGGAACTTTCTACTGGCCTCAGTTTTCCTCAGTACAGGAACTTTCTGACGGTTGTTTCAGAGATTACAGCTTGTTGAAGTATGTGCCACATATTTTCAAGTTTATGTACTCTGCAGTAAGTGGAGAGTGACAGGTCTGTGCCTTTCATACTTCAGCATTTAGCTTCATTTTATCCCTGGGCTGCTCCATTACTACTGTACAATTATACAAACAACATACTGAAACAATCCAGTACTATGTATATTTATGCAGCACTGCAGTGCTATATAAATAACAGATTAGTCGATGATTGCAAGGACAGACTTTCTACATCACTACATGTTTTAATCCCAGCTGATTCAATGCAAGCAGCCCGTGTTTATTCGCCAGGAACAGAACAGAGCAACGGGATCTCACTGACACACCAAGCCTGACGGCAGGGATGGTCTTTGCCAGAAAGCCAGCGTGGAGTAAAACACTCATTGGCAGATGTGTGTGGGTGAGGAGAGCACTTCCTATTCAACCCTGCTGAAAATCCAAAGGGAAGAGAGCTTTCTGATTTATGGTTTTCGTTATTTCTAAGTACAATTTGACTCAAATAAAATCTGAAGGCTTTTGACAGAACCAGAAAAATTGCCACCACTTGAATTTTACACAAGTAATTTCTGACCTGAGGATTTTAGACTTGGTCATCAAAAGAAGTTTTTGCTTTTATTAAAAAAATTGTAAAATTACCATGCTTGCAGGGAGATGTGTTCTGTGCACAACTGCATTAGAACTAAGTTTTCATCTTTAAACGTTCTTCCTATTCTGCAAATTTGCTCTTTTTTTCCAGAGAAATGCAATCCATGAACATTATCTCAATGACACCGAGCTGCACGATTCACTTGAGATGTTTTCATTTTTGTCTCCTGATTTTTAGTTTGCGAACAAGATGATTCTTAAGGTAAATGAAAAGAAAATTAATTTCTTTGAGGGGAAAGAAATTATCCCTGCGAGATACTATTTTGCAATACACTTTACATCTTATTAGAGAATAATTTCAAGTGCAATTTAAAAATCTTTAGTTTAGCTTTTGACATTGCCGGTGTGATCAGGAACAAATGAATTACGAGGAGCTACTTACAGAGCTGGGGCACCAGCCATCACACTCTCACATAGGGAGGACTCCAGATCCCCTGCGTCAACCATCAAACCAAGAAAGCAAGTTACAGCACAGCAGTGTTCCAGTAAAACTGTGAAAATCAGGTTAAATCACAGATGTTTCAATAGGCATTGGAAGAGCAAATCTGCCTAGACTGAAGTTAGATCATCAATAAAGATCTTCATCTGCTCCCAGTGATCTCTAACTGCTTATTTCTCCTATTTGACAATGGGCATTCTCAGAAAATAATTTAATGAACTTTCTTTCTTAATAATTAAAGTTTGGTGTTAAAACCAATCTCCTATCTATAATGAACACAAGAATTTACCTCARCTCCTTTAATAAACACGCTGCCGAGGACAGTCCGCAGGGTCCGCTCCCTACCCACAGCACAGGCGCCTGTTTCTTCACTCCGTGGCTTCTAAGAAGTTTGCTCTTSGTCACCACCTCAACCCATCGTGATTTCAGTGGTCTCAATGGGTTGTTTGTGGCATGTCCAGCTACAAGGCRCCGTAAGAGCACCTAAGAGACAAGTCTGCAGGTAGCAAGAGGGGGAGGCCTGGCTCAGACCAGATGGTTGTGCTGCCACTCAGGGTGGCAGAGGAACCTCCTCAGGAAGCTCACAGAGGCCCAGGGCCTTGCAGGGGAGCAGGAATAACCCCACACACTAACAGAGGCTGCAGGAAGGAAACCAGTTTTGCAGAGGGGACCTGGGAGTCCTGCCTGGCAGATTTAATACAGACCAAAACTAGGTGCTCTCATGAAGGTCCTACTGAAAGGGACAGGCTTTTCGCACAGGGGCTTTCAAGCTGATCATGATGATGCTTAGCATGAAGCGTTTCTTTCTCTTCTGGGTACTAGGAGGAACTAGAGGGTGAGGAACGCTCCAGCTGGATTTTGTGACCATTAGGAAGGGAAGGCTCCATCCAGCACATCCAAACACTGAACAGAGATGCATGAGACATCCGGCCGATGCAGACTGTTCTCATGCAGTACGAGCAGGTAACGTGCAGCAGGATCCATGCTGCCACATATGCACATGAGACATTTAATTAAARCAGGCTCTTTAATCACAAATAATTCCTCTTTTGAGCCAGGCAGGTACTTTCATAGCTAGACTTGCATGTCAGTGCTAACTGCAAGCTTTCAAAGCCATGTGAGTCAATTTATTGCTGACCCCAACTGCTTATGACGGCATAAGCAACATGGGTGAAACCTGTCTTTCTCTGTCAAAGCACAGGCCATACGTCTCCCTTTATACCCACACACAGAACAACAAAAATACTTCATTTAACAGACATGAGAAGGTGAAATATAACATGTACAGCAGGGATCTGTCTGTACAGATCCAAGGCTGACTCAAAGAGCATTTTAAAGCACCAGCTAACCGAAGTTAGCTAGTGTCCTGGTTTAYGACAGGCAGCGGTGCTGGGAGCTGCGGCGGGCGGCCGCACTCCAGGGAGCACAGGGCAGGGCACAACGGTGACGAGGCGGCTCCGGGGATTCTCATCCACAGGTGTAAATACCTAAGGGGAGAGGAAGGGGCGGGCGAGGCCAGACTCCCTCAGGGGTGCCCAGCGACAGGGCAGGAGGCAAAATCTGACTGGCAGGGAATTCCATCTGAAGGGAAGAAAAAGCCTTCCCGAAGGCGAGGTTGGTCAATCACTGGAATCGGCTGTGCAGAAACACTGTGGAGCTGCCATCCCTGGGGATGCCCATTCCRGCTGTGCCCACACCCAGGCCCTCTCCCTGGGGACGTTTAACCTCCACAGCATTAGAGGACAGGGGGATGTTGCTCCCGTCTCCTCTGTGCGCAGCATGCACAGAACAGATGGGTACTCATGCCCTTAACCACAGCCCTGAGCCAACAGAGGTTCTGCACCGCACACCTAAGAAGGTCATATGTTGAGATTTTTATGAACATCTGGTCTCCTTCCTTCTCCCCTTCTCGATGCACTATGTTTGCCTGGCTCTGGGAAATGACTGAGGAGGATCCTCCTATAACTACACTAGGCATTTCCTGTAAGTAAAAATAAATAACATATGCACTTTAAATCATCSAAGTCCCATAACATTAACAACTGAAGATTACACTGACACAAAGTACGTGTCATGTGCATTGCAACTGTTCAGAAACCAGACCTCAACAGAGGAACYAGCTGTGTGATTGGCAAGTAGGTCGTCTCTTTGGAAGGGATGGGTTCTTTGCTTGCACTGCTTGCCAGTTGGCTSTGGCCTGCAATGCCCTTTGTGCTCCATGTGTGCCTGAGGCAGACCCTCTCTTCCTGTGTGGAGATACAAAGGAGTCCTGGACTGATTCTTCAAGGGTCTCCTTAATTTGGAATTCATTTCCCAACCTTTTGCTGTAAGTAACCCTGTCGAGCTGGCTTCAAGCTCACACAAGACTGATCGGTCAAGTTTATTCAGCAGAGATATCTACATTTCCTCACCTTCTTCCAGCTTAACTCATTCATTTTCATCATTCGTGCCAGCAGGAAATGCTTAGGACTTCCTTTTTCTGCCTCTTCAACAAGCAAGCAAGGTTTGGTAATGGCCTYGGAAATGTAGTAAAAGGAATGGAGATTCCTCATTTAGAGAGCAGACACACAACATGGTACAGTTACACCTACTATACAGGAAAAGGCTTTTCCTTTCTTTCTTTAGAAGAAATTGAACATTTCTTCATGATATGTTTCAATTAAAGCAAAAAAAAAAAGAGGAAACAATTCCTGCATACAATAATAATGCGATAAACAGAATTTGCTGAAGCTTTTGAAAGAYTATATGCTTTTTTGATACAAAACTAGTTACCTGCAAACACAAGAGTATGACGGAAATGCATTACTCAAAAATGCACCTTTGCTCCCCTAAAAATAGGCATATTTTGTAAGCACTTAGAGGAATGAAATCATGTAAATTGACATCAAATATGCRACTAAATATTATAGTCTTAAAAATGCTTAAATAGTACCATATTTTAATTGCAGCACTAAAACAAGTAGGAGGAGAATTAGTAAAATAAAACTGAAATTTCAATGCATTTATGTATAAATTACTATATTTCAAAACACTCTGGACAGTAATAGCTCTGAGTTCTCTTGGTAAAGGGAAATACACTGGGCTGCTTCTGAATGTATGCATGCACTTGCTGCATAACACACATCAAAACTAACTGCTTTTATACACCAAAAAGCATTCTGACAGTGGGATATGGCTATTTTTACCAGCTCAGATATGACTTTTGAGTTGTTATTTCATCAGAGGTTTTATCCCTTAGATGTCATTCTCTATTTTTCATTGTAATTGTAGGTGTGTTTTAAAACGAACAATAAAACAATTTTATGTCCATTTGGCAACAAGCACAAATGACAACAAATGTTTAAGGTCTCACATTATCTGGCTTAGCTCCCTCGTTCCCCAGAAGGGAAGAGATCTAAGGCCTGACCACTTTCCTTTCAGAGGTCTCCTAAACCTTTAAACTTTAGTGGGATTAGGTGACTTCAGGAACCTCTTCACTGGGTCATAATTTACTACTAGCAGCCAAACTGGAAGACCTGGAACTCAGACAGACACCAGAAATCTGACCTCTATCCGCAGTTTGATGTCAAGGGGCTTGTTTTCGGCAGACACAGGTTTCCTGCTCTGTCCTCGCCTGTGGCCAAATTTGCACTTGTTTCTCAGCACTTGCTCATCATCTTCAATRGGTCTCCGGACGTATTTGAAGCGATCTTTAAGAGCTCGTTTCCACAGCAGCTGCATGGGGGGGGAAACAAAACAAAACAAAAAAACCCCCGTCATTACCAGGCGCCTTCCAAACCCTGTCCCACTCCTAACGCAGGTCACTTCATCCACCACTGCTTTAGAAAGGGCTGTTTATCCACTGGGTAGGATGACACCGGCTCACCAGGAACTTCACAAAAGCCAGCACCCGTGGTTAAACCAACCGTTCAGTGGCTGCTAAAGAGAGGGACTAGTGTCACCTGCGCGGCCAAATAGGGACTAAAGAAATTAAATGTAATGTTTGATGTAACCAGTCTAACCAGGGCGGTCAGCCAAACTGCTGCTAACTTTCCTTTCTCCACCCTTCGTTTTGGATGCTGCCTTCACGACACTGYGTCAGGCAACCGTACAGCGAATGAGAGCAGCCCCCTGGTACCACACAAACTTGTGGGGTTTTCCCTGGACTGCTCTTCCCCTCCACCAGGGAGGGAATGCGACTGCTCAGGCGGTCGTTCAGGCACCCGATGTGACACAWGGAAGCGGGAAAGACGTCGGGGGCCTCTCCCTTTTGGGGGGCCGGCAGTTACACAGATCCAGTGTTCCAATAAACTGAAACTAAAGCTGCTGAACTAAGAGAATCAGTTAGGTAGCTTTTAGTATTTATGATTTAGTATTTATGGTTCTATGCCACACGTGGACGCAGTGACTATTACCACCACGTGGCCTCAGCTCGAGTGCCAGTGCCAGAGATGCTTAGCAGTATTTTCAGAAGCTYTCCAGTGACAACATATTTTGAAAATCCCACCTGATACCCATAAAGTCTAAAACCTTTAAAATTCTGACCCAAAGTATTTATGTTTTGGTGCAGATATCCCAGCAGTATATGCCTAGGGAAATTATATTTGGAACATCTTTATTCTTGATAACAGTTACAGTTGGAAGCAATTTTACAGGTTTAAAATAAATAAAAACCTTAGGTTRACATTTCTCTGAAATATTCAGCAAATGTTAATGAAAATATGATCATCCCATTTACAGCTGACAATTAATATTCTTTTAGTTGGGCTTTGTATGCTTTTTTCTCCCTTTTGAAAACCTTATTTGTTTTGCCTAGGAGCCATTTTAGTTTGTTCTTCCACATGAAAGAATATGCTGACAGTTATGCAGAGCTATAAATATCCTTCAAAGTTCAAAAACATTTACTGTTTCATCCTTCTGTCCTCATACAAATTAAGAGTTTTAACTAAATTTATTTCTGTAATAGGATTCTCCTTGGCTTATCCAACTCTCTTGTCATACACAAAAATGCTTAAGTTTACCTGGCTCCTTCAGCGAGTCATGCATCTTGTGAAAGGATGCCAGCAAAGACTTCATTGACATCTTTGAGCTGATAAAGTACTGGTTGGCAATAAAGTTATCATAAATAYATTTATAATGCTTGAGAGGGGAGGGCAGGGATTACTGCATGTGTATCGGACATAGGAGGGAAAGGATTACAGGGAGATTRAGAGCTGTGGTTTGCTAGAGAATCAGCATTTTGCATGCAACAGTTACATAAACAGGAATGTCAGCAGCGAATCCTGGGTTTTGTGGCACTGAGCTCCATGGAAGAGCTTACAGAGGAGCAAGAACCTGCCAGGTCCTTCTCTACGTTCCTCACAAACCTCCTTCTTCAAGCTGTACGTTTTATCCGTGCTGGCCAAAGTGAAAGAGGGTCAGTGACTGCCTGCAAATGGTCACAACCCTTATTATAGGGTGGGTAACACAGCCACAGAGGTACCCGGCCAGTGGCCAGGAAACCTGCGTCCCGCCAGCTCTCCCGTGGCCGCGGGCAGCACGAGGGAGGAGTCGTGCCCGGCCTTCCACCTGCCCCTCTCCTGCGGCCTCCAACAAGCCCCGGCGCTCGAACAGGCACCAGCTGAGAGCGTCAGACACCATTTAGCAAACATCCATTCCGGAAAAAGGACAAGGCTCCACCCTTCTCTCAGACTAAATTTCTCAAAATTCTTAATTTCCAAAGAGATTTTAAGTCCGCTTGTATCCTTGTACACACACAGAAGAAACAATTTATAACTTTTTAAAAATATATATTTCAAACACACATAAAGATTTATTTTTAGATTAGACAATGTTCCAGGTAACCACCAGTAAAATGAGAACCCACAGCTCCAGACTTACCGATAATCAGCTGTTATTGCGACTGTAGTTAGTTCTGTTTTGACTTCCTCACTAGATTCTCAATGCTACCTGTCTTTTGGGTGGTGTGTTTGCTATTTACTCGTTCTGCACTGCACCGATTTTCCACATATACATTAAAATCGCTTTGAAAAATACTTCACCTACCAAAGAAATATTATGAATGAAAATAAGGACCAATRTAAGTATTTCTTATCAAAATTTCAGGATATTTCAAGTATATGAAGTCCCTTTTCAATATCTAACCTCCATTTATGACTTTTGCTCTCTGTATAAAACCTGTTTTTTAAAACTACTTATAACTACTATACTGGTTACATTATAGACCAGAAAATCCTAATAATCTATACTATGACTAAACAGGTTTTTTTTTTTTTTTTTTTTTTTTTTTTAATTCTCAATATGCTACTTTAGGAGAGCATCATTTTTCAAGTACTGGGAAATGCTATGGGGGGAGGAAAAAAAAAAAGGCAGAAATACATTTCATTCCAAGTGCTTTTGATTAAAGTTTTGCATTAATACGAAATGATTTATTATTATTATTTAGGTTTTCATATAATTATTTTGTAATTCCTGCTACTGGAATGACTATTGTAAATTTTTCAGTACATGCCCATCTTAGCAACTTTATTTTAAACCCAATTCTTTAGGATCATTATTACTCAGACTGTATTGYATTAGATATACTTTTTAAAGGAGCAATAGCACAGAATCATATTTTTCCCTACTGCAAAATTAAACTGGAAATCTTAAAAAACAAAACAAAAACAACTAATTACCAATAAATGTGGAAACACTAGAGCTTTATTAAGCAYATCTACTTGTGAGAATATGAGACTGATAATATCAGACTAAGCTTCTATACATATTTATGTGTGTATATACACACACACACATATATATTTATATTACTCATACTTAAAACTCTGGAATGCTGAAGTGCCTACCACACACTCCCCTCACACACTTCTTCCACGTGCTGCAGCAACAAGCAGTGCCTGAGCCGCTCATAGACACTGCATGACTTACCAGAAGTGTGGGTACAGACAGGCACCAGTGCTCGCTATAGCCCAAGGGGTCAGGTGCCCACATAACCAACACTGTCCCTTAAGACACCACTCTCATTTTGCAATTTTCTTCTCATGATTTTAACTATCAGTCCTAAAATAATCAGCTTTCTGCTTCACTTCTGAAGTATTTTTATTGACAATGATTTTCCTAGATTCCTTCAAGGTAATTTTCAGAAATTGTTGAGCTATAATCCTTCAATAATTGATTACTACAAGTCAAATACATTCATAACTCTTACGTATTATTCTGCATGTCTTTCAAGACCCATGATCCAGGGCTGCTACTAGGAATATTAAACAGCAATTCTTATATTCCTATTTGTGGCAATTTTAAAAGAAATGTCTGCAAAATTTTCTTTTTTTGACTKGTGAAAACAGTCCTCTGAGGAAAGATGAGAGAATGGTGGTTAGCTATTGCATTTTTTGAGTCTCTCCTTACGATATTATGAATCCAGAACTGCCAATTCAGTTTTACAGCAAGTCTCATGCTAAGTAGTTACCCATGCATTGTTGGTTTTATTTTAAGCCTCGGTTGTTGTGACATACAAGTATTTCATATTTGAAAAACAAAAAAATGTCTTCCTGCCTTCATGCTTGTCAAGGAAGAAAGGAGTGTATAACACTAGATCCAATAAAAAAACATAACTTTGGAGGAAGGGGAGAGTTAATTAAGTGTGCACACACGCACCTTGAAGATAATTGCTCCAGCCTCAACCCAGGTAAGGGAGGGAGAGCCCAGCTCATGAGCAGAACAGACCAGCAACACTGCAAACTGCCAGTGCCAGCCTCCTTGCTTCCTTATGGTCATTTCATATGGATATCCCTTCCAGTAAGTGTGAATGAGATATTATAAGATTAAAAAAAAAGTTCTCATGTCTCTTCCCCATCACACGACTTCCCAAATTATTTTTGCCAGTATCACTTCCAAGACCAATCTGGAAAGCAATGAACTATTTTATTTCCCAAAGAATGGTCTTAAAAAGTTTCACTAAAGCCTATGTTTTTGCTGCAATGAAAACCCAATGAAAAGCTCTTAGGAAATTCTGTTTAGAAACAGCTTTTAAGACGGAAGGGCTATAAAATGTCTCTGGAAACACCCTGAACTGCACACCAGCTAGTCGTCACAAATGAAGTCAAGTAGAGCCTTAACATTACCCAAGACCCAGGGCATGGGACTCCCACTGGGCTATTCAGAAAAGAATTTTGAAAGAAAAAAGCAAGRAGAGTAGCTCTGGGGTCCTTGTTTTCCCTCCCTTTTCTGAGATGAGTTTGCTTTTTTCATCTGCTTCCTTCTTACAGTGTCTGGGCTCAAAGGAGAACTGAAATATCCACCTATTCCTCCTTTTATATATATATATGCATATATATATATATATAAAATATATATATGTGTGTGTGTGTGTATATATATATAAAATCAAAATCATTTTGCTTTCTGTAGTAACTGTACACAGGATGCACATTTATATATGCTGAAACTTAATCCCCTCTCTCACAAGCTTGTACAAGATGCTAAAAAGCATCACATAGCAAAGCAATGACATGAAGTCAAAAGGTAAACACTACCCTCTGACACCACAGATGCATTCTAGGTCATAGGAGTAAAAAAAAAATCAGTTCAAATAAGGGCCAGTTCCTCCAATTCCTTTTTGGTATGCTCCCACCAAGATGCTAACCAGACCTTTCCAGTAGTATTTTTATTAGCCTCTGGATTCCTGACATAACTGAGGTAGCTGGATAGCAAATCTAACACACAAGAGATGAGAATGCACCGTGGGAACATCGGTCATTTCTTAATACTCCTTCCTACCTCAAACAGCTCTCTACAGACTGCAGAAAACTTCTTTCTCTTTCTCCCTTTCTAACAATCATGTTTACTTGACTTTATCCAGGGACGGGGTGTGTCCCTGCATATAGCRGTGCGAAATCACCACCTCTCTGGGTAGAGAGGAACCTCACGAGGTTCAACAAGGACAAGTGCAGGGTCCTGCACCTGGGGAGGAATAACCYCARGCATCAGTACAGATTAGGGGTYGACCTGCTGGAAAGCAGCTCCACGGAGAGGGACCTGGGCGTCCTGGTTGACACCAAGTTAACCATGAGTCAGCAGTGGCCTCGTGGCCAAGAAGGCCAATGGGATCCTGGCCTGCATCAGGAGGAGTGCTGCCAGCAGGTCAAGGGAGGTGRTTCTGCCCCTCTCCTCAGCTCTGGTGAGGCCGCACCTRGAGTAYTGGGGGCAGTTCTGGGCCCCCCAGTATAAGAGGGACGTGGAGCTTCTAGAGAGGGTCCAGCAGAAAGCGACAAAGATGATTAAGGGACTGGAGCATCTACCGTATGAGGAGAGACTGAGTGAGTTGGGCCTGTTTAGCTTGGAGAAGGCTGAGAAGGGATCTGATTAACACGTGTAAGTTCATGAAGGGGGAAAGTAGGGAGGAAGGGGCCAAGCTCTTCTCAGTGGTGGCCAGTGACAGGACAGGGGGTAGTGGGTATAAGCTGAAACACAGGAAGTTCCGTCTTCCACATGAGGAGGAACTTCTTTCCTGTGAGGGTGAGAGAGCCCTGGAACAGGCTGCCCAGGGAGGTTGTGGATGCTCCTTCTCTGGAAGTCTTCCACACCCGCCTGGATGTGACCCTCTGCCACATGCTCTAGGTGTCCCTGCTGGAGCAGGAAGGTTGGACTAGAGGATGTCTAGAGGTCCCTTCCAACCTTAAACATTCTGTGAAATCAAGCCAGAAACACTGTACTCAACGAGCCACCAGGAAGACCTTCAAAGGTATTTCATATGGGACTGCACGACTGCACAGTGACTTTGAGGAGGGAGGTTAATCTTCCATTAATATAAGAAAATAAAAGTGAGATTTGGCAGACTTTTCAGTGTGAAGTTCATAGTGAAGAAAGCCAGAATATAAGAGCTAATACTGATTTTCTCTAAACTGAGTTACTCCTTGTGATCAATTATTTAAAACAAACAAACAAAAAAACACACTTCAGGAATCTTCAAGTTACTGTTTATAATACTTACAAAGCCATTTCCATCTTCATTAAGGAATGGGTATGCCTGCAGCAAAGCATTGACAACGATGTTATACTGTTGACTGTTTGGATACCTGTTAAAACAACAAGGAAATGTTAAAGAAAGCAAAAAAAAAAAAAAAGTTGATATTCTGGATAATAACTGGGGTTTTTTTGAGTCTATATTGATATACACTAAACTGACAACATGCATCTAAGAAATATTTCTAAGACGACTGATTCCACTCCAAATAGCAAAGAGAACAGCTTCAAGGTTTGCATGTCTTCCTATTGACTTAACAGGYTTCAGGCTTTTAGACTGTTCTATTTAAGTGCACATATTAGAGGGAATGTGATTTCATAGCTATTTGACAAAAATCTCCAAAATAAACTCCAAATTCTGCAGCCATTTGGAATAAGCCCCACAAATGAATCCAACCCTGTTTACTTACAGAGATCCTTTCAAGTATTTTGTCATGTCTGCTTGCAAGAATTCAATAATCCTTATTCTCATACTGTGATCAGGGCATTTTTTTTCTGCTAATATGCACTTGACATCATAAGGAAAGTCTGGCAAAGCATAAGAGCTTGTCCACTGTAATGTCTTATATCTGACAAGAAATGATTTCATATTCTTTCTGGAAGAGAAAGAGATTACACAACCAGTGATCACATCCTTCCYATATACGAATGCAAGATGGAAAGAAAAACAATGTAAGCAAAAATGTAACTTATGGGAAAGTTACTGGTAATTTGGAGTTTGCTCTCTCAGTTTGCACATAAGAACATCACAAAGGTTGCAAGCAGAAAACAGGAGGTTAAAAGCAGGCGTCATGTGAACTGCTGTAATCAGTGGACTTAACAAGGTGCTAAAAGGCGGTCACCAGGTGAAAACAGAAAACACAACAGAGGAAGCCACGGGGGACTTGCTATCATTGCAAAACAATTGTCTTTTTTCTTTTTTCTGTGTTTCCTGGGGGTTCTGCTAATWTACTAGCAGACAGCGAGCTTAACAGCTTCCATAATAAAATATTATACAGGACATTAGAGTAAGACTATCCCCCCCAGGGCACGGAACTCACGGCCACGGAAAGAGGCAGTTAAGGAGCACAATGGCTGCAAACGAAGCAGAAGGAGCCTCTAAGTGCGGAGAGCTCCAGGCCCTGGAGCGGGATCCCACGGGCGGGAGGGCGGGAAAGCGGCGGTAGCGGCCCACGGGCGCCCCGAGCAGGGGCGCAGGCCTGGGGCAACGCGCCCCGTAAGGGCCAAGGGGCAGCTGCCCCRTCGCCGGGGGTCTGGGCACGACAGGGAGTCTCCAAACGCGGGGCGCTCCGAAGGGGCTAAGCGGGCGCGCGGTTGTGCGGCGGGGCTCACTGCAACCCCCTCTGATGTGAGCTGCAGACAGCAGCTTAGAAATGACAGGCAGCTTTTTAAAAAGGTGTTTTTTTTTTTTATTATTATTATAACCCCATCTTTCTAGATGACAAAGGCAGAGCTTTACGCTGTATAGGTTCACACATACCTGTATCTGCAGCAGCCCTGTAGCCTCCCTTTACATTCACTGAGGAGACATAAGCACTACTGAAGGAGGCTGGTGCTTCACAGCCAGAGACACCTACATGGGACCAGACGCCCAAGTCCATTTCTCTCCAACAACTCTGAAGGATACCAACTAAGGACAGGAYACTAACAGTTCAGTTAGTATCCTGTAAGTTAACTTAACTTGAGACATACTCCCTGTAGGTGTCAGCAACCAAGGAAATGCCCTGTTGCTAGAGGGAGATCCCTCCACCCTCATCCACATCCCAGATGTGACTGGACAAGTTCCCAAGTCTCCTCCAAGCCAAACTCRCCCTGGAGTCTAGGAAGGCTGCAGAGGGAAACGCTGCCAACCGCACACAAGTTTTCACTCCCAAAGCTCTCTACAGCAAACTAGGATCAAAACGCAGGGATAAAAATAAAGAGGTTTGCAGGGCCTCAGCAAGATCCTCTTGGAGGAGTGTTGCTGTCTTACCTATTTCACACCTTCAGAGAAGGGTGTAAAGAAACAAAACATGGTAGTCAAAATCTTAAGGCTGGAGAAATCCACCACAATACMATGAGAAAAGAGCATTTGTTATAGCGTGATTTACAACATTTGAAAAACGTGTATCTTGCAGACAGCTCCTTTGAGGTCCATAGGACTATAGGTAAGAGTCTCTATTTATTCTCGGACAAGTTAGCCTGTAACTGCTAACCTTGCTGACCTGGCTAACCCAGCAACTGCTGCAAATTGTGTTGCAAATGGAAGGGGAAAAAAAAAAAAGCGCCAGGTATTAGCAGCGTGCCTGCTAAACAGGTACAAAAAGTTAAGGAAAGTGTCTCTCCAAACTCAATATATTTTATGGGACAGAGATGATTAGCAGTAGATGCATACTGCAATAAGCTTCTATCAATGCTGAGCAGCCTCAGAAAATGGAAAAATATATATACTAGGATTAAACAGACATATACAAACAGACATATTCTCATGTGCTTTTTGGATCACACTTTGATACAGAAGAGGGAAAAAATAGATTCTGAAATCACTTGGAAATCCCTTCTGTRCAGATGAAGTGCAGATCTTCAATAGAGCATCAATTAGGAGCTGTGCAATCAAAGTTTGAATCCTCTGCTCTCACTGCCTTTACTGATTGAAGTGATGCAGTAAACAGGCTTCTAATTACCACAGGTAATTTTCAACAAGGTATCACTTAACTAGCTTGAAAAAGGATGCTAGTTTAAGACATGCAATAATTTGTAGCACAGCAGCAGAAATTGCTATTCTTGCTAATACCRGTGGAGTTGAGATACTACCTAGAAAAGTGGCAAGGTTTGGGAGGTTCAAATCTTAAGACTTACAGAACACTCCACAGTTTCCTTCTACCACCTCAGCTGCAAGGCAAGTTTCTAAACAGGTATGAAGAAAATAAACTTTTCTTATGGCTAGGATGACAAAAATGAAATTTCTCCACCATCAGTCACTTCATATTTGCTGGTACAATACAGGACTCCAAATTTCATTTCTCTCTTCAAGGGTCTCTTTAATCTTACCCAATAGAGAAGGTGTTTCCTCAGTATCCAAACAAGATCTGAAAATGCCTTTCATCTCCCTGGAGATCAAATATTTTACTAGGTTTTGTTGAAATCATCACCATTGGGTGGTAATGCTAAAAGTGTGCAATAATATTTTAGAATGAAATACAAGTGTGTTTGAAMACACACAACTCCACGCTAAGGGAACAAGGCTGCGAGAGCCAGCCCCTTTGCTCCAGCAGCTTGGCAGAAACGCTGCCACTTGCACTTCCATTGCTGCTAGCAAAAAATCATTCCAGTGAGCCAACACATCAAACCTCACCTGCTTGTTGCATAATGCAGTTTGACGATTTTTCAATATAATAAAAATAAAAGCATACAATTGTTACATTCACTTAATCTTCGTTTTGTGTTTAAGCAATCTTCTCTGGTGATTTTTCAATAAAAACAAAAGCATACAATTGTTACATTCACATAATGTTCGTTGTGTGTTTAAAATCTCTGATCTCTCTGCAATACTCAGTAATGCTGGAGTGTGCATTTTAAACACAGTTATCAAGTATTATCTGCACAGGTAACTTACAGAACAACTAGCAACTCAGCTAAAATAATTCATAAAAGTGTCCATTAATTCCTTCCAAGAAAAACAATACCTGTTACTGAAGCTGCAGTTACAGCTGAAGCTGTGTATTTTCACAAGAGACATGTTTTGGGGGAGAAATAGAAGCTGCAAGTGTAACCATGGCCACAGATCAATAATTTTAACTGCAAGTTTAACTAAGCTCTTTAACACAGCTTTAATCAGTGTCCAAGTCCTCACTAATTCTAAATAGCATTCATCTCCAAATACACTACTTAACTAGAAATAACCTAGTGCAGCAATTAAGAGTGGCAAGGGAAGTTCTGTTCCATTTTCAACCTTAATCAGTCATTAAAACAGCTGTTTCTGAGAAAGACATTGGCCAGCTTCTCATCTAAGCTTTAAAGAGAAACCCTCATAAAATTCGCTCGGGTCTTCAGGAGCATAAATCATCCGGGCTGCACAGGGAAGGGGCACTTGCATTTACAGAAAATTCTCCTCTCTGCTTCTTTGCCCCAGGGTGAATCTGCAGTCCCTTTCCCTTAACAGGCCATTATGGGGCCTGAAAGCTGTGTATGGAGAGCATTTACTGAGAACATTTCCTAAAGCCAGTCTATTCTGGGTGAGGCTGATTCACACAACCCACTTAAAACTCTGTATACAATACATGGTAAATTACTCATCCTTAATTAAAAATAAAGCATCTCTTCGAAGTATAGCTAGAGACTATCATTGCAGGAGCATTTTAATGAGAATGGGGGTACTGGGGGCTGTATTTTATTCTTCTGTAAAAKAAAATCACAGTAGAGCATTATTAGGGGGAAAAAACGTTTCATTTTACTATGTTTTTGTYACTAATGTTTACTAGGTGCTTCACTATGCCCTTTTCTCTGCTCTGAAAAGTGCTTTCTCTGCCTCTTTTTTCTTCAAGGACATCAGTTGTTTCCCCTTCTCTCAGAACAGGGCAGCCACAAGTCAAGCGGGGCAGGGCTCAGGAGATGAGCAGGAGGACAACCCTGCACCTCTCCCTCTACAGGAGGAAACAAATGAAGCCCCAGGACCCTGCCCATTGATTCAGTTAAGTTCTAGCTCATTTCAGATCTCACTGTTTTTTAATTACACCTGCATCTGGAGCTTGGTTTCCAACATTTAGGCACAGGGCAGATCACTTTTTTTTGACAGAAATAAATTAATTCTGGCAACACAAGACATCCATTCAGTCTCAACAGAGGAAAAATAATCACTACGACCTTTTCAAAATGTAAAGAGAACTTCATAAGCACATTAGGAACTCACTTCTGCTTTAATACTCTTTGATCAATTAGTCCTTCCTCATTGTCACTTGGAGAAAGATACCTTTTCTGCTCCACAGGACCAAAAGAACTGAACAGCTGTTTGTCAGTAATCCTGAAAAAAAGAACGATTTTCACTGGGAAGTTTTGTGCAGCTTATGCAAAAGAGATAGTTTTACAGTCTAAAAATATCAGTAGCAGAAATGGAAAGGTTAAAAAAAATTGAATAGTCACAGTTTTACATGATGTTGATATAGTTTAAAATCAATTTATCAAACTCAGACAAGATCAAAGGAAAAGGGTAAATAATATCACCTAATCGTATTTTAATCACTRCAGAGTTACAAAACCTAAGAAAATAAATCTGGCAGCCTTTCCCCCCTGCCCTTTAAATGGAGGCTATGCCCACATTGCGCCTTTGAGTGAACTTCTCATTGTTACAGCCACTCTACGCGATTCCTGGCGGCTACCTGGTCTCTTCTCATCTCTGTTTCCTCATATTKCTTTCAGTTCCAGTTCACCTCTCACTCGCACCAAGACTCTCTGGATACCCACTTTGCTCATGTTCAAGGAATCCCACGCCAAAACACTGTTTCCCACTGTACAACCATTTTGCATGTGCTCCTTCCTCACCTTCCTGTTCTTTCTTCTCCTTCTGTTACAGGACATGCACATTTTTACACTGTGTTGGGGGAAAAGAGATCCAAGATGAGGGCTATTGTAATGGTGCCAAGAATTCAGGGCAGTTATCAACCATTTTTAACTCTACAGACAATGAGAGGCAGATAAAACTGATAACTTTGCCAATCAGATGCTCGGGGCTGCTATACCATGGGCTCAGCTCTTCCCTGGATTTTTAAATTCATGGTTTTGCTGAAGCTGCATTTCCTAAGGGCTAAGGAGCAGGCAGCAGGAGTACAGGCATTGTTCAGTGTTAACMCACTAGGTACAAGCGGATGTCAGTCAAGGCTGACTGACAGGCACATTCACTTCACTCACAGATTATTCTCCTGCCTCTTGACTGAACCTCTTATTATGAAGAGGTTATTAAAGCATTTACAGCTATTAAAGATATTCTTAATGAGGTGACATCATYAGAAGTTTTGCTCTTCAAGCACTGCTGCTAAGGCCTTTAAGATTTTCACAAGTCAGGCTTTAGGAAGGATGAACACAAACTGAAGAATAGAGCCTCCCATAACTTACGACTCCAGCAAGACCTTCTGAAGACGCTACACCTTCCTTTTTGTACCTCAACTATTCAGAATCTCTAACCTTAAAGACACTTTTGAGAGTGTTCCTCACATAGTTATGCTCAATGTGGAACCCTGATACTACAGGTGACACTGATGCTTACAAGGGGAAATTCCCCTTTTCCTCTTAGTTTTGTCTGCGCACTCTTTTCAGTCGCCTCATTATGGCACAARAAAGCAGCAAGTTCCCTATGTGGCTCCCAGCTGCAGCCAAACTTGGAAGTGGAAACCATCCTAGCGCTTACTTGCTAACTTCTCCGTTCGAACTCCTCATACGCTGGTTCTACTGCATGACCCAGAACACTTCAACCCTACCTGTACAGACCCAAGATGCTGTTTCCTATCCTGCTCCAACCCTCTGGAGATGCAAGTCACACAGAGGGCTCCTTTGCAACTCCATCACTTTGGCATTGCCCTCAGAAGTTTATGGCTGATGAACACATTTTTGCCTCTAGCGGGGAGGTGAGCTAAGCATAATTCAGATACGTGCTAGAAGATACCCTAAAGACAACAGGATAAAAGAGGTTGATAAAGAGGGGTCAGGAGAGCATCAGCAAGCATTGGGAGTTACATTCATGCAAGAAATAGAGTACTGCTTCCAACTGCCTGGAATCTCCTCAGCAGCTTCAGCAAACCTTCATGGAGGCTGCTATCGTGCTGCTCCCTTCCCTGCCGCTTTGCCCACAACTCCCTCCTCCGTCCTGGCACTGCTACTCACTCACTAGGAGCTGTGGGGAGCTACTTTGGGGAGCTGACCCAACCAAAAACAATGCGGCCAAAACAGGAGAGACTTCAGCTGGATTCAGGCATGGCAGGAGGAGGGTTAGGAACATGCTGCTGAMGGCAGGAACTGCGGCAGCTCAGGCTAACAGTCATCTTGCACTTGCTGGGCGACCGCACGGCCGGCTCCAGATGCTGCCGGCAGCAAGCTCAGCGTGGGGAACTTGCTCAAGCAACCAAGATCCTGGTCCAACCTAACATCGGTAAGGAACTGTTAGAAAGTGAACTTATTTAACATATATGGTGAATCTATTAATTTTTGGTTATGTCACATACTCTGGTCTTCTACATCAGAATCAACTTATRAAACAAAAAACAATAAGCTTGTTTCCAAACAAGGTGTCACTCTATTACTCTATATACTGTAGAGTAATTACTCCAGTCACAAACCAAGATAAATTGTTAAGGGATTTTGTTCAAGATAAAGATGTATTATATAGACATCATATATAGACATATATAATGACTTTTGGACAAGCACTGTAGAGTTAATAAATGACAAAGCTGGCTGCATATTTGGATACAGCCTTTAGTTCATCAAATACTATTTTTACCATGGGAGCTTTTGCCTCAGTCTGTGGAGGAACCTGTCATTCAATATCTTGATTTTTTTCTCATCCTAGAGGATGTGACAATACAAATATCTTATACATGCACATGTTTCACAACAGCAACTTATTTACCTGAATTCCCTGCAAGAGAAGAATTTAAGTATCTACATTTTAGGCAGAAAGACTAGCCAAGGAAAGATTTTTAAGGTAAGTTATACTTATTAACATTTGAGATTTCCAGCATTTGACTAAAAAAAAAAAAAAAAACACACTGCAGAAACTCCCAGAAAAGCTGTGCCCTCAGCACTCAACACACAACTGCAGCTGAGCGCTCTTGCTGAGACAGTCAGGCCAGCCTTGCAGGACACGGGCAGTGCAGAGAGAGCAGCCGTATCAGATAAGTAGCCGGGCCAGACATCCCTGACAAAGTCAAGGATGAAATTCAAACATTCAAAGCAGCATTCGAAGTGTCTTAACTATGAGAACATGTTTTCTCGTACTGCAAYCACTGTGTAGTTCCTGCACTTCAAACAATGTGGGGAGAAACAGCAGTTTCCTTTACAGCAGAGTCCTGCTCTACCTCCAGAGAGCAAGCTTCCTATAGATCAAGTGAGGCAGGACCTCTGTGCAAAGGACCAAGACAGGTTGTGATTGTTTAATTACAGTCTGCCATAAACTATATGGTCAGGGACATCCTGTTCTTCCCGGCCTCTCCTTTCCTCCATCAGTGGAGCATCATTTTTTGGGAGGGGGGGTGGCAAACATTTTGGAGACTCGGGGATCACAGAATGTGTCTATAAGCATTTTACTTCTTCTCATTAGTGCACTTCGGAATAACCAAGTAAACAGCATTTACCATTCTTCATTTGTCCTTGTGGAGCCAGCACAGAGCACACAAACTGGATTCCTTTTGCATGAAAGTAAACGGTMGAGCAAATGTTCTACATACCTGCTTCTGTTGGGTTGCTACTATGCATGAACAACTTACAGGCTCTTCTTTCAAAACTGGGAGAGGAATGTGCACTCATTAAGATGGCATTTTTGCACCCACTGCAGCCTATCTCTAGGTTTCTTGGGACTGGATGAGAACTCCGAGAGCCCAGGACCCCTGTTCTCACCCAACATGCCCAAAACAAAATCCAGCAGAGTTTATACCAGATCGGAAGGAGAAAGAAAAGAAGGGGGGGGGGGGGAAGAACAACCCACACACTATCTAATTCCTTGTTGAGCAGCTCACATTATAATTATTAAATGCTTATACCTTGATCAAATTCAGAAAGTTTCCTTTGGGAGATTATATTTCAATATTGGTGCCACAAACATCCTCTCTAGCTAAATCATGATTTTACTCCAAGGTTTTTGTTGTTACAGCATTTAAAAATAAATATCTCAAAGCTTTAATATAGYAAATGCAGGACACTTCAGCCACAGTGATGAAAAGTCTGAGGWTGCTTCATGTAAATTAAAATTAGGGCCTAGAATTGGAAGTGAAGGATTGTTTGAATTAACAGAAACGTTGATGCCGTATTCAAAACGGCAAAGTAAGAGCTGTATCTTGCATTTAACATTGCCAGAGACCACTCAAAGGGTAAAAACAGTTACGTCTTTCAGCAGCAGAGCTAGTAAACACCAGTTCTGAAGTGCTAAGAATACAGCTGTACTCAGAGGGACACACAGACTCACCCACTGATTGCCTCCGTGAATTTCGGGGAAGCTGCTCCACAGTAGCAGGTGAGGGACTGCAGACCACTGCTTTGTTGGTGGTATTTATTAATCAGGTCCATTAACACTGCCTGGTGCCCAATCTTCTTTACCAGCTGCTGCACCATACGATCATTAAGAGCCAGAAGAGCTGCTCCACTTACTTCTTCTTCTAAAGATTGAAGGGGATAAGATTAAAGTTCTAGTAAAATAACTTTATAGTTATACAGAACAGATNAAAAAAAAAAAAAAAAAAAAAAAAAAAAAAAAAAAAAAAAAGCTTTCTACTGCGGATTTTGTTCTTCAACTGTTAAAAGAAATTATAAGAAATAGAAAGGACAGTAGCTAAAACAAATGATTTAAACTTGTGCCAGAAGTTTTGGTCACTGGCCAGATTCCTTGATTCCTTCCAGTAACAAAGCAACAGTTCTGAAATACATAAAAGTGGTGAAGTGACAATTTTAATGCTTTAAGTCAGACTTTGCTTTGACCAGAGCATCCTGCTCTTTTATTAAAGAAGCAAAGCRGGTCTCTTAAGAGAACGCACAGCACACCATAATTGTGGAGCACTTTCTCAGGTACATTTTTGTAAAGTGTTTACATATTCAGACATTTAAATACTACAGTTGCATTATTTCAAAGGATGTATACAATATAAAATAGGCCCGTTCAGAGCCTGTTAAACTGCCAGTTCTGTTTCTAGCAAGTGCACCTTTCCACAAACATTTTCCCCTCAGCCTTTCTCCAGACTTCATAACAAATCTGCACACTTGTTTCATCAGGWCTGTCAGTTCTCTCCCTAAGAAATTTCTATATAAGTCACAACACGGTTTATATATGCATAGCCCAAATCAAGGGAGGTGATGTCAATTAGAATAATATCAAGAAATGTTTTTAAAAACATACACATACAATACAATACAAAACAATAAAAATGCTTACCACGAAACTTAGGAACTAATTCTCCCAAATTTCTCTGTCTCAACCAGTTGCAGACTTGATCAACCGACCAACTTTCCATCTTCAGGCACTGCAAAGGAATCGCCACTGTGAAACAAAGACAGGATTATTTTTGCACTGAACTCAAATATCTTGCAGACAAAAAATAAAACTTGCAAGTGCAAGTAGTGCTATACTTACATGCTCTGAATAATATTAATGAGAAGTAATCAAACTAGTGCCTTTTGCAAGCAGCAGTTTTCTTAAGACTCCCTCTTTCTTCACCTCTCCTCCTTTCCCTCTGTTCTAAGAGACAGCCCCATTCCTTATAAAACACGACCTGCTCCAGTACCATTAACACCCAGGTTTCCACACGGAGCAGAAAAAGGTGTGAAATTCACCACCAYGGCTTGTCAGGAAATGGTTGACATTTTACAGAAAAGGGGAAAAGAAAGAACAGATAAAAAGTCTGTCACTTATATGTTTACAGTAAACCAGGCACATTAACTCTCTCAGCACCACCAAGCTGCAAGCTGAGCTTAGCCCTCAATTACAAACAATTAGGGGCAATAAAAGCTTCTGGGGACAGCAGGGAACAACCCTACCCAGGTCACAGGGAGGCTCCAAGCATCCCTGGCAAGACAGGTCCTTCCAGGGTGACTGGTGGCTTACAGGGATGGCAACGTCCCCCTGGGCATCTCAGCACCTCACCTGCTGCAGCTCAGAGGGGCCCCAGGCAAGCTGGAAATCCCTTCAGCTCCAGGAGTCACAGCCTCTCTCCTTGAAGGACTTATCTGAACTGTGAGGACAGGACACCCCATACCACTGCATGCCTGCTTAAATCCAGTCCATCCTGCTCATCTCTCCCACCCCATGATGCCTCACATTTAGCAGACAGAGCAGGCAATACAGAGAGCGGGGCACTGTGCCACACTATGGGCCATAAATAGCTACAAGTTGATAGCAAGAAAAAAATCCACCCTTATTGTTAACAGCATTTTTTTTTTTTTTTTTAAGGCTAGGAAATAGCCAAAATCAGCAACTTCACAAAAAGAGGATTACTTGTAACCAGACTCCGACTCTACCAACTCCTCTACAGTAGGAAACTCCCCACAAGAGATTTTCATATTCACGCGAACCAGCTCTAGGGCACACACGAGCTAGGGGAGCATCATCAGGTACTCCTGGACTGGCAATGCACAGTGAGCATGAGAGAAAGTGATCCAAGTAAGCTCGGATTTTTTTTTTTTTTAATAAAAAATAGCGTACCAAGTGTACCAGCTGCACACAAACCCAACCATACCATTCAGACAAACCCAACCATTGCTGCTTTACACCCTTCAATAACAGAGCCSCAACACAGACACACTTCAGATTGTGCTCTCCTGCCAACCCACTTCAGCAGCTCAAAGGGGTTAAAGGAAGAGGCAGGTCTTCCCGAATTGCAGGAGTGCATTTAATTTGACATGACAACAGTGGCCATCCAACTCCTCCTCCAGGCTAAGCAGCAATAACGGGGTGTGAAAAGTCATTATTTGCCAAGAACTCTGGTGTAAATTAAAAATCACACCTTCCCGTCACACTTCTTACTTCCTTGTGAAGAGAAGGACAAAAAGATGCTCAGAAARCTTGAGATATAAAACAGAAGGCAAAGAGACACTTGCCTCCTCAACCAGGCAGTGCCAAAGTAAAGAGAGATACATTAAAATGGCAGAACATGAGATAACTTGCATCCTAGACTGGGTCATGCTGAAGACAGCAACATGCTGTATAGATAGCAACATTTCAAACACTGCAAAGCAAACTACAGTCCCAGAAAGCAACAGGCACCTACATACGGGCCCCGTGTCCCTCACTGCAGCAAAGTGCCCACTGGTTGAGAGAAAGGCAGCCTGGACACTCCCCAGGGAGGGAAGCTGCTGRAGAGAAACAGATGATACCTATTACGGTTCCTACACACTCGGGCTTCAAAGCTCTGCTCAAAAGTGATTTCACCTGCCCGCAAATATGCTGGGAATGGAGCTTCCCAAGACAACCATAAAGACTGATCACAGAAACGCATGTTTTTTACTGTTAATCCTATTCATTATTCACTGGTTGGTACAAGCACACAGACACATGGTGCAAGCACAAGAATATTTATATTCTCCAAGAAACTCTTACAAGACAGGAAAAAAAACAATAAAGATAATGTTTTAAAAACAGGCAGTATTTTAGCAATTTACAGCACGACCTCAAGTCAAATTCAGAATATTTCAAAGTATGTGCACTGGTTACCTGCTAATAAATACGGGAAATCGCTAGGGCCCATCTCTTTAAACAGCTGTTATTAGGATTTAACCAATATCTCATTGGTGTGCCTAAGGTGAGTCAGGACAATCCTTGTTTTCAGTGTAAATCCTCCATGGCTGAAGAGTTAAAAGCTTGGGGGTTTTAAAACCAGATCAAGCTGAAGATCCACCTGCACTACAGATTCTGCGGCTGTTTTTGGCTAAACAAGGAGCCTATGGAGACGAGCACGCTGACCAGCCCCGTTGGGTCCCGCTGATGGCCCACGCGGCCTGCTCCCAAAGAGATAACGGGCTGCCACCAACACCAAGTGCCGCATCCTCCTCTGCGTGGATCTTCGCCCCCTGCCCCGTGCGGGTGTGTGTCGGGTGACAGGCTGCGCCGGCCCCAGGCCAGGCTTGCGGCTCCCTGCGTGCGACACGTGCGTGTCCTCGTGTCCCGGGCACCTCCCGCGCCCGCCCACGGCTCGGAGCCGCACAGGGGCAAGGAGGAAGCAGGGCATGCTGAAGATAGCACCAACACTCTCCATGGAAGCTGTTCCTGTTATCRGAACTAGTCTTTACTTCCATAAGCGTTACAGAGACTTTGGTATTGGCCTTCCAGGTGCTACCTATTTTTCAAAATAACTAAGAATATACTCGAGCTAACTGTAGAAGGTGGAGCCCTGTCATCCAGCAGATAGTGCTGAGTTACCATCAATGGCACATCAGTTAACCACCACTCTTTTCAATTACGCATAGGGAGTTTCTAGTATCCATGCTTTGACCATAAGAGCTTCTTTAAAAACAGCTGAATGTGCTCGACTTAAAATGATAGTGTCTGCTGTGCCRCTTCGGAGAGCAGATTCCACCCAAATGCCAAGCTGTTCAAGCTCTACAGGCAGTTTGATAATTTGAAAGGAAGAGTATTAACTTCACTGTGGTTTTGGGCAATGTAATACTCATGTCCTTGCTATCATTGGTAACACTAAACAAGCCATACAATAACACAACAATACTAAAATCAGTGAGTTATAAAAGAAAGTTCCCTAAGGTTCTATGAAGAAAACTTCTGGAAATTAAGCTACAGTGAAATCAAAACACTTCTCTGTTCAACTTGAGCAAAACTATACCAAATTAACAATACGAAGTTATTGGATATAGAGGAGRAAAAAATCAAATTAAGATTAAAAATTCATCAACCTCAAAAATAAAATCTCATACCTACTGCAGAGAAAGCAMTCAGGCTGGAAGTCCTTGGCGCCCCACCAGGACCATTTCAGAAAGATATGCAAGTCATTCCCTCTTCTAACAGAGATTACAGTGACTTTCCCCTCAAACTGCTAGGAACCACTCACCAGGACCAGCACAACTCCTCAACATTCCCCTATTTCATAGCTCAGCAAAGGACTCCATCCAGCTCCTGACAGGAGCAGCGCAGACACCTCTAAAACTAAAAAGTCCTCGGGGACAGTCCCAGCCTGTCCTAGTTGTCCTCCCCTCTCAGCAGTTCTAGTTGTCCTGCCCTCTTTGCACCTGGTCGCACAATCAGCAGCTCAGAGAACTGAATAAGCTGAAATCCCAATTTTTGCTACGGATAGTTTTCGACTGATCAGCCTCTTTTTAACCAACTCCCAGTGCATCTGGGTGAAAATACAGATACAGGAACTGTATTCCAAGACTCACCTAGCAGGCACKTAGATAAAGAAGATACAATGCGACAATGAAGATTTCTATCTTAATAGAGCATTTGAATGTAACAACATTAGGGCAAAAACCTAAACTGCAATTATTCTTTCTCCAAAAAAAGGCAAGTGTACCCTTCTCCCTCAAATCGTTTTGGGTGAATGAAAAAAGAAAAAGACGCCAGTAAGTGACAGAATACTCCTAACAACCAGATTAATTTACTTAGAGGATTGATATGAAATCCTATTGCTTGCTTGCACTTCATTACTGCTTTAAAATTAAAACACAGCTCAGAAAGTGAGGCCAGCTGGTAGTCTCAGTGACCTTACAAAAACAGTTGAGGATAGCTTAAAAACCCTGCATACCCAGTATTTTCTGATGAGGGAGTGCTGAGGCATTTTATTACTAGCGCTGTAGCTACTGCTGGACACAGGTGCTGCCCATTGCTCCAGAGGCAAAGCCTGGAGACAAGGGCCCGTTTTAACTGGGAAATATGAAAACATGCTACCAGTTTGAGGTAACAGCTTTGCAGAGGACGACCCCTTCGCACAGCTCTGAACATGGGCCAAATAACCTGATCCCCCCGCCRGCCCAATGCTCTCGGGTCACGGGAAAGCAGCATTCCCAGGCCCTGCCCTTCCACGGTGCAGCCAACTGCTCCCGTGCGGGCGGCTCCAGGGACCTGCCCGCGCTACCAAACCCTTCCATATATTTGCACTATTTTCATATTCAAACCCGCGTGCTCTCTCGCTGCTCCGGCCMTGCCCAGCCTGCCCACGCGGCCCGTTTTCCGCAAGGACTTTGCCGGAGCGGAGGCCCCGCTCCTGCACTTCCCGCGGGCATTCCTGAGGGATCCGGAGCGGCCCGGGGGGTGAATCCGCCGAGCCCAGTTCCATTCGGGCAGCAGTTCAGCAGCTGTCGCCGAGCCGTGGGTCTCCCCCGCCAAGCAAGCAGCTCCCGGCACCATCCCGCAGCTCCAAAGGAGCCCTTCCCTCGTTTCGCTGCAGCTCCGCACCGCTYTAGCTGCGGTTACCTGCCGCCGGGCGACGCGAGACGCGCTCCGCCACAGCCCGCTTCTCCCTCCGGAGCGGCAAAGCGCTCCACGAGGGCGGCCAYGGGCGCCGGCGGCTCCTCCGCGCACTGGGGGCAGCCCCGGCGCSCGCCCGCTCCGGCGGCGGAGGAGGATGAGGCGGCCGCCGAGGTGCAGGAGGGCGCTGGGGCTGCGGGCGCCTCCCGCAGGGCAGGGCAGGGCGGCTCGGCCCGGTTTGGTTCGGCT